GTATTATTATTAATAAAACATACTTGGTACACTATTGGCACCAGTAAATGCACCACACAAAATCTCATAGTTTGTGCCAGGTCTGAGATACATCCCGGACAACCGGACCGACGTAGGTGTTGGTTGTTTTCACGGACCATCCCCGACTGGAGCCCTTGATTTGAAGTCTCATCTACATGTCAGTGGAGCAGTTTAACGAGCTACATTCCCATATTTGAGGCTAATCAAAACAGGTTCATGTTACTATTCGATCTGTTCAGGTTCTGGAGAGAATGCACTCCACAGGTTTGGAATCAGGGTTTTCTACCTTTCCTAGGTAGGCCAACATGCCCAGCCGTCTGGTTGTAAGCACCATACTTTCTTATTTACCCTTTCGTTTTTTTGAGAAGTCAGTAAATAGGACTTATCTATTACTTATTTATTTAAACGCATAAAAACTTGGTACAATATGGCACCAAGAAGGATGCGTCACACAATAATAATAAAACAACACAGATCAAAAGAAAGAAAGAAGAGAAAAAAATATATAAAAGTGGAGAACGGATAAAGAACTTCATCTGGAAAGAAAACAGTATTCGTTAACTGTCATCGAGAAGGGAAGAAAGAAGGAGACTGCAACATGTGTAATAGCACACGATAAGTTTCATTGATTGTTTGTTGCTTCATGCAATTCATTGTGTGAAGGCTGAGATACTGCTCGGGCGCCCAGACGGAAGCAGGTGTTTTTATTAAGGGACCACCCCTCGAGCCCTTGACTTGGAGTCTAATCCGCAAGACAGCGGAGCAGCGTCAGGAGCTGCATTTAAATGGTTTCCGGTGACCCATATGGGTTCATACACCATTTGATCCGATTGGATACCGGAGCCCATGTACCTGATGGTAACTGCTTTTAGTTTAACCGCTATCCAAACAGCCTTCCTGACATGGTAGGACCTGCAGGGACAAAGTCCCAGTCAGTTTAGCACGTTGGGTCATTACGGTATTCAAGCCTGACCACTACACGACAAGGTAGCAGTTATCGGCCGGGACTTATCTAGCAGGAGGTTATGAATGCTTCATAACATGAATGTATTTCGAGAGGAATATCGAAGTTCATCCATCCTTGTCTCAACTAGGTCGTTTATATGGGTGAAAAAATCTGAATCCCTACAAAACCTATAATCTATATATTAATATTCAGCTCATTGTCTGGTGGATGGATGCTGCCATAAAGTCGTACTAAGTAGTCGTGACCAATGTGGTCTATCATGTCAAGGTGAAGTGGATGCCGTTCATCGGAGGCATTGATGGCCGTACCGCTGTATCATATGAATCGGCGAAAGTTAGAGCCTAAAAGTCAGTGAATTCTAGACGAAGCAGCTGAATGGTTAACGTGCATAGCCTCGTAATCTGAAGGTTTCAGGTTCGATACCTGGTTAGATAGTGTGTGTACACCGTTAGAGAGTCTCGAACTGAGACAAGACAGATATCCAGTACTCCTTTTTGGTAGTTTTCAAGGATTTCTAACTGGTATTGATTAGTGATAAGGTCTACGTTCAAGTTGATCTCTATCTCCCTATACAATTTGTGATATTCTAAATACCCGAAATAGCACAGTAGTAATGAATTAGATTACTTTCGGTTTTACATCTCCCTTTGTGAAAACTGTAAAACAAATGTCATTTTAAGTGTGTTCACGAACTGACATCAGTCGAGAACCAGTGAATACCAGTTGTTTCGTTGTTGTTTGTTACTCTTCATCAGTACTCATCCATGACCCCCTCCCCCACATCGCCAGGGGGATTGAACTTAGGATCTTCAGGTTAAAAGGTGAGGTCGTTGACGATGAAGCCATTGGGATGGAATTTACTTGGTGACCATTAATTCTAGATTTCTCTCCTCAACATATCAAACTGAATGAACCTTGCTGTTGTGGTCATAACTTCCCAGTAGAACTTCAAGCGACTTTATCCTGCAGTCATCAGCAGTTACTACTACTAGTAGTAGTGAGTACTAGATTATTTTTCTTTTCAAGTTTTGGTTTCCACGAGTCCCAAACATGTACTGAACCACACTGCCCAGTACTCTCTGGCTTTCAACGGCCTGTCTGTCTGAAGTCAATTCTTGATCAACTCTAAAATCAATTGAATCCTCTGCAAACCAACGGTTGAAAATTTTATTTCAAGTAGATTTTTCGTTAATATATGTGTGTAGAACTTGGGAAATCAATCGACGAAGTCGTGAAGCTACAAAGACTGAGATGGTTAGGACATGTGTTACGTATGCCTGGTCATCGCCTCCCTCGACGAGCAATGTTAGCGGATATAGGGTCAGGCTGGAAAAAAGCTAGCGGCGGTCAAACAAAAACTTGCCATCAGTCAATGAAATCCACAACAGTTGGTCTAAGCCATGTAGAAAGATGTAGACTTCCAGGCTGGGGTCCTCGGGACGGTAAAAATCTATGGTTGGAAACAATTGGTGACATGGCTCAAAATCGTTCTCAGTGGCGCAGATGCATCCACTCCCTGTGACTTATGATCTTCAATGAAACTGTTTTGTATTTCTTTATTACTCCTTTGTCTCACACCTCTGCTCACTGTTTGTATTATGCTTTTCTTGTACTTTCTTCTCTTGCTTCGCGTGCTACACGGAATGTGGCGACTTGAACTTCCGCACATTTGTGCAAAGTTCTATGTCGAAAACAGACAGACAGACAGTAGAACTTGGGCACTGTGGTAGGAGTATGTAATTCAATATTAGTTTGTTTCACACAGGGAAGAAACATTACTATTTACTGGATGACAATGTTTCGAGCACAATTCATCATTAGTCATAATCATTTCATCAATTATAATCAGATGACTTCGAAACTAGAGTTTTATAGCTCTCTCTGTTCTCTCTTCTTTATCGTCGTAGGGGTAGTAGAATTTTCCAGATATCTGGCTGGGCAGGTGTTGAGTCATTGCTATTACACGTATTTGCTCTCAGTTGATTCGATAAATAAAACCTCAGTCAGTTATCAATCTCTCCCTCCACCCTACAGTTACATTAGATTTTAAAACTGTCATCTTATCCCATCCATCCTATTGCATGGTTGTGTGTAACTGCATCGAATGCTACAGCTGAAGTATTCTCTAGATTTCTTATTTTATTCGGGTCAACTAATCTAGATTTTGCTAGGCTTTTATGTTCGGCTAGTCTGACTGCCCCTGTTCTACTAGTTTGACCTATGTATTTGACCTGACAATCATCTCAGACAGGGTATTAGATAAACTAAATTGTTTTGTTCCATAGGCAAGCAGAAATCGGAAAAGCAAGACAAGCTTTCATTACTCTCAAGTCTGTGTGGAGGTCAACATCACTCAGCATCAAAAATAAGATCCAGATTTTCAACTCCAATGTGAATTAAGTGCTAGTCACTATACGGATCAGAGACTTGGCGCCGCGTCATAAAGAGCACCTCAAACAAACTACAGACCTTCATTAACAGTTGTCTTTGCTCAATACTCAAAATGGCCAGAAAAGATCAGCAACAGGGATCTCTGACAATGAGCGAACCAACTCAGCAGGAACCGATTGTGAAACGAATAGGCAGGAAGAAATGGAGATGGATTGGCCATACTCTGAGAAGATAAACCATCAAGTGACATCACTAGACAAGCCATTGCTCGAGTGGGACTCGAAAGGGAAGCGGCGAGTTGGTCGTCAGTGCAAGGGTGACTTGGAGGAGGTCATGTGAAGAGGAGATGAAAGCATGTGGGCAGACTTGGAGCGGTGTGAAAACGTTGGAAGAGAACCGAACGCATTGGAGACGCGCGGCTGAAGCCCTATGTTCCTCTAGGAATTTATAATAATAATAATAATAAAGGCTCCACACGATCTTTTAACCGACAAAGGTTGTTTCTAATTGAGCTTGTGGGTGGTTTGAATGCCAGTCACTTTCATTCCTGCCTACCTTGCTAAGAATTCTGCGTAAGGCTTCCAAGGTTCCTTCCTTGTATGGAAGTACTACGGATGATTTCGATTCCTTATTGTTGGTGTCGTCAATAATATTATTATTATTACTGTGATTATTATCACGATCGCTACTATCATTATTTACCTTATTTTTACATTTCCCTACATATTTCCTGACTAACTTATCAGGGTAATTATTAAGTTTCAAGGCTTCTTTTATGTGTATCACTTCCAGTCTTAGATTTTCCTTGGTACTACTTAGTTTTTGTGCTCTGTCACTTAAACATTTCACCAATCCTATTTTCACTGACACAGAATGGGATGATCTGAAGTCCAAATATCTGTTTGAATGTGTGGGTTTCCTGTAAACACACACACCAGTGTGTGTTTAACTTCCCATCTTCTTTCCTTTTTACTCTACAATCTAACATTGGAAGCTCCCCTTTTAAGTGACTTTCTAATTCATAAGTGCATTGAATTGTCTCCACCTTTGAGTTAATGTGTTCGAAAAATGTGTTTATATCCTGTCAGACTGGCTACCTACCAAATAAGATAAGATATCTAGAGAATAGCTCAGCTATAGCACTACACCACATGCAATTACACACAACCATACTAAACGATGGGATGGGATAAGATGATAGTCTCAAAATCTAATATCACACGGTGGAGAGAGAGACTGCTAACTGACTGAGGCTTTATTTATCAAATCAACTGAGAGCAAATACGTGTAATAGCAATGACTCAACACCTGTCCAGCCAGATATCTGGAAAATTCTACTACCTCTACGACGAGGAATAGGAGAGAACGAAGAGAACTATAAAACTCAAGTTTCAAAGTCGTGTGATTATAATTGATTGATACGATTATGAACAGTGATGAAGTGTGTTCGAAACTGTGTCATCGAGTAAATACTAATACTGTTTCACTCACTGTGTGTGTGTGTGTGATACATCTAATAGACAAACTAATATAGATTTTCATAACTTTCTTTTATTTGTTTATTTCAGTAAGTCTCATTTTTCCTTTTTTCTGAATTATGTCTCTTATTATTCCATTAAAGGTTGACTTATATGGAAATGGTGAAAAGTTAATCATTTTTACTAGTCATCATGGGACAGTGTTTACTTATGATCATCTTGGCAATACAGTCTCACATTTTCAAGTAAGTTCTATTAGAATTAGTCGAGTTTTTTGTTCCTATGTGTATTCTAAGCGGAACACAGAAGGTTTCAAAAGCTTTTGATGCTGTTTTTGCTAACCTCACCTCACACTGAACCTCTTGTCTTTATCGATCTAGGAGAGGTTTAAGAGTGCGCCGGTGACCAGGAATCGAACCTTAGAACTTGTATGTGTAGCTGACGGGTATTCTGCTCCCTGCACTTACCGACTCACTTGAATGTTACTTTCAGTTAGGGAAGAAATAGGAAAATTGTAGTATGTTCACCATTGGTTGTGATTCTTGGCCACATTTAATAACATTATAAGCTACTAATTCAAACTATCTGTCGGACTCTTCAACCAGGGAGTGATGATGTACCAACTAATGCTAACCTAAGGTAAATGTCCCTCATTCCACGACGCCACGTCATGGGCTGACCATCTCTCCTCTTTTTCCATCCAGTCCTATGGTTAGCGAACAAAAACGTGGTACAAATGCCCCTGGGATGACATGTCCAAGCAACCGAAGCCTGTTTTTCCAGATGATGACAGTCAATGAATGGTGACATCCACCTTAATGAAGCACCACGCTACCGAACCTTAAAGTCCCTCACACAATGATGGACACAAACAAATTCTATGGAGACAGTAATGATCGAATACTCAGAGTTGCCGGACGTCCTCAGTTTGGAGCAACACTGACAGTCAAGCCATAGGTGGCCCAAGTTTGACGTATGCCAACCTAGCTTTCATCATATGTTTAGAAATTTCGTCTGTTACACCATCACCATCCATCACATAACTGTCTGTCTGTTTTCGACATAGAACTTTGCACCGATGTGCAACAGTTCAAGTTGCCACACTCCCTCTATATAGAACACAAAGAAACACAAGAAAGTAGAAGAAATGCATAATAGAGAGAGACAGTAAACAGAGGTGTGAGACAAAGGAATAGTAATAACGAAGAACAGTATAGTTTCATTGGAAATCATAGGTCACAAGGAGTGGATGCATCTGCTCCATTGAGAATGATTTTTAGCTAGCCATTAGTTTTTACCGTCCCGAGGACCCCAACCAGACAGTCAGGAAGTCTACATCTTCTTACGTCACTGGCTTAAACTAACTGTTGTAGATTTCATTGACTGGTGAAGCCATGTTTTGATTTGACCGCCGCTAGCTCTTTTCCAGCCTGACCCTATGTCCGATAACATCACACAATTAACCAGATACACAAACTTGTCGACATCTTGAAGCAGTTCATCTTTATGGGCAAGTGTAGATACAAGCTCCTGCCAATCTTACAATAGTTCTGTGCATTTAGAAGGTACACCGTACCAACCGTACTTATAGACACACTGATGCACTGACATGTACACTGTTTGAACATATGTCTTGGTATTACTGCGATTAATAACTTTATGTGACTAATTTATTGTCAGTATCTAGCAGTTTCATTCCTCATTTGGGACTCATCAACTGGATGAAATTTTATATTGATAAAAAAGAAAACCAAACGTTCCAATAATCTAGTTGACCCTGATCTGCTAGTTTGACCTATGCAAAGTTTATCTCTGAAAGAGTTGGTTAGTTGGTCGGTTGTTTGGTTTAAATGCCACGCCTAACTAATTCCAGCCTCATTGAGAATCCTATGTAAGGCCTCTGATGCCATTCTTTCTTGATACGGCAGTGTTACAGAGGCTTTGGATTCCATATGATTTTCATTAGCTTTAGTATTCTAACATTCATGGATAGTTCGAAGGAGAAGAGGAAGAAGTTATTGGAAGTGACAACTGTTCACTCCAAAACTGTTCCTTGTTCCCACTAGACAATACAGAGAGAGAGAGAGAGATTTAAATTCCTAAGCTGCATAACATCAAAATTTTTTGTTATTTTATTTTTCTATTCCTTCACGTTCCCAGTTGAGCATAGGGGGCTTGAAGGTAGACGCATGAAGTTTCGATAGCAGTGAGGGTTGTTAAACTCATACCCAACCCATCGTCTTTACCAGTCTTGTTTACTGACTTAGTGAGGTAAGATAGTGCGTCTGTGCCCCGGGGATCGAATCGTGAACCACATGAGGGCGTGGTTGGCGAGCATTCTACCACTGTGCCACCGACGACGAATAATAAAATTGGAATATTCATGCATTTATTCCCCTTGAAGAATTTGAGTGAATAAAGCAAGAACAACAGTGGTGGTTTGTGCAGAATAAGGAGATGGTACCGTCATTGCCTTATTTCATCGGCTTCTCATCAGCTCAACTGGCCTGCATACAGCCCAAAATAAATGTTCAGAACATGTAACGAAAAGTCTACGTCTCAAGGGAATAATCTCTTATAATAGCTCTATTACTCGAAATCTCCTCGATATGGGTCATGAGATAGGTGGAAATTGCGAAAACCTTTAAAATTATCAATAGACAAAGGAGGTCGATTCTCCTCCTTAAGTCTGCCGAAGCAATTTCTATCAAACGCTTGGAACCAGATTTATGTGTCCATAAAGAGGTAGTTATCAGTCTTTCCTTGCCCATCCTGGCAACTGGATGTCTTTATTTTCTCTTTCATTCGATTACGTAATCTTTGGCTTTAACCTCACCCCTCTTTTATAATCTATAATTTTGCTTGTCTCTTGTTTCTATGATTGTTACCTAACTTATTAGTCACCCTACATATAACGCATCTCTCGTCTTTATTACGTAACTCCTTTACCATTCATTGTATGCACACATACATTGAACTGCCTGTGTAAAAATTATATAAGCGTAATTTTCTGAGCACTGTTCACACTAATTGTGAAACCTTCTGTCAACTGACATCATGAAAACAAGAATTTGCAAGTATGTTGAAACTTTTCTGTACATAAATCTCCCCTCATAATTTATTTTGGGCTGTATGCAGGCCAGTTGAGCTGATGAGAAGCCGATGAAATAAGGCAATGACGGTACCATCTCCTTATTCTTCACAAGCCAACACTGTTGTTCTTGCTTTATTCAAAATTAAAAAAGATTATTGAGTAAAGTGGTTTTAAAAAGTTTTCTACTTTGTTGTGCATATATTTTCGAAAAATAAGAATTTTCTTTAACAATTGAATTAATAAAAAAAAATTAATAAGTAATTATTATATGTATTTTTTTATGACATATTACTCATTTAGATCCCAGATATTATTATTCGTGATCGAAATACTCTATTCACTAAGAATATTGATCAGAATTTAATGGATTCTATACGATGGGCTTCTGTGGATGATGGTGATGATGACGACAGGAAAAAGGTATGTGTTAGTTATTTGTGTTTTTGAGTGAATTTCAAGTATTAAGTCTTTGATCATAGGTGCCTGCGCTCTATTTCCCGTGTAAAGTGGCATAATAAGGTGAGCAACATTGAAGTTAGGCGTAGAGTTCTAGGTAAACAGGGGAAATCAATCGACGAAGTCGTGAAGCTACAAAGACTGAGATGGTTAGGACATGTGTTACGTATGCCTGGTCATCGCCTTCCTCGACGAGCAATGTTAGCGGATATAGGGTCAGGCTGGAAAAAAGCTAGCAGAGGTTTAACCAAAACATGGAACCAGTCAATGAAATCCACAACAGTTGGTCTAAGCCACGTAGGAAGGTGTAGACTTCGTGGGTGGGGTCCTCGGGACGGTAAAAATCTATGGTTGGAAACAATTGGTGACATGGCTCAAAGTGATCGTTCTCAATGGCTGACTAGCTTGTGCAGATGCATCCACTCCTTGTGACTTATGATTTCCAATGAAACTGTTTTGTTCTTCGTTATTACTCCTCCTTTGTCTCACATCTCTGCTCACTGTTTCTATTATGCTTTTCTTGTACTTTCTTCTCTTGCTTAGTGTGCTACACGGAGTGTGGCAACTTGAACTTCCGCACATTTGTGCAAAGTTCTATGTCGAAAACAGATAGACTGACAGACAGATTAAGTCGAAATGTTCTCTGTTCTTCTCTCTCTCTCTCTGGATTGACATGTCAGCGGATTCTAGAATGGATGCTTCTTTGACCAATGTCTCTTAGTTAACCAGATATTATTATGCTTGATCGATGGCGACTAACCGTAGAGATGCTCGTTTCGTCCTATTTGGAAATGACTCGTCAGCTGGATGTACCTGTGTAACAACAGAAGATAAGGGCGAGGCAACAGATTGTTTATTTAGGAAATCGACAGATATTTGTAGATTTTCATGTACATTATTGTAGATTATTGTTAGTAGACAAACACTGTCTTCTGATTGGTGGTTTCTCTCTAAACGTTAATCTTTCATCTCTCTGTGGCTGTTTCTTGAAGTTCAGATTATCTATCTGCAAATTGTGTCCACCTACGCAAAGTCTGCTATGGTTGGTTTTTGAATCAGTCTTTGTTCTTGTTTTTTTAACATTACTGTCTACCAATTTGGCTGGCAGCCAGCTGTCACCACACTCATACCCCCGTCAAAGACTTGCAGCTGTAGTTGGTTCTGTCTTCTTGGTTCTCGGGGCTTTGTTTATCTGTCTTGCCGTCTGAAATCCTGGGACTCGCTGATGTTCACCTGTTTCTGTTTGTTTACCATTGCGATTGTGTCTGCGTAACCCCATCTCAAGGTGACCATATGTGGTCGTGAATTACTGTCTGCCAATTCGGCTAGCAACCAGCTCTCACTACACCTGCATTCCACATTCAGAGTGAGTGATGGTGTTTCTTGCAGTAGGTTACAGACTATTCACTTACCAGGCTAAGAGTTATGTTCGTCGTTTGACAACAGATGATGATACTGTTCAGTTATGTGACTGCTAAAGTTGATTGGGGTGGGACTCGAACGTGTGAGCCTTCGGCAGAAACCGATTGTTTAAGCCAATGAACCGTACTTTCATTCTAGATTCCAGCACTGATTACCTTCATCAACCACCAAATGATAAGGTAGGTGTATATTAGTTAGTTATTTAGTTATTTAATTGGTCAATTCATTTGAAATATGCTTTTTAGCCTGTTTGGACGAGGTGATCAAATATAGAGGTGTTAACAGTTTTAACAAACCCTTTATTTAGTCACACTGGTAAGTGTTTCGGAGCACGAAAAATTAGGTTCCTAGAGCGACAGCCAGTTTGAATAGCTCCACTGTGAATCAATTTAATTGATAGATAGAATTAAGAGTGGCTAGCCTAGTTGCAGAATCACAACTGGTGGTTGTGTGCGAAATATATGCTGCAGTTAATCAGCATTAAACGTTCTTTGAATCAATTTCCTCAACTTGTTCGTTATTAGTATTATTATTATTTCATTTGGTGTATCACCTTTGAATTTTATTCGTATATATGTAGAGGGTTTTTGTTATAGAAAAAACAGAAGAAGCCTTTTCCACTTTCTTGGCTATATGTCTAACGATGAACTTTTCAGGGGAGCTGTGTTTTTTATTTAACGTGTCTTACATTATACAACTTTATGTTCATCTTCAATCACATTTTGTGAACAAATAACTCTAAGAGGAACAGTAGTGAATATTATTTTCATCCCAGATACAACATAAGCATCACTTATTTCTATTGAATTGACGATTGCAAATGATCGTGGAGTATACGCACTAGGACATAAAGGAAGAAGAGAACACGAAGTTCAGCAAAGATATATTTTCGACGATTTCATTTTCAATTATATATATATATATATATATATATATATATAATATTAAACACTATTCCGAACAACAATAATAATCATACACAATGGAAACTTTTTAGGATTACGCATTTGTCTGTCTGTCTGTTTTCGACATAGAACTTTGCACAAATGTGCGGAAGTTCAAGTCGCCACACTCCGTGTAGCACACGAAGCAAGAGAAGAAAGTACAAGAAAAGCATAATAGAGACAGTGAGCAGAGATGTGAGACAAAGGAGGAGTAATAACGAAAAACAAAATAGTTTCATTGGAAATCATAAGTCACAAGGAGTGGATGCATCTGCACAAGCTAGTCAGCCATTGAGAACGATCACTTTGAGCCATGTCACCAATTGTTTCCAACCATTAATTTTTACTGTCCCGAGGACCCCAGCTTGGAAGTCTACACCTTCCTACGTGGCTTAGACTAACTGTTGTGGATTTCATTGACTGGTCAAGCCAAGTTTTTGTTTGACCGCCGCTAGATTTTTTCCAGCCTGACCCTACATCCGCTAACATTTCTCGTCGAGGGAGGCGATGACTTGGCATGCATACGTAACACATGTCCTAACCATCTCAGTCTTTGTAACTTCACAACTTCGTCGATTGATTTCCCCTGTTTACCTAGAACTCTACGCCTAACTTCAATGTTGCTCACCTTATTATGCCACTTTACACGGGAAATAGAGCGCAGGCACTTTTGATCAAAGACAGCTAGTCTTTACATGTCTTCCACTCTCAGTGGCAGGTCTCACAGCCATGAAGGAGGACGAAGTGGACTGATGAGCAGCATTTAGATGAAAGAGAGATGAAAGTATCCAGTTACCAGGCAGGGCAAAGAAAGACTGATAACCGCTTCTTTCTGGATGCATAAATCAGGTTTCAGGCGCTTGATGGAAATGGCTTCAGCGAACTTGAGGAAAATTGAGCTCTTTCGCGCCTATTGATAATTTTGAACGACTTTTCGACGTCCACCTCATGATCCCCCTGTCGATGGCACTTTTTAAAGCATTTTTTCCCTTCACACACTTACTTTTTGGTGCATGCTCAGAAAATCGTAGATATGCCCTTCTTCTTTCTGTTCTTCCAATGTAACTGCTCCTACGGATACATGTAAATTTTTTTATGCATTTGGAGTTGTTAACATGAGAAGGATGAATATCTATCGATTTTTGATTGCACCAGAGAAGAGCAAATTGTTCGATAGACGAGGACAAGCTTAGCTGCAGGATAGGCTCTGGCTAGTTAGTCATGTACTCAGCCTTCTGTTGATCATTGCTGCAATGTTTTCACTTTTATAATCAAGTTGAATGTACACTGGCATTTTATCCACTGTGATTTGTTTGACATTCGAGACTTCAGATCTTCCATACTTGTTGATACACCTTTGAGGATACCCATTGCTCTTCAACATCTATTCAAGAAACTCTAATTCTTTCTCTAATTTCTCTTTAGAGCATATTCTCCTCGCTCTATAGTACAGAGTCTTGACTAGTCCGCGTTTAAAGCTATTTAAATGTAAGTATTGTCCTCTCGATGTAGGCTTTCGATAAATTGACTTCTGAAGACTACCGTCTTCTAGGCGTTGCATGGCATTGTCGAAGAAGTGGAACTTTCCGTCACTTTCATGTACCATACTAAACTCAATATTGGTGTGTACATTGAATAATCTGAGTAAGTGTGAAGCATGACTTTCATTGTTGCACACTATAAATGTTTCACCAATATATCGACAGTAAGAAGTTGTTTCGTCAATTGTATGCTTCAACTTTGTTCTTTCAAGGTTGGACATGAATATATCTGCTAAAACACTGCTAAGTGGACTGTCTGTTCCCGACCGAAAGCTGCTACCTTGACGTGGTGGTCGGGCTTGAACACCGCAATGACCTAATCAAGCTATACTGGCTGAGACTTATGTCTCTTGAGGTTCTACCATGCCAGGCAGGTTGTTTGGATAGCGGTTAAACAAAAAGCAGCTACCTCATCCAATACCATGATCCAAACAAATTCACAAAATTTCATGCCGGATCGGCCGTGGCCCGGATTAACAACGACCGCGCTTCCTGCTGCCGTGTCACAGGGCGGGAGTGATAAGTATGCTACTGAGGCACACAAAACAACGAAGAACGAACAAAAACAGGCCGCGTGTGACCGGCCACAAGCAGTTGTCCCCTGGGCTCTGCGGTCACGCAACCAACTTCCACGGTGTGGGCAGCCGGGAAGTAACAATCGCCCTCACAATCCAAAACGCACACAAAACCTCTCTAATCCTCACTTATCTTTGTCTTCATCTTCATCTCTATTACCTTACCTTCCCCCAGTGATGCAACTCCTCTACTTGATGGCTCCTCACTCCCTCTTCACTCTGTGTCCACTAAAAACGACGAAAGCCAAAAAACCACCACGGATAGTCTCCTAAAGCCACGCCACCAATTTCATATAGGAGCATTTAATGTAAGGACACTTTGCCAAATAGGACAACAAGCATCACTAGCTAAGACCCTGGCATCTCGAGCCATTGATGTATGTTGTGTTTCAGAAACACGCATACAAGACCCAAGTGTGGTTATTCACCTAACCCCACCTGGCCAACAGGATGAATCTTCAAAATTCACCTTGAGGGTGTCAGGAGATGCCACAGCTAGTTCACGGGATTAGCTGGCGTAGGGATAGCTCTGAGTACTAGGGCAGAAAAGACATTGCTTGACTGGATCCCAGTAGATAGCCGAATGTGTGCTGTCCGTCTGAACGGATCAGTAAGAAGGAGAAAGGACTGCACTACTCGCCGATGCCTTTTCGTAATCTCCGCCTACGCCCCCACTGACTGCAGTTCGGATGAAACGAAGGATGAGTTCTACCAAAAGCTGTCTAGTTTGGTGAGAAAGGCTAAACGCTCAGATATAGTCGTTCTAGCTGGTGACTTCAACGCTCAAGTAGGGAAATTGTGTCAATCTGAGAAGGATGTCGGTGGCACCTATGGAGTTCCGTGCCAGCGAACCGACAACGGTGACCGTCTCCTACAGTTCTGTTCAGATAATCATTTGTTTCTTGTAAGCACTAACTTTAAACACAAGGAGAGACACTGTTTAACCTGGCGACCCCCATCATCAAACCAACGCTGGACACAAATAGACCACATAGCAATAAGCTATCGTTGGCGTGGGTCGGTAGGAGATTGTCGCTCCTTCTGGAACACGTGTGTAGATACCGATCACGCACTGGTCCGGGCTCGTGTGTGCTTACGACTGAACGGACGTAGGAAACAGCTGGCGGTAAAACCATTACGCCCCCAGCTCGATCAGGAAACTAAATCCCTATTTGAGGAAGAACTAGCTAAACGCATATCTGAATCCGACAGCTGTGCTCACCCTGGAGAAGCCTGGAAGAATATTCAGTCAGCTATAGATACAGCTGTAAAAGCTGTGAATAAGACAAATCCAAAGGTGAGTAAAAACCACTGGATTTCGACTGCCTCATCCGAACTGATAGATGCTAGAAGACTTATTCCGGCGAGCTCCGAATTCAATGAGGAGCGAAAGCTGCACAAAAGGAAACTTACTAAAAGTCTCCGCAAGGACCGTGAACAGTGGTGGGTGACAAAGGCGAAAGAGATGGAAAAAGCATTGGCGATAGGCAACACTAGGCAACTCTTTAGACTCATCACAGAATCGGGCGGGAAAAGGCAATTCATAAGTGAGACTATTTCTGAGAAAAATGGCTCCTTAATTAGCTCTCAGGATAGACGCCTTGAACGCTGGAAAGAACACTTTGAGGAACAATTTAACTTGCCTACAGCCACACTGAACCTCCCCGCCATCCACCACGTACCCGAATGGGATATAGACACTGGTCCGCCGTCTGTAGGTGAGGTTACAAAAGCTATCAGTAATTTGAAACGAGGCAAAGCGGCAGGACCCGACGGAATTATTCCGGAGGTGTTTAAATATGGGGGTGACATACTAGTTTGTAGATTAACTGAGGTACTAGGCAAAGTCTGGGAATCAGAGACAGTACCATCAGACTGGGGTAAGTCACTTATTATACCGATATTCAAGAAGGGAAACAAGTCCTCGTGTGATAATCATAGGGGGATCAGCCTAACGAACATAGTCTCTAAAATCCTAGGCTCAGTAATCATGCATAGACTAAGCAGAACTCGGGAGGAACAGACAAGGGAAAATCAAGCAGGCTTTAGACCAGGTAGAGGGTGCATAGATCATATCTTCACTCTTCGACAGATTCTAGAACATAGACACACTTTTCGGCGTCCAACAATTGTCATATTTCTTGACTTGAAGGCGGCCTTCGACTCCGTGGACCGAAAGGTACTATGGCAATGTCTGACTGTGAAGGGAGTGCCAAGAAAGTACATTGCACTAATCAAGGCACTCTATTCAAACTCACGTAGTCGTGTAAGGGCTTATGGGGAATTGTCATCTGAATTGGTAACAACCAGTGGTGTCCGACAGGGATGTCCACTTTCCCCATTTCTGTTTAACTTCATCATAGATATGCTAATGGAAGTATCCTTAACTGAACGTAGTGACTTAGGAATCGACTTGTTACCAGGGAATAATCTAATGGACTTAGAATATGCAGATGACATAGTCCTGTTAGGGGAGGATGCTGACAAAATGCAGAGTCTTCTGAACACCTTGAGCAGCAATCTTCGTATGTTTGGCATGCGATTCGCCCCTGCAAAATGTAAGATGCTGCTACAGGACTGGACGACGTCAACCCCTAACTTAGTGATAGGGAGTGAAGTGATAGAACATGTTGACCACTTCACCTACTTGGGAAGTTGTATTAGCACCAACGGACTGATTGGCGATGAAATCTCAGCACGGATCCGAAAAGCTCGAGCTGCTTTCGCTGACTTACACCATCTCTGGCGTAGGCGTGACATCCGGTTATCAACCAAGGGACGTGTGTACTGCTCATCAGTTCGCTCCGTCCTTCTCTATGGCTCTGAAACATGGCCAATACGCGTTGAAGACATGAAAAGGTTGACTGCTTTCGATCATAGATGTCTGCGATCTCTGTCTCACGTTAGGTGGTTTCACAAGATAAGTAATGTTGACGTTAGGCGTAGAGTGTTGGGCAAAGAGGGAAAATCAATCGACGAGGTTATAAAGTTACATAGACTAAGATGGCTAGGTCACGTGGTGCGCATGCCTAACCACCGCCTCCCCCGACGGGCATTGTTAGCTGATATAGGTTCAGGTTGGAAAAGAGCCAGTGGTGGCCAAACAAAAACATGGCATCAATCCATGAAATCCTTGACAGTTAAACTGAGTCAGGTAGGGAGATGCAGACTCCCGGGTTGGGGCCCTCGGGACTCTAGGAATCAATGGCTGGAGACAATAGGTGACATGGCTCAAAATCGTTGTCAATGGCGCAGATGTATTCAATCTCTGTAATCTTTCATATTCCTTTCTACCATTACCCATTCTGTTTCACTCTTATATTTGTCAAACTCTATTAATTCTCTTCACTCATCTTCTTGTCTACCTCTGTGTGCTATTTGGAACGTGGCAACTCGAACTGCTGCACTTCGGTGCCAAGTTCTATGTTGAATCCAGAAGTGGACTGTCTATGGCTACGCCATCTATTTGGCGGTAAAGAGTATTGTCAAATTGGAATTACACATAAGCAGTAGGCGTTTGAATTCCGACTCTGGGAGTGGGAGAATATCAGACTGTTGACAAATGATCTCAATAGTTTCGTTGATTGGAATCATTGTGAACAAGGAGGTTACATCAAATGACACCATGAACTTATTTAAGACGTTCATGTGGTTCACAATTTCAGAGAAATGAAATGAGTCTTTCATAGTGTGCACGACTAGCTGTTGACGAATAGGTCCCAAATTCTCTGCAAGCCAACATGCCACCTTATGTTGGGGCGAGTTGATGCCACTTTATTTTGCAGAAACTGTAGTTCTTGCTTTGTTCAAATTTATATGTCATTCAATTGATATTTTTACCATATCCCCTATCCAAATCATTATCACAAAGGATGAATTATTTAATTAATTCTCTGTTTTGTTTATTATTTTTTTTATATATATTTAGAATCTTCGTTTACATCCATTGGTTTATGGGACTCCTCAACTGCTTACAACTATTATTAATCCATCATCAGCGTATATAGAAGATGCTAATAGTTTTTTGTATACAACTGATCTCATGCATATAGCAGTCAATTTTATCACCTATCCATATGATCCAATAGCCAAGAATGAATCCACATTAGGCGTACTAATAGCAACTGTCGTCAATATACCACGATGTGCTCTACTGTCGCTGCCCAATTTACAATTAAATGATATCGATTCTTGTCTACCGCATTTTAAAGTGTTGGAAGTTGACTGGGTAGGTAATAACTAATTATTATTATTATTGTTTTTACGAGTTGATCACGGATTGATATATCAGTTAGAAAACCATTGAAAATTAGCACTGGAGTACTGGAAAGCTGCTGTTTCATCCCACTAGTTTGGGAATCATCGTCAGTACGCACCCACTGCTAGGGTTTGAACCCAGGACCTTATGGAAAAACTAGTACTTCTTAAACTCGAACCCTCCCTTTAGAAGGTTTGAAGAACCCAAACAATTTGCCTACAGACAGGGTGTAGGAGTACTTTAGACGCTGCAGTCGCCTTACACAACAGTATCGTCTCATCATTAGATAAAGGTGCCAAATACGTCTGCTGCACGTTTCTCGGCTTCACTTCTGCTTTCGACTATGTACCTTGGATGTCTCTTGCTAAATAAGCTCTCCGTGACACAAACTCAGTCCTGGGTCACTAACTGGTTGCATTCCTACTTCTCTAACAGAATGCAGTACACTGTTTACAAAAGCGAATCCTCTACTGCTGTGCTCACTGAAGCTAGTATCCTCCAAGGTGCTGTACTCTCCCCACTTCTCTTTTCTTTCTCCCTACATGACTTACCATCTTCAAATGACATTAATTTTGTCAAATATACTGATGACCTAACTGTATCTTTGCCTGTCAAATGTCAAAGTGACTGCACTAAACTAAACGGCGTTTTATCAGAAGTTAGCCAATAGTCCAAGTAAAACGGTCTCACCTTAAACCCCTCCAAATGCCAAACAGTTAATTTCACCGCTTTAGGCACAAATCTGACCTAAACAAACTGGTTATCACTCACACGAGATGTGCAACATCGATGGCACTGAAGTAGAAACCAAGTCAGAAATTAAATACCTAGGCGTCATTCTATCTTCTGATCTTTCTTGGTCGTCTCATATCTTGATGATTTCTGAGAAAATATTCCGTCTTACCTTCTACATCAAGAAGTTAAGACATTCTGGTGTAACCCAACCGTTACTCCTACAATTTGTTAACTCCCGTATTCTTCTGCCTATTATTCTCTATTGTTCCCCCTTAGTCTTTCCAGGGCTGGCTACTGAAGAAAGACTATGCCTTATTACGTAGGATGTTAAAGGTTGTCAGCAGGGTAAGCAGTTTGCCACTTAGCCAGCTTGTTAATATTCTGGTTAACAGGCACATGGACTCATGTGAAGGATGGTCGGGGGTGGGTGCCTTGCGCTGCGGGTTGGCCACCCCTCCGCACACCTCTTGAAATGCTCCCATATGACCGGGCGTCTTACATAGCCTCTCCTGAGGAAGTCCTACTCACTGCCTTCACGTGGCGGAGGTGTTTCTCACCAAAGTGAGAGGGCGAAAGCGGATGCCCGGCGCTCTCCACCGGGTTGACTGCCCATTGGATGACGGTCTAGGGGAGATGGCTAAACCCTGATTCCAAACCTCCAACGACTGGCGTATGAAGCTCACTGGAGTTCACCGGCAGACGTATGGACAAAGGGCTTATTGGATGCCCTGGATGTCTGGCCCCATTCAAAAAGGCGTATGAACCGAACTCCGGTCACCGGCTTCCAATGGATAGTGGACTCCTTACTCCACTCCTACTGCCTTGTAGGTCACACTTGGCTGTGTAAAGGCTAGAGCTGCACTCTCAAACAAAAGGCCGAGCGATCCTGGGGACATCACTCGTACCAAATTCCCATGAAACTTCATGAACTCTCTTACAAATTGCCGCGCCTGAGCAGTGATGATTCGAGACGTTCATGAAGCCGGCTGATCCTCCCGTAGGAGATAGCCGAAGTAAAGTAAGTAAGTATGTGAAAAATGGGCGAAATCCATTTTATCTGACTCACTCCATCCTCTTCATTCACAACTCTCCCCATGTATCTCTTCAGGGAAAACCAGAAGCCTATATAGGAAACTATATGCCCGGACTAGTAAGTACAAAATCTCATCCATACCCTACCTAGCTCGTGTTCTGTGAGATAAAGAAAGCGTTAGGCGTGAAACCTTTACCTTATTAAATAGTCAGTAGAACAAATGGTTCTCGTCTTTCCAACTCATATCATTTGTAGGTACAGCGTTTTCCTTCTGTTTTCCTTTTCTCCCTCTTTTTTGTGTTGTTATGTGCTGTTTTGTTTCTCTCTTCCTTACAAACTCTGCTTAAAACATTCTTCTTCGCTCTTTCACACTCTGCATATCTCGACCATTTTGTTACCGCTTACGCCAGTAAATATGCTAGAACCTACTTTTCTAACACTTTCGAACATTCTGTTCACCTTTGGCCTTGCTAACGATATGCCAATTTGTTGTTGTCAAAACTAACTGAGATTACCCTTAATCTATGTAGAATTTTATTTTATTGTTAATTTAGTAACTAGATGCAATACTGTAGTAAAAATGCTGAGAATTCCATTTTGTATCGCAAGTACTGTTTTGGAATAAAGCTATTATCATTATTATTATTATTCCAGTTACAAGGCAAGTTGGCTCGTTTACCATTCAGCCCAGTCACTGGGATCCGATTCAATGGCTCATGAATTCTAACTTCTACCAATTCGTGATTTAGCGCGACCCCAACCAGTTAGAATTCATGAGCCATTAAGTCGGATCCCAGTGAGTGGCTGAATGGTATACGAGCCAGCTTGCCTTGTAACCGGAAGGTCTTGGATTCCAACCTTAGCAGTGGGTGCGTACTGCTGATGATTCGCAAACTAGTGGGATGAAACAGCTGTCCAGTACTCCAATGCTGGTTTTCAATGGTTTTCTAACTGATATCAATCCGTGATCAACTCGTAAAAACAAAACATAACTAACCCTTACAAACCAAACTATAGAAAATAATTCTTGTTCACAAAAGTCTTGAGTTCTGGAATACCCGAATAGCTCTATGGTAACGTGGTGCAGGTGCCGCTTGCGGGTTCGAGTCGAATAGACACGTGGCCTGTTGCCTTCAAACGCGGATCGCTATCAGTTATAGAACTATTGAAAACCACTAGGGAATACTGGATAGCCTAGTTCGGGGATCATCGGCAGTACACACCCATCGCGCTGGGGTTTGAACCCCAGGATCTTCTGGTTACAAGACAAGCTCGTAGACCATCAAACCCCTGAGACCCAGTCCAATGGCCAACCCATGAATTCCAACTTCTACCACTTAGTGATTTTAGTGCAACCACTAGCCAATGTCATAAACGGGAACTCTATCCTCACTCTTCATGACTTCTCACTAGAACTCTAGGCGTTCCCACCGATGACATTAGTGGCTGGTGGCCGCGCTAAAATTTCGAATCGTTAGAAGTTAGATTTCATAGGTTGGTCATTCAAATGGGTTCCAATGGCTGAACTGTCTACGAGCTAGCTTGCCTTGTAACCGGAAAGTCCTGGCATCGAACCTCAGTGCAGTGTATGCATCCTGTCGATGATTTCCAAAGTGGAGTGAAGAAACAGCTGTCCAGTACTCCCCATGGCTGGTTTTCTAATAGTTCTCTAGATGTGATGTCAGCTCATGATGAAGTGCTCCAACCAATCAAACAAAATGCCTACAAAAATACTACTTGAAAATAAATCAATTTTAATCAGACAGTTTCACAATTTGCCTCTTATACATTTTATGTCTTTCCCTCTCTCCAACTTCCTTTTGTTGTTTGTTGTAACCTTCCGTATCTCCGGTATAGGCGTCGCATCATTCCGATTGCACGTGTGACCTGTTGAATCGATAAACAAAGCTTCAGTGATTAACCTCTCTCTCTTCAATTACCTATATTACTTTTAATGGGACAGGGTGAGATGTGGAAAGTGGCAACAAACAACACGGGGAAGTTGGAGAAACAGAAAGGGATAGACTATGCAGAAAACCTTGTCATCTAAATGTTAATACTACATGGCATCGCTGTGCAATATTTACAATAAACTTATGTAATATGGAACTATATTCTATCACAGAGTGCTCAAGTTCTACTGCCTACACAGAACTTTGTACCGATGTGTAGCAGTCCAAGTCTTCCTGTGATAATCACAGAGGAATTAGCTTGACTAATATAGTATCTAAAGTCTTAGGCTCAATAATCATGCGTAGACTGAGTGGTGCTCGGGAAGCACAAACACGAGAGAGCCAGGCAGGTTTTAGACCAGGAAGAGGGTGTATTGATCATATCTTCACCCTCCGACAGATTCTAGAACATAGGCATTCCTACCGGCGTCCAACAGTCATTATATTTCTTGACCTAAAGGCAGCATTCGACTCTGTCGATCGGGAAGTTCTCTGGAGATGCTTGGCTGTAAAGGGAATTCCGAGAAAATATATTGCACTGATTAAAGCACTCTATTCGTACTCATACAGCCAGGTGAGGGCTTACGGCGAGCTGTCATCTGAACTGATGACGACCAGTGGTGTCCGTCAAGGATGCCCATTATCTCCTTTTCTATTCAACTTCATCATAGATGTGTTAATGGACTTAACTCTAGGTGACTTCAGTGGCTCAGGAATTGACTTGCTACCGGGGAATAATCTCGTTGACTTGGAATATGCAGACGATATAGTCCTTTTAGGCGAAGACGCTGACGAAATGCAGAGTCTTCTAAACACCTTGAGCCGCAATCTACGAATGTTTGGCATGCGATTCGCTCCCGCCGAATGCAAGATGATGTTACAGGACTGGACTACATCGCCGCCTAGTTTAAAAATAGGAAGTGAAGTGGTAGAGCACGTTGACCGCTTCACTTATTTGGGAAGTACCATCAGCCAGTGCCAACGGGCTGATCTCTGACGAAATCTCAGCACGAATACAAGGGGCTCGTTTCGCATTTGTTAGTTTACGCCGACTCTGGCGTAGACGAGATGTTCGACTATCGCACAAATGTACAGAAGTTCAAGTCGTCACACTCCGTGTAGCACGCGAAGCAAGAGAAGAAAGTACAAGAAATGCATAATAGAAACAGTGAGCAGAGGTGTGAGACAAAGGAGTAATAAAGAAATACAAAACAGTTTCATTGAAGATCATAAGTCACAGGGAGTGGATGCATCTGCGCCAGCCATTGAGAACGATTTAGAGCCATGTCACCAATTGTTTCCAACCATAGATTTTTATCGTCCCGAGGACCCCAGCCTGGAAGTCTACACCTTCCTACGTGGCTTAGACCAACTGTTGTGGATTTCATTGACTGGTCAAGCCAAGTTTCTGTTTGACCGCCGCTAGCTTTTTTCCAGCCTGACCCTATATCCGCTAACATTGCTCGTCGAGGGGGGCGATGACCAGGCATACGTAACACATGTCCTAACCATCTCAGTCTTTGTAGCTTCACGACTTCGTCGATTGATTTCCCCTGTTTACCTAGAACTCTACGCCTAACCTCCATGTTGCTCACCTTATTATGCCACTTTACACGGGAAATAGAACGCAGGCACCTATGATCAAAGACAGCTAGTCTTTTCATGTCTTCCACTCTCAGTGGCCAGGTCTCACAGCTGGCCATAAAGGAGGACGGAGCGGACTGATGAGCAGTACACCCACCCTTGCTCACCCTGTTACACCTACCACCTAACACGGGAGATAGAATGCCGGCACCTGTGATCAAAGATAGCTAAGTTCTACGTTTGCATTTGTGTCAGGCTTTTCTATTTCAATAGCCAAATCTTCAGTAGAACAGATCAGTTAGATGTGTAATACTTTGGGCAGATTATTTTTTAAAACAACATAATCGAGCAAAGAATATTCTTTTCAATAAATTCCTCTTCTGGCTCTACAGTTATATACATGTTTATATACACAGAATATTCAAGGTTGGTAGTTAATAACAATATTAGTGTTTTTTAAATAATATCTATTTTAAAGCAAGATCAATGCAATTACAGTTCACTAAAAATACTTAAATTATACTAGTAATTAAGATATAATAGCGAGTAGGTTATCAACTAAAATTAGGAAATTCTCACGAAAATTGAGAACCCTGGCCATCTAGGTTTGAATGATTCTCAATTTTCGTGAGAATTTCCTAATTTTAGTTGATATCCTACTCGCTATTATATCTTTATTACCATTATAATTTAAGTATTTTTAGTGAACTGTGGAGATTCCATTGTGATCTTACTTTACAAATCGATTTTATTTAAAAAACACTAATATTGTTATTAACTACCAACCTTGAATATTCTGTGTATATAAACATGTATATAATTGTAGAGCGTGGGAGAGGAATTTATCGAAAAGAGTATTCTTTGCTCGATTATGCTGTGTTTTAAAGATATCTGAATGAATATTTTTGCTAGATTATTTTTTACCATTTAGATAACTAATGCTCTAAAGGAAGAGGTTATAGGAATGAAGTGGTCAGTTTTGACCAGATGTTCATTTATCACACTTCTTATAGTCCCACCTCCACCACGTCTTTTTTATCACGCAGAACAAAACGTGCATTGAAAGGACGACCGATTTACCTAGCGCCGAATAGAGAGTTAGTCAACCACAGGATCTTGTCCTGGTGATGGTGGTTGACAGCGAATGACTTTTCCTGAGGGACTATGGGAGATGTTTCTTTTTTTCCGGTGGTTAACAGCTAATTCACCTTTGCATTCACGGTTCTTCTTAATTAGCATTTTGTTGGTTACAGACGTTTTAAGTCACAGTTCGTATGTATGTTTTAAATGTCTGTTAACTCCCAACTAGACTGTACTAAGACGAACAGTTTACTATCAAGAGTTAGCAAATGGTCTTCGTCTAATGGTCTGTCTTAAACTAAATCCTTCCAAATGTCAAACTGTTAATTTCAGTTTCTGATGTAAAAGAAAGTTAAACGATGAAGCTGTTAGTTCCTATGACCGATGTAAAATTGATGATACTGATATAGAAACCAAGTCTGAAGTTAAAGTATCTTGGATTAATTCTTTCTACTGAACTATCCTGGTCTTCCCACGTCTTAGCGATTTCTGAAAGAACATTTACATGAAGAAGTTAAGACACTGCGGCATGACTCAACCCCCCCTTCTCTTACAGTTTGTCAACCCATGTATCTTATCTATTCTTTTTTACTGTTCACCCTTACTTATTCTTTCCTGGATTGCTTAAAAAAGACTATGTCATACTTCGTAGAACTCTGAAGACTGTCGGCCAATAGGGCGAGTGGTGGTGTCCCATTGGGCCATATCGTTGACATTGTCACTGATAGACACTTGATGTCATGCAACAAATTTAATAAAGGAATTTTCTCAGACTGTGAACATCCACTACAGTACCTGCAGCTCCAACCTTGTGTCTCCTCCTCAGTTAAAACAAAAAGTCTTTTCAGAAGACTTTATGCACGTACGTCTAAGTATTAAAAAAATTCCACTATACCATATTTGATGGCACGTACTTTATGTGATGAAAATAGTGTCAGGCATGAACTAACTAACTAACCTTCTTTGCACTACTAAATAAACCATTTCTTCTACCCTTACAGTACCAAATTTTATTGTTATTGTATTTCTTATATTTACAATACTCTCAACTTTTTGTTTTTATTAATATATTTTTCATAAGTGTGAACATCGTTTGAGCTGTGTTACCACTGTTAATCTTGTCTTTCCCCTCACCATGCTGCTATATCAACAGAACATTAGATTCAATACTCTATAATAACATGCTAAAATTTCCAACCTGAATCGACAATACTGTTTCAAACAAACTCACTGTTATTATTATTATATATTTACTAATCTCAATTCGTGCATTGAATATTTTTGACTTTATATTGTAAACGTGGACAAATTCCTCTGGTTCCTATTTTTTGAATTTTAAATTTTATTTATACTTTAGTAAATGAGATGCAAGATATTGTGACAAATGCTGAGAATTCCATTCTGTATTATAAGTACTGCCTGTTTTGGAATAAAGATTATTATTGGTTTACAGGATTTCATCATGAGCTGACATTGGTTAGAGAACCATTGGAAAACTTGGGAGTACTGGACAGCTGTTTCGTCCCAGTTTGGGACTCTTCATCAGTACGCACCCAACAACAGGGTTGGAACCCAGGACCTTCTGGTTACAAGGCTAGCGAGTTTGTAGACTATTAAGCCACTGGGACCCGATCCAATGGCGAGCCCATGAATTCTAACTTCTGCTAATTGATGAAGCCCTACAAACCAACACTTGAATATCAATGAGGTGCTCACTAGCGACTGGCTCTATTCAGGTAGGTAGTTACCTGGGGTTCTAGTGAGAAGTCGTGACCAGTAGGGTGCAGCAGGTCGGGTGTGAGGACAAATACTCGCCGAAGACATTGGCTGGGGTCGCGCTATGTCGTTAATTGGCAGAAGTTGGAATTCATGGGCTGGCTATTGGATTGGGTCCCAGTGGCTTAATGGTCTACGAACTCGCTAGCCTTGTAACCAGAAGGTCCTGTGTTCGAACCCCAGTGCGTGGGTGCGTACTGATGAAGAGTCCCAAACTAGACTGAGGAAACATTTTCCAGTACTCCTTGCAGGTATTCCAATGGTTCTCTAACCAATGTCAGTTCATGTTGAAATCCTGTTATCCAATCAAATCCCTACAAACCAACACTTGAATATTATTAATATTATTATTATAAAACATGACAGCTATTCACTTCTGATTAATACCTATCCCTAGAAGATTTGTCTTCACCTTCAAAGTAGTATGAAAATTCTTCTTCTTATACTCTGTGTTCCTGTCAATTTTATTGATTTATTTTATTGATTTTTTTGTTTGTTGTTTTGCTCTTTATCGTCTATAGTTATCGTCTAAATTACCACCGTATATCTTTTCATCACCGACAATCAGTGCTAATTTATTCGAGGAGACTCGTGTCAAAGAGTACTACTCACAGATACCTAGTTATTATAGTTATATAACTACATTCAGTGGAAAACTCCACGTCATTAAATTATCAACATTGAATAATGGAAAGGAGAAAATGAAGAAGAGGAGGAGGAGAGAAAGGAGCGCTAGTGTTATTTCAATTGCTTATACTTTGCGTATTACCCCAACATCTTTCTCAGTAAGTAGTAGTTATGTATACTTTGGTGGTTGTAAGCTATTATGTTATTATTAGTATTATTATTAATATTCCTTTGGATTCCGGACAGGAACATAGGGTTTCAGCAGTGGTAAGTTTTAATTTCATTCTGTTGTCTTCAGTCTGTCTGTCTGTCTGTTTTCAACATAGAACTTTGCACCGATGTGCGTGGAACAGTTCTGTAACAATAGAAGACAAGGGCCAGGCAACAGATCGTTTTATTATGAAAATCAACACGTATTTATACATATTTCACATACATTACTATAGCTTATGCAAGTAGACAAGCTCAGTCATCTGATTGGTTGTTTATCAGAAGTTAGGCTGATAAACGCAGGCTTCTGATTGGTTGTTTCGGGATTCCTCGACAAATAGAGTTCTCTATCTGCGAATCATATTTTGCCACGTTAACTTTGCTGTGATTGGTTGTTGAATCAGCCTTGTTCATATTTTCTCACGGCCTGCTCTCACCACAGTTCAATTCGCCACACTCCCTCCATGTAGCACACAAAGAAACAAAAGGAAGTAAAAAAGAAATACATAATAGAGACAAACATAAACAGAGATGTGTGACAAAGAAATATAAAAGTAACGAAGATCAATCATCAATTGTTTCCAGCCTTCATTGGTTTTTATCGTCCCGAGGATCCCAACCAGTCAGTCAGTCAGGAAGTCTACATCTTCCTACGTGACTGACTGGCTGGCTTAAATTAACTGTTGTGGATTTCATTGACTGATGAAGCCATGTTTTGGTTTGACCACCACTAGCTGTTTTCCAGTCTGATCCTATATCAGCTAGCATTGCCCATTGTCCAGGAAGGCGGCATGACTAGGCAGGCATACGTAACATAACATGTCCTAACCATCTCAGCTGATGTAGCTTCACAGCCTCGTCGATTGATTTCCCCTCCCACCTACCTAGCAGCCCACCGAGGCCTAACCTCAATATTGCTTACCCTATTCCACCTACCATTTCCCACGGGAGATAGAACGCAGGCACTTATAATCGAAGAAAGCTAACCAGGCTTTTAATGTCTTCCACTCTCAATGGTCAGGTCTCACAGCCATCCATAAAGGAGTACGGAGCGGACTTCTGCTGAGCAGTACACCTGTCCTTTGGTCGATAGCCAGCTGGATGTCACGTCTACGCCAGAGACAGCGTAAACTGGCATATGCAAAACTAGCTCTCTGTATTTGTGCTGAGATTTCGTCAGAGATCAACCTGTTGGCGTTGACTGATGCGACTTCTCAAATAAGTGAAGTGGTCAACACACTCAACAACCACTTCACTTCCTATTTCTAAACTGGGAGTCAATGTATTCCAGCCCTGTAGTCTTATTATCTTACATTTGACAGCAGGAGCGAATCGCATGCCAAACATTCGTAGATTGTTGCTCAGCTCAAAGTGTTCAGAAGACTCTGTTGTATTTTGTTAACATCTTCACCTAGTTGGGAGGACTATATCATCTGCATATTCTAAGTCAACAGACGATATGTTTGCAGTCATTTTTTAGTTGGCTCCTCGATCACCCATACATAGGCTGTCATCATCTCCTGCTCCTCTTCCTCCTCCTCCTCCGTCTCATACGATGCTCTCCAATGTGAACCTCGGACTGTATGCCCAGTTTGTTGTTTCTTATTTGGGTTCCACTTGAGGGCTTAGCTGGAGTATTATGTCAGTTAACAGTCAGTCTCTTCAGTGTGTGTGTGTGTTTGTGTGTCCAATCCATCTTCATTTCCCTGGACATATTCGTTGGTGAATAGGTTTTTTTTGGTTGGTTCATTATCAAAGTTCCTTGTTGTCTATATCTCTTCCAGCCGTGCCTTGGATCTTCAGGATCGAGCGCACTAATTGGTTGCAAATCAATTAAAAACACCCATGAGTACATTTCGTGATCGACGAAAATAATTGAATAATTATAAGAAAAAGAAATAATGAAATTCAAGTAGGTCAGGGATTCAAAGTGGGCCACTGAGTTAAAACAAAAATAATAATAATGACAATAAATGACACTCATTGCACAAAATGAGGTAGTAGCTCTCGTAGCCCAAGTGGTCTATTGAATAACGTTTGGCGTTTAAAAATGGTGGGTACTAGGTTTGAGCCTCTGTGGGAACACCATCACTCACTCACTCACTCACTCACTCACTCACTCACTCACTCACTCACTCACTCACTCACTCACTCACTCACTCACTCACTCACTCACTCACTCACTCACTCACTCACTCACTCATACTCATCACTGGGGAATGCAGGTACATCCAGCTAGCTGACGAATCCCAAATAGGACAAAATGCGAATTTCTTGGATTTCACTATCAGTAAGTTACGATGGTTAATATCAGTCACATAGTGAGTAAGTAGGTGTGTGGTGAGAGCTGTTGTCTGCTAGACAAAATTGTAGACAACAATGTACATCAATGTGTTACGTCCTGAAGCAGAGTCATGGGAAAAAAACACAGTAACAAAGCTTGTTCTTGGGGAACTCAATATGCGATCTGTTGCCTGGTGCTTGTCTTCTGTCGTTACAGGTGTATTTTCGTAGGTGAATGATTCTTGAGCAATCAATAAAACCTTTTAATATCTCCAACTTGACTTCAGGGTAAATTTTATCATGAATTCATACCGGTTAGAGTATCACCTGGGTATTACACTCGATTTTCTGCTGCCATTTTCAACTGGCTCAACGGTCGCCCACAAGCTCTCCTCCATAGCATCCTCGGGTGGATGCCTGATCCATCCATTTCTATTCATGCTCCACTCTAGAGTCTGATATGTAACGTTACGCGTATATATCTCTTCAGCGTCTCCAATTCCTCCTAAATATTTCTCGGGTAATAGGTTTTCTTCTGGCTGGTTCGCTGCCTACAAGAGTTCCTTGTTGTTTTGAATCTTTTTCGGACATCCTAAAAGCGATCAAATCCCTGTAGACCAATTTCAACAGGGTACTGCAAAGTTTTATCAACAGATGCCTTCGGTGGTTGCATGCAGAAGACCAGATGGCTGACTGAAAAAGATAAGCAAAAGGTGGAACTCCAGAAAAACCTACTGACCAAGAATCTATTACCCGACAGGTGTGCTGAAGAAAATGCAGATAGGTAGGTAGTCACCTGGGGTTCTAGTGAGAAGTCGTGACCAGTAGGGTGCAGCAGGTCGGGTGTGAGGAACAAATACTTGCCGAAGACATTGGGTAGTGGTCGCGCTATGTCGTGAATTGGCAGAAGTTAGAAATCGTGGGCCATTGGATCGGGTCCCAGTGGCCTAATGGTCTGCGAGCTCACTAGCCTTGTAACCAGAAGGTCCTGGGTGCCAACCCTGTTGTTGGGTTCGTACTGATGAAGAGTCCCAAACTGGGACGAAACAGCTGTCCAGTACTCCCTGCAGGTTTTCCAATGGTTCTCTAACCAATGTCAGCTCATGATGAAATCCTGTAACCAATCAACAAAATCCCTACAAACCAACACTTAAAATGCAGATGGATTGGACATTTGCTCAGGAAACCATTGAGTGATGTGTCACTCACGCGGCAAATTCTCGAGTGGGATTTGAATGGGAAACGATGAGTTGGGCATGAATTTGAGTGTGAGAGCTATATAAACACTCTTGAAATCTGGTAAGAATGAATTGAGCGAACTGGATGAAATAGAGATGTACTTTTGAAGCCTCAAAGGAGTATTCATTAACAATAATAATAATAATAATAAATTTTCTCCATGTCTTATGTATATATTTTTTAGTGTATACCGTCACCGTGTCCAAGAGGAGGAGATAATACAAGTCAAAATGTATTTCTTCAGTCAACTAGTGTACGTTCTTGTTGTCTCCTATTGGATATACATTCATGTCTACGTCTTGTGCATATTTTACCAATGAGAGCTTATAATCGTCATCCACAAATTTATTGGACATATTGTCCCATAGTGGCATCATCATCATCATCATTGAATGTCAGTCATGAACAAGTCAGTCAGGTGACAGTTGTACCTGGTTGTCAACAAATGCAGACATGTTCACCTTGGTCAGTGTATACAACACCAGATGGGTAAGTCGTTTTTTCAAAAAAAATATTTCTTTGTCTAGGGATTTGAGTGATTCCATATTAGTTTGTTTATTCGATGTATCCCCACACAGTGAGTGAAACAGTATTATTACATACTGGATGACACAGTTTCAAACACTATTCATCATTTTTTCATAATCATATCAATCAATTATAATCACACGACTTTGAAACTTGAGTTTTGTAGTTTTCTTTGTTTTCTCTATTTTTGTCGTCATATGGGGGTAGTAGAATTTTCCAGATATCTGGCTGGACAGGTGTTGAATCATTCCTATTACACGCATTCTCCTCAATTGATTCGATAAACAAAGCTTCAGTCAGTCAGTTATCAATCTCTCCCTCCACCCTGTGACATTAGATTTCAAAACTGTCATCTTATCCCATCCCATCCTATTGTATGGTTGTGTGTAACTGTATGTAGAGTATTCCTACAGCTGAACTATTCTCTAGATTTCTTATCTTATTCGGGTCAACTAATCTAGACTTTGCTTCTAGGTTTTAATGTTCGGCTAGTCTGACTGACTACTAGTTTGACCTATGTATTTGACCTAACTGACAATCATTGCAGGCAGGGTATTAGATAAACTAAATTGTTTTGTTTTAAAGGCTCCACAGGATAGATGCTTTGACCGACAAAGCTTGTTTCTAATTGAGTTAGTGGGTGGGTGGTTTGAATGCCAACAGCCACTTGTATTCCTGTCTGCCTTGTTAAGTAAGAATTCTGCGTAAGGTGGTTTCCGAGGTTCCTTCCTTGTATGGACAACCGATCATCTCTTCCTATGTTAGTAAAAATAGGATTGATGAAATGTTTAACTGACAGAGCACAAAAACTAAGTAGGATCAAGGAAATTCTAAGACAGGAGGTGAAACACATTAGAGAAGCCTTGAAACTTAATAATTACCCGGATAAATTAGTCAGAAAGTATGTAGGGAAGTGTAAAAATAAAATAAATAATGTTAGTAGTGATAATTATAATAATAATAGTAATAGTAATGAGGGCATGCATGTCAAATTTGCTCAGGATAATGACAACACCAACAATAAGGAATCTAAATCATCAGTAGTAATTCCATACAAGGAAGGAACCTCGGAAACCACCTTACGCAGAATTCTTAACAAGGCAGACAGGAATAAAAGTGGCTGCTGGCGTTCATACCACACACAAACTCAATTAGAAACAAGCTTTGTCGGTTAAACGATCAATCCTGTGGAGCCGATAGAACAAAACAATTTAGTTCATTTAATACCCTGCCTGCAATGATTGTCAGTGAGGTCAAATACATAGGTCAAACTAGTAGAACAGGGGGGCAGTCAGTCAGACTAGTCGAACATAAAAACCCAGCAGCAAAATCTAGATTAGTTGACCCGAATAAGATAAGAAATCTAGAGAATAGTTTAAAAGTAGGAATACTCTACATGCAATTACACACAACCACACAATAGGATGGGGATAAGATGACAGTTTGAAATCTAATGTCACAGGATGGAGGGAGAAACTGATAACTGACTGAAGCTTTGTTTATCGAATCGACTGAGGAATGATTCAACATCTGTCACAGATATCTGAAAAACTCTACTGCCCCAACGACGACAAATAAGAGAGAACAAAGAAAACTATAAAACTCAAGTTTCGAAGTCGTGTGATTATAATTGATTGATATGATTATGAAACAATGATGAATAGTGTTCGAAACTGTGTCATCCAGTGTGTAATAGTACTGTTTCACTCTGTGTGTGATACATCGAATAAACAAACTAAATGGAATTACTTACTATCACAGTGCCCAAGTTTTACACAATAATAATATCAGAGTAGAGCCATAGATGAGGATCTAATTGAAAAGTAAGTATTTCTTCGCTCAATCTTTCTAAATTCTATCAGTCAGGTTTGCAATGTGGCCACCATTCTAGGTAGCGCGCCATCATGGTGTACATTGATTCGATGATATTAAATGGTTAGAGGCAGTTAGCAGGAAGCCTTGCCTGACTTAGGTTTTGTGCTAGTTGGCATTAACCAGTCAGCAAGGCGTATCTGCACCTTTGAAGGAACTCATGTCCCTTCTGAGATTCGAGGTTGCAGATACGCCTTGCTGACTGGTGAGTGCCAACTAGCACGAAATCTAGGTGGTGTCCAAGGCTTCCTGCGGCCGATTGCCTCCAACCATCTAATATCATTAAATCAGTGTGCACCGTGATGGCGACCTACCTAGCGGAATGGTGGCCACATTGCAAAACCTGACTGACTGATAGAATTCAGTCTGCACCAAAGAAAGGACTAGACACATCACACTAGTTACTAGTGTCAAACCAAAGTAGACTTGCCTCCATGCAGAAGGTGGGTACGCACTTAGGGGCTAAGTAAGATAAGATAATAGCTTTATTCCAAATCAGTACTTGTGATACAGAATGGAATTCTCAGCATTTTTACTACAATATTGCATCCAGTTAGTACATTAACAATAAATAAAGTTCTACATAGATTAAAGTTATCTCAGTCAGTTTTGACAACAACATATTAGCATGTCGGTAGCAAAGCCAAAATTTAAACAGAGTGTTTGAAGGTGTTAGAAAAGTAGATACTACTAGCATATTTACTGGCGTAAGCGATAGCAAAATGGTCGAGATATACAGAGTGTGAAAGAACGAACAAGAATGTTTTAAGTAGAGTTTGTAAGGAAGAGAGAAACAAAACAGCACATAACAAAAATAAATACAGAAAAGGAAAAAAAAGTAGAGAGAAAAACGTTGTACCTATAAATGATGTGAGTTGGAAAGACGAGATCCATTTGTTCTACTGACTATTTAATAAGTTAAAGGTTTCACGCCTAATGCTTTCTTTATCGCACAGAACACGAGCTAGGTAGGGTATGGATGAGTTTTTGTACTTACTAGTGCGGGCATATAGTTTCCTATATAGGCTTCTGGTTTTCCCTGAAGAGATACATGGGGAGAGTTGTGAATGTAGAGGGTGTTGTGAGTCAGATAAAATGGATTTCGCCCATTTTTCACATGAGTCCATGTGCCTGTCCACCAGAATATTAACAAGCTGGCTAAGTGGCACGTTGCTTACCCTGCTGACAACCTTTAACATCCTACGTAATAAGGTATAGTCTTTCTTCAATAGCCCAGGAAAGACTAAGGGGGAACAATAGAGAATAATAGGCAGAATACGGGAGTTAACAAATTGTAGGAGTAAGGGTTGGGTTACACCAGAATGTCTTAACTTCTTGATGTAGAAGGTAAGACGGAATATTTTCTTAGAAATCATCAAGATATGAGACGACCAGGAAAGATCAGAAGATAGAATGACGCCTAGGTATTTAATTTCTGACTTGGTTTCTACTTCAGTGCCATCGATGTTGCACACCTCGTGTGAGTGATAACCAGTTTGTTTAGGTCAGATTTATGCCTAAAGGTGAAATTAACTGTTTGGCATTTGGAGGGGTCTAAGGTGAGACCGTTTTCCTTGGACCATTGGCTGACTTCTGATAAAAAGCCATTTAGTTTAGTGCAGTCACTTTGACATTTGACAGGCAAAGATACAGTTAGGTCATCAGTATATTTGACAAAATTAATGTCATTTGAAGATGGTAAGTCATGTAGGAAGAAAGAAAAGAGAAGTGGGGAGAGTACAGCACCTTGGAGGATACCAGCTTCAGTGAGCACAGCAGTGGAGGATTCACCTTTGTAAACAGTGTACTGCATTCTGTTAGTAGAGAAGTAGGAATGCAACCAGTTAGTGACCCAGTTGTTCTGTTGCGTTATTTAAGTTGTCTGCATGGGGGTGTATAAAATCCATTGGTCAATGAAAGTCTAAAAATGCTTTTGAGAAAGAATAACAATCTTGCATCGATTGCCAATTTTTAGGTGGTCCGTCAGATAATTGAAGATCAGGATCACCAAGTGGGGGTAATATCTCTTCTCATGGGCTGTTTCTGTTGAGTCCTGTTTGCGCGTGCCTCAATGATACAAAATACGTCATGGATCCGGAATATCGGAGTTTTATATTTTGTTTAATAAAGTCTTTTTCTCTAGATCGATATAGTCTCGTGTGACATAGAAAAGCTTTGATAATAGGAAGTTGACACTGGCATGACTTAAGAATAAATGCCTGATTGAAATGCTAAAAATTCGATTCTGAAGGCTATTCAACATTGAGATACTACCATCTTCATTTTCACTAATCTAGTATTATTAAACAACCTTGTAGTCTAGAAAATGTATTTGTAAAATCTCAGCGAAATTGAAATGATTAATTCAAACGTTTCCTGTGTTCGGAAATCTGGTCCCAACTTCTTTTTCAGGGAAATTAATCGAAATTAACATAACAGAGGTTTAATTATATATAAAAGGAACGTTTCTCGTTTTTAAAAACTTTGTCCAATCATGAGTCATAAAACAAGTATCAAGAAGCATAATAAACAAAATTGAATGGGTGCGTACTGATGAAGAGTCCCAGGCTAGGACGAAACAGCTGTCCAGTACTCACTGACTGGTTTTCCAGTGGTTCCCTAACTGATGTCAGCTCATGGTGAAATCCTCCATACAAAATTGTATGAGCTGTGATCTGAATTTGACCTCGGACTTATAAATATTGGTCTACCCTTGTTAAACACTTTAAACAGTGTGTATCAATGTGTGTGTTGGTAAATAGTGGTAAAAAATTTCTTAACGTCTCCATAAGAAGGCATAGACAGTCGGGGAACTTTGACCAAGTATTATTAATTAATGATACATATCCATTCTTATTTATTAATCATGGTTTTTCTATGCATCAGCTAACATCATGTGGTGAGAGCAGGCTGCTAGCCGATTGGTTGGCACTAATCTACGTTAAGGTCTAGGTCACTAATATGGGCCGTGAGAAAATATGAACAAGCCTGAGTCAACAACCAATCACAGCAAAGTTAACGTGGCAGAATATGATTCGCAGAGAGAACTCTATTTGTCAAGGAATCCCGAAACAACCAATCAGAAGCCTGCGTTTGTCTACCTAAACAACCAATCAGATGACTGCGCTTGTCTATAATAATGTAGTTGAAAGATGTATAAATACGCGTTGATTTTCATAATAAAACGATCTGTTGCCTGGCCCTTGTCTTCTGTTGTTACATTTGGTGTCGCTGCCTACCGACAAATGGAAAGCCTATGCCCTGCTGTTTTTGATGGAGACATATGGATCTTCGGGCAGGACTTCAAGGCTTCTGCGCAGTTGAGTGGCGTTCAAGATCTGTCAGCGATGGAGCTGCTACTTGGGACGCTGCTGGGAGGTCGGGTGAAAGCAGCATATGAAAGTGTGAGCCGAAGTATGGACGAATGTTCGACAGGGTCAGGCAAACAGTTTCCAAAGTGGGAAGGACCATATATGGTCACTTCGAGATGGGGTTACGCAGACACAGTCGCAATGGCGAACAATGAGAGGCGCGTGAACGTCAGCGAGCTCCAGAAATGGATACAGCGAGACAAGCCAACGATGACGCCTGCACCAAGTAGATCAAGCCGACTTCAGTCGCACGTATTTGACGGGGGGACGAGTGTGGTGAGAGCAGGCTGCTAGCCGATTGGTTGGCACTAATCTACGTTAAGGTCTAGGTCACTAATATGGGCCGTGAGAAAATATGAACAAGCCTGAGTCAACAACCAATCACAGCAAAGTTAACGTGGCAGAATATGATTCGCAGAGAGAACTCTATTTGTCAAGGAATCCCGAAACAACCAATCAGAAGCCTGCGTTTGTCTACCTAAACAACCAATCAGATGACTGCGCTTGTCTATAATAATGTAGTTGAAAGATGTATAAATACGCGTTGATTTTCATAATAAAACGATCTGTTGCCTGGCCCTTGTCTTCTGTTGTTACAATCACACCTTCATGTCCGTTCAAACTGTTAGTATCTAGGATTTTATGATTAGACGTATTTTCAAAATTATGGTGTTTCGGATTCGAGTTAAGTTGAAGCACCCTTTCGAACTTATTGCTTTGTCTTCTTTCTGAATATTGAGCTGCTTTATTCGACCTACTGGAGTTGTCAGGTGACTTGACAGCTACGGATTTAAGATATACATTTTGTTGCAGCCAACGGAGAGTGAAAACACGATGATTGTGCCAATTAGCATAGTTTCTTTGTTAATTTAATTCGATTGCAAAATATTTCAAATGAACTGTCGTCAAGATTTGACAGAATAGTTCTTAAATATTTGGCTGCCGAGTGAGAGCTAGACATTTGTAAAAAATCATTATATTTATAAAATCTCAGCGAGATTGAAATGAGTAGAACTATTCTGTCAAATCTTGACGACAGTTCAGTTAAATGTTGTATTATATATATATATAAGTAGAGATCGGATAAAGAACTTCATCTGGAAGGAAAACAGTCGTGCTTAACAAGTTCAAACAGTATTCGTTAACTGTCATCAGAAAGGGAAGAAAGAAGGAAATTGCAACACGTGTAATAGCACACGATGAATTTCATTGATTGTTTGTTGCTTTATTCAATTTAATTCATTGTGTGAGGGCTGAGATACTTCCCGGGCGCCCAGACCGAAGCAGGTGGTTTTATTAAGGGATCACTCTCCTCGAGTCTTTGACTTGGAGTCTAATCCGCAAGACAGCGGAGCAGCGTCAGGAGCTGCATTTCCATGGTTTCCGGTGACCCATATGGGTTCATACACCATTTGATCCGATTGGATACCGAAGCCCATGTACCTGATGGTAACTGCTTTTAGTTTAACCGCTATTCAAACAGCCTTCCTGACATGGAAGGACCTGCAGGGACAGAGTCCCAGTCAGTTTAGCATGTTGGGTCATTATGGTGTTCAAGCCTGACCACCATGACAAGGTAGCAGTTATCGGCCGGGCTTGAATGTTGTATTTTATTTGGTTTAAATCACTAACGATTATATTGATTGTTCATTATGCGGCTCATCGACTTTCAAGCAGTGCACCCCACGCCACCATCACTATCACCACCTACTTTATCCCAGGCAAGCAGACAGCAACATCAATCAACCTCCCTCACCCTTAACCCCCGCATAACTGGTCTAGTCAGTAGCCTGATCTATGATAAATCTATTTCATGCAGTCAGTCGAATTCTAACACACAATGGTGAGTATATTATTTTGTTGCTTAGATATTTATCTGTCTTGTTTTCTTGTGATTTTACAGTTATGCACATGCTATCGACATAGAGACGGGATTATCAGCACCAGGATATCCGATTAATCTGTATGCTGGATTGCCTAATGTGACAGATCTGTCTACAAGTACAGGATTATTATATCAAAGGGAGGATATGATCTATTGGATGGTAAGTTAGTTAGTTAGTTAAGACTTTGACAATAGGATGAATTTCACTGATTGACATGTTTGGCATGCGATTCGATTTTGCTGTCAGATGTAAGATGATGAGGCTATACAGGACTGGATGACACTGACTCACTCCTAGCTTAGAAATACGGAGTGAAGTGGTAGATCACGTTGATCGCTTCACTTATTTGGGAAGTATCATCAGCCAACGCCAACGGGTTGATCGCTGACGAAATCCCATCACGGTTGCAGAGGGCTACCTTTGCATATGCCAGTTTACTTCGTCTCTGGCGTAGGAGTGATATCCGGCTGGCTATCGACCAAATGGCGTGTGTACTGCTCATCACCAGTCCGCTCCGTACTTCTTTATGGGTGGCTGTGAGACCTGGCCATTGAGAGTGGAAGACATGAAAAGATTAGCTGCCTTTGATCATAGATGTCTGCGTTCTATCTCCCGTGTTAGATGATAGGTGTAATAGGGTGAGCGATATTGAGGTTAGGCGTCGAGTGATAGGTAGGTGGGAGGGGAAATCAATCGACGGGGCTGCGAACTTACATCGACTGAGATGATTAGGACATGTGTTACGTATGAATGTCTAGCCGTCCATCGCCTTCGTCGACAATGGGCAATGTTAGCTGACATAGGGTCAGTCTAGTAGATAGTTAATGGTGGTCAAACGAGAACATGGCCTCATCCGTCAATGAAATCCACAAGATTTAGTTTAGGCCAGCCAGTCATGTAGGGAGGTGTAGACTTCCTGACTAGTTGGGGTCTTCGAGACGGTAAAAACCGATGAAGACTGAAGACAATCGGTGATATGGCTAAAAATCGTTCTCAGTGGCTGGCCGGTGTAGATGTATCCACTCCTTGTGGTTTACGATACAAAATGAAACTACATTGTTCTTCGTTATTACTCTTCCTTTTTCTCACACCTCTGTGTAGTGTCTCTATTATGCATTTCTTCTACTCTCTTCTCTTGCTTTGTGTGCCACATGGAGGGAGTGTGGCGACTACTAACAATCATGCTTTCTAGCCAATCAGATTGAAAAGTGATTTAAATATCTATGTCAAGGCCGTTTTTTCACTGGTTTACACCGACCGTCGTGCTCATCAGTGGTGTGCCCGGTTTAACTCACTTCAGAGAGAGAGAGAGAGAGGGAGAGGAGCTAGGTGAGCGCTTACGGCGAGTTGTCATCTGAAGTGGTGACAACTAGCTGTTTCCGTCAGCGAGGGATGCCCACTATCCCTATTTCTATTTCAATTTCATCATTGACGTACTAACGGACTTAACCCTAAGTGACTTCAGCGACTCAGGGATTAACTTGTTAGCATCAGGGAATAATGTCGTTGACTTAGAATGTGCAAATGATATAGTCCTCCTTCTAGGCGAAGACGCTGATAAAATAGAGCAGAGTCTTTTGAACATCTTGAGTGGCAGCAATCTTCGAATGTTTGGCATGCGATTTGCATACTAACACGGGAAGAACTTTAGAGTTGAATGGATATGAGACATTTAAAAAAAGTGAATGTATATACGCGCATCATCATTATCTGGCAATCTACGTCTAACCTTAGTATTATTCACTATATTATTATTATTATTGTTCCCTTTAGTTCCTAAGGGAACATATGGCTACAGCCACACGTTTCCATTGCGTTCGGTTCTCTGCCAACGTTTTCATCACCTCACTCCACGTTTGACCACATGATTTCATCTCCTCTTCGCTGCATCACCTCCTCCTTCATGTCACCAATGCACTGACAATCAACTCACCACTTCCCATTCCATTCGCGTTTCACTCGAGTAATAGTCTGGCTTGAGATGTCACTCACTTGATGGTTTGTTTTCTCAGAGTATGGCCAATCCATCTCCATTTCTTCCTGCATGTTTGTTGCACAGTCGTTTCCTGTTGGGTCGGTTCGTTGTTCCCAGTGTTTCCCTACTATTGCTGATGATTTCTGGCCGGCCATCTGATCTTGAGCGAAGACAGTTGTTGATGAAAGTCTCTAATTTGTTCAAAGTGGCCCTCGTGACGCGACGCGGTGCAGCGCCAAGTCTTTGATCCGTATAGTAAGTAGCACCGACTAGATTTCACTTTGGAGTTGAAAATTTTGATGCTATTTTCCATGCTGAGTTCTGAGTGTTGATCTCTACACAGACTTGAGTGTAATGAAGGCTTGTCTTGCTTTCTCGATCGTCGCTCCTTTGATATGGTCATCAGTTCCGTTGGCCTGTAGTTGAATCGATGCTTCCCAGGTCGATCGGTTGGTCGGCAGGTAGGTGAGTAGGTAAAGGAGGTTGTTTCTTTCAGTTTCCTGCCATTTATGCTGGCTGATTGTTGTCTGTTGTTGTTGCTGTTGATGCTGTTGGATAGGAATCGTCATCATCACCTATGTTTTTTTTATGTTCACCTGGAGTCCTATTTTTCTTTGACGCTTCTTCTGTCAACTTGTTGTTTCACATCACTTGCATATCTTCCAGTTTGTGTGAAATCAGACTTATATCACATCGGTGAAGTTCAGATCCTCCAAGTTTTTCGCGAGGGTCCATTTTATGCTTGTTTTCCCGCTGCCCGCTGTATATCGCATTATCCAATCTACCAAAATCAGGAAAGTCATTGGCAATAGTAGACAGCCTTGCCTCACTCCCGTCTTTACTTCGAAGGATTCCGTGGGTTTCCCGTTGTGGATTACTTGGCATACAGCATCATCCTACAACTGTTGGATGAGATGCATAATTTTTGGCGGCACCCTGTAGTAACCAAGTGGTTGCCAAATCACCTCTTGGTCGACGCTGTACTATCGAAGGCCTTTTCAAAGTCGATGAAGTTGAGATAGAGAGGTGACTGCCATTCCAAGCTTTGTTCAATGATGATCCGTAGTGTGGTATGACTTGTTTCTCCTGAATCCAGCCTGTTCCGGTCGACGTTTTTCATCCAGAGTGGCTTGTTTGATTCTCTCCAGGATAATGCGGCTTAGTATTTTGCTTGGGATGGATAGGAGGATAATGCCACGCCAGTTCTTGTATTGACTTAAGTCTCCTTTCTTTGGCATTTTGAATCAGTGTGCTTTCTTCCAATCCGCAGGTACCTTGCCCTCTTTCCACACCTTATGCAGTAGTAGTGTCATCAAGTTCTCTGATGTTTCTGGGTCGATTTTCAACGCCTCTGCTGTGATTCCATCTGATCCTGCTGCTTTTCCAGCTTTTAGCATCTTGATGGCCTTCACGCTGTATGTTTTTGTTGGAGGACGCGTTGTAGGTGGCGGTCGATTTAGAAGTCTTTTGAAGTGCTGAGCCCAGTGTTTCCTTTGCTTCACCTCTTTGGTGCATATCTGTTAATTTATGGGAAATCAGAAATATATATATATATATATATATATATATATATATATATATATATATTATCAGCGAAATCCAGATCCTCCAAGTTTTTCGTAAAGGTGGGTACATTTGTTGCCCGTGTCCTCGTTACCTGTTGTCTGTCTCACTATGCAGTCTAGTCGCCATATAACGCCATTTAATATTGAGAGATACAATACAGAAATATATGTATAATCAAATATGGCTAACCCTTTCGTATTAACCGCTGTCAGTAGCCATATCTAACAGCTATAATGAAGGATATATATACATATATATATTCAAGTATTGGTTTTGTAGGGATTTTTGTTTGATTGCATGGAGGGTTTCATCATGAGCTGACATCAGTTAGAGAACCACTGGAATACATAGGAGTACTGGAAAGCTAACTGTTTCGTCGGCCTGGTTTCGAACTCTTCAGCAGTACGCACCCACTGCACTGTGGTTCGAATCCAGGACCTACTGGTTACAAGGCGTGCTAGCTTGTAGACTGTCGAGCCACTGGTACCTGATCCAATGGTCCTTGAGTTCTAACTTCTACCAATTCACGAAATAGCGCGACCATTCCACAATGTCTTCTTCTTCGATGAGTTACTGCCTCATCTTCGGGTCCCAGTGGTTCAATGGTCTACGATCTAGGTCTCCATGTCACCAGAAGGTCCTGAATTTGAACCACAGTGCAGTAGGTGCATGCTGCTGAAGAGTCCCAATCTAGGTTGATGAAATAGTTGGCTATCCAGTACTCTCCGTTGGTTTCCCAATAGTTCTTTAACTGATGTCAGATCATGATGAAATCCTGTAACCAACCAAATCCCTACAAACCAACACTTAAATATATACTATTTGTTCTTTGTTTACCGATAATTTCCCTTGAAAATATTTTTCTAACAGCTTTTTACAGATGCCTATTCAAATTTGATTCATTTACGATTGCATAATCCATTCGTGACAGTGTCCTACAATGGTATTATTAATAATGATAATAATAATTGCTCACATCAGCATATGTCAGTTCAATCGTCATCATCATCCTATTTCACCAGACTGGTACCATTCACAAGTTTAGCATCGTCGAAATCTCCTTCATTTCTATTATTATCACGTAATGGTTTACAAGTGTTGACTAGCAAATCCTTTCAACATGCATCTATGCCAGTTTCATTGATGGCTTATTCAAAATATACTACTGGTAAGTATGAAAGTAGTGTATGTTGTTTATTGAAAAAAAAGTCTAGGTCTATGTTTGGTTTAATGGAAATTGAATTCATTATCTTCATCAGCTTCTGCAGTGGTGACGACTAGTGGTGTGTCCGTCAGCTAGGGGTGCCCACTGTCCTTATTTCTATTCACTTTCATCACATAGATGTACTAATGGACTTAACCCTGAGTGACTTCGGTGACTCAGGGATTGACTTGTAACCATCAGTGGAATAATCTTGTTGACTTGGAATATGCAGGTGATATAGTCCTCCTTCTAGGCGACGACGCTGACAAAATAGAGCAGAGTCTTTTGAACACCTTCAGTGGCAGCAATCTTCGAATGTTTGGCATGCGATTGGCTCTTTCTGTCAGATGTAAGATGATGAGGCTACAGGACTCCACTACACTGACTCCTAGCTTAGAAATAGGGAATGAAGTGGTAGAGCACGTTGACCGCTTCACTTATTTGGGAAGTATCATCAGCCAGTGCCAACGGGTTGATCTCTGACGAAATCCCATCACGGTTGCAGAGGGCTAGTTTCGCATATGCCAGTTTACGCCGTTTCTGGCGTAAGAGTGATAACCGGCTGGCTGTCGACCAAAGAGCTTGTGTACTGCTCATCAGTCAGATCCGTCCTCCTTTATGGGTGAGCAATATTGAGGTTAGGCCTCGGTGGAGTTCTAGGTAGGGAGGAGGGAAATCAATGGACGAGACTGTGAAGTTACATCGATTGAGATGGTTAAGACACGTGGTAAGCATGCCTAGTCATCGCCTTTCTCGACGGGTAATGTTAGCTGACATAGGGTCAGGCTGGAAAAGAGTTAGCGGTGGTCGATCCAAAACATGGCTTCATCAGCCAATGAAATCCACAACAGTTATTGTAAGCCAGGTAGCCACGTAGGAAGATGTAGACTTCCTGACTGGTTGGGCTCCTCGGAACGGTAGAAACCAATGATGACTGGAGACAATTGGTGATATGGCTAAAAATCGTTCTCAGTGGCTAGCCGGTGTATATGCAGATGACATAGTCCTGTTAGGGGAGGATGCTGAAAAAATGCAGAGTCTTCTGAACACCTTGAGCAGCAATCTTCGTATGTTTCGCATGCGATTCGCCCCTGCAAAATGTAAGATGCTGCTACAGGACTGGACCACGTCAACCCCTAACTTAGTGATAGGGAGGGAAGTGATAGAACATGTTGACCACTTCACCTACTTGGGAAGTTGTATTAGCACCAACGGACTGATTGGCGATGAAATCTCAGCACGGATCCGAAAAGCTCGGGCTGCTTTCGCTGACTTACACCATCTCTGGCGTACGCGTAACATTCGGCTATCAACCAACGGCCGTATGTACTGCTCAGCACTTCGCTCCGTCCTCCTCTATGGCTCTGAAACATGGCCAATACGAGTTGAAGACAAGAAAAGGTTGACTGATTTCGATCATAGATGTCTACTATCTCTTTCTCACGTTAGGTGGTGTATAATAAGGTAAGTAATGTTGACGTTAGGCGTAGAGTGTTGGGCAAAGAGGGAAAATCAATCGACAAGGCTATAAAGTTACATAGACTAAGATGGCTAGGTCAGGTGGTGCGCATGCCTAACCACCGCCTCCCCCGACGGGCTTTGCTAGCTGATATAGGTGAAGGTTGGAAAAGAGCCAGTGGTGGCCAAACAAAAACATGGCCTCATCAATCCATGAAATCCTTGACAGTTAAACTGAGTCAGGTAGGGAGGGAGATGCAGACTTCCGGGTTGGGGCCCTCGGGACTCTAGGAATCAATGGCTGGAGACAATAGGTGACATGGCTCAAAATCGTTGTCAATGACAGCGCAGATGTATTCAGTCTCTGTAATCTTTCATATTCCTTTCTACCATTACCCATTCTGTTTTGCTCTTATACTTGTCAAACTCTATTAATTCTCTTCACTCATCTTCTTGTCTACCTCTGTGGGCTATTTGGAAGGTGGCAACTCGAAGTGCTGGACTTCGGTGGCAAGTTCTATGTTGAATCCAGACAGACAGACAGACAGCCGGTGTAGATGTATCCACTCCTTGGGACCTATGATTTCCAATGAAACTGTACTGTTCTTCGTTATTACTCTTCCTTTGTCTCACACCTCTGCTCACTGTCTCTATTATGCTTTTCTTGTACTTTCTTCTCCTGCTTCGCGTGCTACACGGAGTGTGGCGACTTGAACTACCGCACATTTGTGCGAAGTTCTATGTCGAAAACAAACAGACAGACTCTTCAGCTTAGGAGGTAATTGGGTTGAAGGCTGAATAACCAGTAAATCATGACACCAACCAATGTATATCTTCGCGCAATGTGATTCTCTCTTGGAAGTCGACCCTCCGGTGGGGTCACGTGTTCCCAGTAGTGAGCAGTCTATAACTCTGGACAAACGGTTTTTCCAGTCTCTTAAAGAATTCCTGTTGATTGTTTCTCATCGGATTGAATGTTAAAGTGTGTGTGTGTGTTGGGGGGTGGTGGTCTTCAGTCATCTCACGATTCCAATGAAGTCGTCTTGACGACGGTCACCTATAGGCAGTCAACTTTAGGTCAGGTAGGGCTACCTTTCGATTGCCTCGGGCTGCAGTGCATTGTTGTGATGGCCATTAGTTACCTTATCTGGTTACCTGCAGCACTGGATAGAGGGGGGACTTGAGACACATAACATTTGACTTCTTACTCCCTAGTGATGAATAGTCACTGAAATTGGAAATGACAGATTTCAAATTAAAGGACATTTGATTTAAAAGTTGTGATAATAAAATATTCTGGAAAAATTTAAATGTATTACTGATATTATACGTGAAGCGAGGAAGAGTGTACTTTAAAATCTAGTTCGCAACAACATTCGAACTAGATTTTCCCCTTTCACTGTTAATCATCGCACGTCACGGTTGACAGTGGTCTACCAAGTCATGATTGTTATATTCCCTTGGCTTCTGAGTGGTGGAACCATAAGTCAATAACGGTGAGTCCCAAATTTTGATCCCACCTTCTCCCCCAGTCTTTTCCATCTGCCTTCTACACGACTGACTTCAAGCTTTCCTTTCTTTACCTCCACATTCTACGTCCTTCATGTGACTCCCAACTCGTCGTCGTTACCTATATGGGTTCTACTCGAGGATTTACCTAGCGTTTGATTGTTGGTCAGCAGTCTTATCAGTGTATATTCAAATTTTTTCCAATTCTTCCATCATTTTTGTTAGGCAGTAGGCTATTGATTGGTTCGTTACCAGAGATTCTTGTAGCTGATCATCTGATCTTCATTTCTGAGCGGAGAGATAGACAGCTACTAGTGAAAGTGTGTGAAGCTTGTCGAGATGGATTTTATTACCTTTGCACCTGTCTGTCTGTCTATTTGCGACATAGAACTTTGCACATATGTGCGGCGGTTTCAATTCGCCACGCTCCCTCAATGTAGCACACAAAGAAAGTAGAAGAAATGCATAATAGAGACAGTAAACAGAGATGTGAGACAAAGGAATAGTAGTAACGAAGAACAAAACAGTTTCATTGGAAATCATAGGTCACAAGGAGTGAATGCATCTGCGCTAGCCACCAATTGTTACCAACCATTGGTTCTTACCGTCCCAAGGACCCCAACCAAGAAGTCTATTTCTTCCTACGTGACTGGTTGGCTTGAACTAACTGTTATGGATTTCGTTGACTGATGAAGCCATGCTTTGGTTTGACCACCGCTAGCCCTTTTTCACCTTAACACTATGTCAGCTAACAATACCCATTTTTCGAAGAAGGCGATGACTACGCATACGTAACACATGTCCTAACCATCTCAGTCGATGTAAGTTCACAGCCCCGTCGATTGATTTCCCCTCCCACCTACTTATCACTCGACGCCTAACCTCAATATTGCTCACCCTATTACACCTATCATCTAACACGGGAGATAGAACGCAGACACCTATGATCAAAGGCAGCTAATCTTTTCATGTCTTCCACTCTCAATGGCCAGGTCTCACAGCCACCCATAAAGGAGTACGGAGCGGACTGGTGATGAGCAGTACACACGCCATTTGGTCGATAGCCAGCCGATATCACTCCTACGCCAGAGACGAAGTAAACTGGCATATGCAAAAGTAGCCCTCTGTATCCGTGTTGAGATTTCGTCAGAGATCAACCCGTTGGCTTTGGCTGATGATACTTCCCAAATAAGTGAAGCGGTCAACGTGCTCTACCACTTCACTTCCTGTTTCTAATCTAGGAGTCTAATCTTGCCTCTGCACCACCCGTGAATTATTTATCATTCGTTGTAAAAGTCCGAATCTTGTTTTTTTATGCTGATTGCAGCAGTAGTGAAGGTGCTTCTTGGTTTTTTGGTCCTAACCGGTGCTGACATCTTCACCTTTGCCGCCTGTTTACAGTTGAAACAGTGCTGCCTCGCCAGCTAATCGAAAGAGACGAAAATCAAATATTCTAGAGTCTTTCTGTTGGTCCACCGTATGCTTAAGGTCTACTGTTTCTAACATTATTTTGTAGTCTTGGCACTAGTGTACTTATACGCACAAAATTTGACGAAATATCAAACACCACAATGCCAGGAGGGTGACAACAGAGTCATCTTTAGGTGACGATTGGTATTGCGTGAGTAACAGACTTATTCAAACTATCAAAGAAAGGAGACCTAAGTCAATGCAAAAACTTGCGTGGAATTATGCTCCTGTCTATCCACAGCAAAATACTAAGCCGCATCATCCGGGAGAGAATCAAACAAGCCATTCTGGATCAAAAACTCCGACTGGAACAAGCTGCAATCATGAGAAACAAGTCATGTATTGATCAAATCGCCACAATACGAATCATCATTGAACGAAGCTTAGAATGGTAGTTACCTCTCTATGTCAACTTCATCGACTTTGTAAAGGCCTTCGACAGGAGGAGGTGATTTGGCAACTACTTCGCTACTACCAAGGGGTCCCATCGACAATTATACACCTCATCCAACAATTGTAGGACAATGCTGCATGCCAAGTACTCCACAACGGGAAACTTACGGAAGCCTTCGAAGTAAGGACGGGAGTGAGGCAAGGCTGTCTACTATCGCCAATGATCTTCCTGATTGCAGTAGATTGGACAATGCGACAGACAACGGGAAATGAAGAAACAGGCATAAAATGGACTCACACAAAAAATTTGGGGGATCTGGACTTCGCCGATGTGATATATGTCTGATTTCACACAAACTGGAAGATATGCAAGTGATGTGAAGCAGCAAACTGGCAGAAGAAGCATCAAATATAGGACCTAAGGTGAACATAGAGGAAACAGAGGTGATGAAGATTCCTGGCCAACACCAACAGCAACAACAACAACAGACAACAATCAGCCAGCATAAATGGGAGGAACCTGAAAGAAACAACCTCCTTCACCTACCTGGGAAGCATCATTTCAACTATAAGCGGACGGAACTGACAAGGATATCAAACCAGCAAGGATCGGAAAAGCAAGACAACCCTTCATTACTCTCAAGTCTGTGTGGAGGTCAACAGCCCCACTCATCATCAAAAATAAGGTCCGGATTTTCAACTCCAATGTGAAGTCAGTGCTACTATACGGATCAGAGACGTGGCCAGTGCGTCATAAAGAGCATCTCCAACAAAATACAGACCTTCATTAACAGTTTTCTTCGCTCAATACTCAAGATCAGATGGTCAGAAAAGATCAGCAACAAAGATCTCTGGGAGCGAACCAACCCAGGAGGAACCGATTGTGAAACATATAGGCAGGAAGAAATGGAGGTGGATTGGCCAAATGCTGAGGAACCATCAAGTGACATCACTAGATAAGGCATTGCTTGATTGGAACCCGAAAGGGAAGCGGCGAGTTGGTCGTCAGTGCGAGGGTGACTTGGAGGAGGTCATGTGAGGAGGAGATGAAAGCATGTGGACAGACATGGAGCGGGGTGAAGACGTTGGAGAAAAACAGAAGGCAGTGGAGATGCACAGCTAAAGCCCTATGTTCCTTTAGGAATTAAAGGATATAATAATAATAACTGGGACGAATTACGTTTGAGGTGGGTTGTGTGTGGTTCCAGAGATTAATGCAGAATTTTTTGATAGGTATGGCGAATTTCACTGGTTTCTAACCCCCCCCCTACTTGCGCGCAGATTGAACTGAACTGGTTGTCTGAGAATAATAATGTCCAATGTCGAAGGATCCAACAACCCTATCGCCAAAAGTGTTATTATGTCACCACTTTTATATTTCGAAATAATCTTGAGATTGAAGTGGGGAAGTCGAGTTAGACACAGACGTTGTCTGGTTACGAATACTACTTCACTCAGTTTCCCACCGACTGTTTCTTATCATGTGTGTTGGTTTACAGGGATTATTTGATCGGCTACGGATTGGATCATGAGTTAACATCGTTTCGAAAGCACCATTGGAAAACTTGGGCTTACTGTTTCGTCCTAGTTTTTACTGAGTTCCAATGATTGTGAAGAACGGTCTACAAGCTGGCTCTGTAACCGGAGTTTCCTGGGTTCGAACCCTATTCGAGGCGTATTGATGAGGAGGCCCAGACTGGGACGAAACAGCTACTCAGGACTATTTTCTAACTTTTGAACCATTGTGTTTGTTGTTTCCTTTCTTAATTTCCCCCAGACAAACCGGTTGTCAATGATGCTGACAATGAAAGAAGTTCTTTACAATTTGTAAGTTGATCTGTTTTTTAACATGTGTTGTTTTGTGATAAGCGATTTTTTATTGTTGAGTTTTTTTTAAAAAAAGAATCGAAGACACAAGAAGCATTGAACAACAACAACAACAACAACACCTTCGTTAGGTGATAATCAATATTGATGGCAAAAAGTGCTCATCAAATCGAATTTTTCAGAAGACTTTCTTTATTTTTCAAGGATTGGTTTTGTCGCGATTTTTGTTTTATTGCATGGGGGATTTTATCATGAGCTGACATCAGTTAGAGAACCACTGGAAAACCTGTAGGGAGTGCTGGACAGCCAAGTGTTTCGTCAGCCTAGTTTGGGACTCTTCATCAGTACGCGCCCACTGCACTGGGGTTCGAACCCAGGACCTTCTGGTTACAGGGCTAGCGAGCTCGTATATCATTGAGCCACTGGGGTTCTAGCGGGAAGACGTGACCAGTAGGATACAGAAGGTTGCAGATGAGGCAGTAACTCATCGAAGAAGAAGGAGAAGAAGACATTGCGAAATGGTCGCGCTATGCCGTGAATTGGCAGAAGTTAGAATTCGTGGACTGGCCATTGCATCAGTTTCCAGTGGCTCAACGGTTTACGAGCTCGCTAGCCTTGTAACCAGAAGGTCCTGGGTTCGAACCCTGGCTTTGGGTGCGTACTGATTAAGAGTTCTAAAAGTAGGCTGACGAAACAGTTGGCTATCCAGTACTCCTTTCAGGTTTTCCAGTGGTTCTTTCAGCTCATGATGACATCTTCTATGCGATCAACTTACTTTATTGATGGAGTTTAATAGAGATGACATGTTGCTGTGAATTAACAAAAAAAGACGTTAGCAATCTTAAGCTATTGATTTTCACATCAATAATTGAACTCTAACAGTTTCTCCTCGAAACTTTATTATGTTTGAGAGGTGACTTTTTACTAGTGTTTGGTGTAGTCTGAGGAATGTCAGACTAGGATAGGGTGAGGAAATATTTCGATAATCTACTGATTATTGTTACTTCTTGATCAGATCTGGTCTAGGATTAAATTGAACTCCCTAACTAATCCCGTGTCAGATTCTTTTCAACTTTTTATTCTTCTAAAGTTGGAAAACATTTGCGCATAATACATCATACTACTGACTAGCAAATATCAGTAGTTGAATACCAATACCAGCAGTAATGCTTGCTAAGCAGGTTCAATTGATCTAAACACAGTGGTTCCTCATTCCTAGTGTGGTGAGAGCAGACTGCTAGCCAATTCGTAGACATTAATCGACGCTGATTGGTAGACATTAATCTAGGCTGATTCAACAACCAATCACAGCAGACTTAACGTGGCAAAATATGATTCGCAGATAGAGAACTCTATTTTCGAGGTATCCCGAAACAACCAATCAGAAGCCTGCGTTTGTCTGCTTAACTCCTGATAAACAATCAATCAGAAGACTGCGCTTGTCTACTTGCATAAGCTATAATAATGTATGTGAAATATACATAAATACGCGTTGATTTTCGTAATAAAACGATCTGTTGCCTGGCCCTTGTCTTCTGTTGTTACATTTGGTGTCGCTGCCTCCAGAAAAATGAAGATCCCGTGGCCAACTGCGTTTGAAGAAGGAGACATACGGAGCTTCTTACGTGACTTCGAGGCCGTCGCTGAGCTGGTGGGTGTCAAGGAGCAGGCGGCGAAGGCAGTTGTTCTGGGGACGCTGTTGAGAGGCCGAGCGAAGGCAGCATATGACAGCGTAGACAGGTCAAATGGCACAGTGTCTTGGAAGAAATTGGTTGTAAGTTTGGTGTCGGAGTTTGACAGCGCAGCAGACAGACAGCTAGCGATGCAGCAGTTCCGGTCAACGAAGCTGGGACCTGATGGAGACCCGTTAGTATTGGCGGTGACATTGACGAATTCACTTCGACGGGCGCTTCCCACGTTGGATAAAGAATCAGAATCGAGAGTGTCCTAGACTACATTTCTCAGCAATTAAAACTGGTTAACGCAACGCAGCCGATGGATATTAGTGAGCTGGCGAAGGTGACCAGACAGCTGCTGAGCACAACGGTAGCCGCTATAGACCAACCAAAACCAAACGAATATGAGCAGAAAATTGAAGCATTGCAGCGGGAAGTGGCGGCGTTAAAGTTGGCTGATAGAATGCGGTAAGCCGGGACACTGGAGAAGATACTGCCCAGAAAGGCGAAAAAGAAAAAATTTCAGACGGTATAATGCTTGTTCTTTCTTTCGTATGAACCTAGATTTAGTGGGGGCTATTGAGAAAGGGCTCTGTATTCGAAGTTGCGAGTGAATGATCGAGAAGTAGTATGTTTGATAGATACAGGGCGGCCGTGTCGTTAATAGATAAGAATTTATGTAAGAGTGTTAGTCCGTGTTCATTGACAGTACAAACAGTAGGCGGGTATGTGTTGCGTATCACGGGTAGATCGAACTGTACGGTCGTTGTTGGTGGCTGCGAGGTGACGTTTCCTTTCATTGTTGTACCCGAACTACAGCGAACGATATTAGGAGCGGATTTTCTGCGTGAGATTGGTGCAATAATCGACACGCAAGCGAACGTGGTGATCACGAAATACGGGCATATCAACATGTATGAGACCAGCGAGATAGCAGCGATTAAGCTGTCGACGGTACAGAATTAATTAATAAATACGATCATCTGTTCACTGGAGATGGCGACCCATACGGTTATTGCGATAAGGTGAATCATGAAATTCCGTTAAGTGATCCGAAAGTAAGGTCATTTACAACGCGAAGAGTTCCATGTCATCTGGAAGGCGAAGTGGAGCGACAAGTGCAAGAGATGTTAAAAGATGATATTATTGAGGAAGCTGATAGCCCGTACAACTCTCCAGTGCTGTTAGTAAAAAAAGCGAATGGGAAGTATAGATTCTGTGTTGATTTTCGACAGTTAAACAGTATGACAGAGTTAAGACCGTGTGCCATGCCAACAGTGGTAGAAACTTTAGATCGCCTACAAGGTGCGAATGTGTTTTCGGATCTTCGCTCAGGATACTGGCAGATACCGATAAAACAAGGTGATAGAGATAAGACGGCTTTCATCGTGGGTCAGACACAATATCGATTTAAACGCATGCCGTTTGGACTAGCAGGTGCACCGTTTACGTTCAGACGACTGATGAAGCTATTACTTAGGAACTTGAAAAACGTGGAGGTTTATGGTGATGATCTCGTCATATACAGTCAAAACGAAAACGATCACGTCAACCATGTAGAAGCCGTGCTGCGACGCATCGAAGAGTTTGGACTACGCGTCAACAAAACCAAGTCCCAGATAGCCAAAAAGAATGTTACTCTGTTGGGACATAAAGTGGGAAATGGTGAGATTAAACCACTGCCGGAGAAAATTTTGACGATTAAAACGAGAATTCAAAGAGAAAACTGAGACAATTCTTGGGTAGAGCAGCGTTTTATAGTCGCTTCGTGAAGAACTTCAATGAGATAGCAGCCCCTCTATACAGGCTACTAGGTGAGCCAAAGTTTGTTTGGTCGGAAGAATCGCAGAGGACATTCGACAGAATTAAACAGCTGCTCGACCACCAACAAATGACGCTAAAACTACCTGTGCCAGGAAGACAGTTCACAGTGTGCACAGATGCCAGTGACTACGCTATAGGTGCGGTCCTAAGACAGGACGAGGGAATCGTTGAGTATGCCAGTAGGGTTTTGACACTCACAGAGAGAAAGTATTCAACGATAAAGAATGTTTAGCAATGGTATGGGCAGTCGACAAATGGAGACCTTATTTACTCGGCCGGCGGTTCCACATCGAAACTGATCATAAGCCGCTACAATTTTTGAAGACAGCGAGAGACCCACGGGGGAAGTTGTCACGGTGGATGTTGCGTCTTCAGGAGTACGATTTTACGATCTCACACGTTCCTGGAAGTGAAAATGTCTTGGCAGATTTGTTATCGAGACCAGAAGATGAGTCTGAGTTGCCCGAGGTCGCTTACGGAGTGCATGCAGTAGAACAAGACCCACTAAGACTTGCACGTAGGCAGAGGTTGGACGATACGCTGAATACAGTAATACAGGTGATCACCAACGGAATAGAAGTGGATCAAACTACGGCGAGTAAGGAGCTAACCACACTACTCAGACAGAGGGATCGACTCAGAGTGAATGCCTACGGGACTCTGACCTGGCGAGAGAACGACGGAAGCTGGCTGGCTGTCATACCTCAATCGTCGCGCCACGACATGATAGAAGAATGTCACCAGCTAGCGCATACAGGCGTGGCCAGAACGACCGACCTCCTAAGACAAAGTATGTACTGGCCAGGTATGAGAGAAGACGTAGCAAGATACGTACTTGGATGTCCACGGTGCCAGCTGATGAAAGGTGACCGGTGCATACGACCACCACTTCAGTCGATTCCAGTTACCGCGATAGGTGACTTGTGGTCCGTAGATGTCATGGGTCCATTTCCTCAGACATCCAATGGTAATCAGTACCTCTTGGTGATGACGGAACACGCGACACGATGGGTAGACGCCGTAGCAATCCCAGACCAACGTGCAAGAACCGTGACAGATGCAGTAGTTAGACACATTGTTGCAGACCACGGCGTACCGAAGACAATACTGACAGACCAAGGTCCCTGTTTCGAGAGTGAAGAGTTTACTTCCCGTTTGCAACAGCTGGGCATCAAGAGGATCAGAACGACCCCATACCATCCACAAACGAATGGCCTAACGGAGAGAAACAACCGTACACTGAAGGAGTGGCTGGCCTCGAAGGGCGGGAACTGGGAAACGGAGCTTCCACTGATTTTACTAACACATCGGGCTACCACTCAGGAAACAACGAAGAAGTCACCCTTCCAACTGATGTATGGTAGAAAACCACGATTACCGGTACACAATGAGACCTGGCCCATGCACCAAAAGTGGAGTACGACGAAATTAAAAGCAGAGAGGAAAGAGGCAGTCAAGAATGTAATACGGAAGCAGCGCAGTGATGTCGCGAAGTCTCAGATGAAAAAGGACGCAGTGCATTACCTTTGCAGTCGGGGACCAAGTGAAGTGTAGAGACAGGAGATATACAGTTGGAGGCGGGCTAGGTTCACGGAAACTCCTTCCAAAGTGGGAAGGACCATACACAATCACAAAAAGACGGGGTCAAGTATATACCATCCGAAGAGGTGATAAACAAACGAGTTAACGCCAGTCAGCTCCAAAGATGGGTACAGTGGGACAAGCCGGTCAGTAACAATCCTCAACTAGAGGATGTAGCACCCAGAAGGTCGGAACGTCTGCGCACGAAGCTATTTGACGGGGGGACGAGTGTGGTGAGAGCAGACTGCTAGCCAATTCGTAGACATTAATCTAGGCTGATTCAACAACCAATCACAGCAGACTTAACGTGGCAAAATATGATTCGCAGATAGAGAACTCTATTTTTCGAGGTATCCCGAAACAACCAATCAGAAGCCTGCGTTTGTCTGCTTAACTCCTGATAAACAATCAATCAGAAGACTGCGCTTGTCTACTTGCATAAGCTATAATAATGTATGTGAAATATACATAAATACGCGTTGATTTTCGTAATAAAACGATCTGTTGCCTGGCCCTTGTCTTCTGTTGTTACACTAGAAGTTTGAGTTAATGGGTGCATGCTATAGAAGACTTTCAAACTCATCGTTTTCAATGATTGTCATCCTGATGTTGTTTTATGAAGGGAAGTCTCTGTGGAGAATAATTAACAGTACTTAGTCACTAATTATAAACAAAATTAATTATTCAATTACATGGAATCGAAATCATAATTTGGAATTTATTCTATGCTTTAATTGATCTCACAAACAGTCATTAATTGCATCGTAATTGGAAAATTAGATTATTTTTCCTGATTAGATGCATTGGGTCGCTGAACCGACCCAAGTGGTTCTTTATATATTTCTGAATAAATTCAGATAGTTATTGACTAGTAACGCAACGACAGAAGATTAGGGTCAGAAAACAGATCCTTTATTGAGTAAATCAAGATATATATATATATATATATATTACATACATTATTAGCGTTATTATTAGCAGAGAAACAGCGTCTTCTGATTGGTTGTTTTCTCGCTGAAGCTTATTCTCTCATCTCTTTGTGGCCTTGTATTCGCCCACGCAATTTATTATTCTTATTTATTTATTTGGACGCATTAAAACTTGGTACAATATGGCACCAAGAAGGATGCGCCACACAATAACAATAAAACAACATAGATCAAAGGAAAAAAAAGAAAGAAGAGAAAATATATATAAGTAGAGAACGGATAAAGAACTTCATCTGGAAGGAAAACAGTCATGCTTAACAAGTTCAAACAGTATTCGTTAACTATCATCGGAAAGGGAAGAAAGAAGGAAATTGCAACACGTGTAATAGCACGCGATGAATTTCATTGATTGTTTGTTGCTTTATTCAGTTTAATTCATTGTGTGAGGGCTGAGATACTGCTCGGGCGCCCAGACCGAAGCTGGTGGTTTATATTATGGGACCACCCTCGAGTCTTTGACTTGGAGTCTAATCCGGAAGGCAGCGGAGCAGTGTCAGGAGCTGCATTCCCATGGTTTCCGGTGACCTATATGGGTTCATACGCCATTTGATCCGATTGGATATTGGAGCCCATGTACCCGATGGTAACTTCTTTTAGTTTAACCACTATCCAAACAGCCTTCCTGACATGGTAGGACTTGCAGGCACACAGAGTCTCAGTCAGTTTAGCATGTTGAGTCATTATGGTATTCGAGCCCGACCACCACGACAAGGTGGCAGTTATCAGCCGGGAATCAGGTGTGCATTGGCGTGGGATCGAACCCCGGACCATGTGCATGATCGGCGAGAGTCCTAACCGCTGTGCCACCGACGCAGTTGTTGTTGAGTTCTTCAAGGTTAAACTTAGTTATTGTCTTTTTTTCTTTCTCATGATCCTGATTCGGGTCGTAAACATTGACGTCAATTGTTGTCTACAGTTTTGGGTCCACAGACAACTCTCACTACTTTTTTAATAGTTTCTTTATTTATTTGACATCGTGGCAACAAACGACAAAAGGAGGTTGGCGAGGGAGAGAGACAGCAAGAGATAGAGATATTTATATAAGACAGATTGTGAAGGTGTGTGACTAAAATTGATATGCAATTATGACTGGCAATAATTTATGCTCGAAACCTTGTTGTCATCCAGTTGTTAAATGCTTCACCGCATGGGATTTAGTTGTTAGATTTGGGTCATGAGTAGAACTTGATTCATATTCATTCAACTATTCTCATCATTTTTGTCGTCCTCTTCTTATTTTTCTTTCTTTGCACCTGTTCATTAGATAACTGTTGAATTTGTTAATGATCAGTCTTTTGATCCAATGGAGTTGGTTACACTGAATGAAAATAAAAAGACAATAAGTTATCTCATAAAGGATTGCTCTTTTCGTCATCACCAACATCGACATCAATCAAATGCATCATCGTCATTGTCATCCAGCATTAATCAGACACGACTGGCTAAACGATTTCTAGTTCGAGTAAGTTTTATGCCTATCTGTGTAGAATTGATAAAGAATTTTTTCAATTAGATCTCATCATTACGCTTAACTCTAATATACCTCTACATAACTTTACAAATAAATATTCAGATATATAAACCAATCATAATGGTGTTTTGTCTATGGGATAATACGATGGAGAATATAAATTGTGCAATTAGTCATTAATCTCAGCACGAATACAGGGGGCTCGTTTCGCCTACGCCAGTTTACGCCGTCTCTGGCGTAGACATGGTATCCGGCTGGCTATCGACCAAAGGACAGGTGTACTGCTCACCTCCAGTCCGCTCCGCACTCCTTTATGGCTGTGGGTGAGCCATGACCATTGAGAGTGGAAGACATGAAAAGATTAGCTGTCTTTGATCACAGGTGACTGCATTCTATCTCACGTGTGAAATGGTAGGTGTAATAGGGTAAGCAATATTGAGGTTAGCCTCGGTGGAGTCCTAGGTAGGTGAGAGGAGAAATCAATCGACGAGGCTGTGAAATTTCATCGACTGAGATGGTTAGGACATGTGTTACGTATATCTGCCTAGTCATCGCTTTCCTCGACGAGCAATGTTAGCGGATATAGGGTCAGACTAGAAAAAAGCTAGCGGAGGTCAAACCAAAACATGGCACCAGTCAATGAAATCTACAGCGGCTAGTCTAAGCCACGTAGGAAGATGTAGACTTCCTGACTGGTTGGGGTCCTCGGGACGTTAAAAACAAATGGTTGGAAACAATTGTTGACATGGCTCAAAGTGATCGTTCTCATGGCTGGCTGGTGCAGATACATCCACTCCTTGTGACTTATGATTTCCGATGAAACTGTTTTGTTCTTCGTTATTACTGTTCCTTTGTCTCACACCTCTGCTTACTGTCCCTATTATGCTTTTCCTGTACTTGTAATTTCTTCTGTTGCTTTATGTGCTACATTGAGAGAGTTTGGCGACTTGAACTTCCGCACATTTTTCAAAGTTCTATGTCGAAAACAGACAGACAGATAATTAGTCATAATAATAATAATAATAATAATAATAATAATAATAATAATAATAATAATAATAATAATGGTCTTATCAATAATAAAGATGAAAAAGTGAGGCAATCTGTGATAACACGAATAATGAAAAACAGTATGATTAAACAAACAAATGTCAAGGTAGACATAGTAGTCGATAAAGGCTAACAAAAACAAGTAATGAACCGATTAAGTAATGTTATATTGTAAGGAAAAGAAATGACACACGTTTCTAAAGTATATTTGATAAGATTAAGGGATGATAGGAGAGGGGTTGAAAATATAAACAAAGGGTGGTGTAGAAGTCTTTCGTTGGTTATATCTTAATTGACAAAATTGAGCTACGGATTGTTTTTGTCTGTCCTTAGCCAACGTGTTAGTGAACATCTCCCATCGTGGTGGCTTGGCGAAGGACAGACAAAAACAATCCGTAGCTCAATTTTGTCACATTTAATTGATAGTGGTCATGTAGTGTGAAGAAAACGACAGCCTACAGTGCAATTCATCACACCCCACCGAATCTTTTCAATAGACTTCGTATTCGTCTACCGTGCACACAACTGAGGCAGGTGATAGGCATTCGAACTATTAAGCATAAACTATTCATTCAATGGAAGTTCGTACACAGCCATTATCCTTCCTTTGTTGGCCTATTAAGACATAACCAACTAAAGACTTCTACACCACCCTTTGTTTTTATTTTCAACCCCTCTCCTTTCATCCTTTAATTATATTACATCTTCATTATAAACGTGTTTCATTTCCTTCCCTTACAATCTATCATTTCTTAATCGGTTCATTGCTTGTTTTTGTCAGCCTTTATCGACTACTATGTCTACCTTGACATTTGTTTGTTTAATCATACTGTTTTTCATTATTCGTGTTATCACAGATTGCCTTACTTTTTCATCCTTATTATTGATGAAACCATTATTATTATTATTATTATTACTATTATTATTATTATTATTATTACTACTATTATGACGAATTGCATAATTTATATTCACCATCTTATTATCCTATAGACAAAACACCAGGATTGGTTTATACATTTGAATATTTATTTGTAAAGTTATGTTGGTATATTAGAGTTAAACGTGATGATGAGATCTAATTGAAACCACAATATTGTTCGCTTAAATGTGTTGTTCTAAATTTTACTATGGGAATATTTAATATAGAGAATTTTTTTCTAATGGTTTGTTGTAAGTTGGCTCCAGTTAGTGTGAACCCATTTGAAAGATGCGCAACTGGACGGCTGTTTTATCCTTGTGTTGGGACTACTCATCAGCACGCTCTCACGAAGTCCTGATGGAAGATGGTCCTCCGGGTGCGATCTGTTTATGTATCCTGAAATAGTGGAAGTTAGAATTTTAGGATCATAGGATTCCGTCTCAGTGACTGAATGACATACCAGTTCGCTTTGTCACTTGAAGGTTCTGGGTTCGATCCCTGGCGGTGGGTTTCGCCGCATGTACTGATGAAGAATCTACTAATACTTGCATTAAATTTTTTTCTTTCAGAGGGAGTTTTCACTTTGATTTCATATTTCGTGACCAACTGACTCGCTGACTGAGCTCTGGACTTAAGTGAACCACTTCAAAGTAGCATATTTCATAAAACGACAGGAAGTAATTGTGGAGAAAGAGAAGAAGCAATTCAAAGAAACTGTGCAGGGTAAATTTAAACACTCGACACCACTAACAGCCAATCACCAAACGACCTTGAACGGACCAATCACATTAAAGAGGCATTTATGGTAAATAGAAACGTTTATTTATAGAAAAAAGCAGAAAAAAAGGATAAAACAGTTACAAGGTGTATCCTTCTCGAACATGTGAGACAAAAACATCTCCCAGTTAAGCATGTGACTGTCGATGGAGAAGTCACACCACGTCCTGTACATATATTCATCTAAATGACTATAAATGAGATCCTTTTGAGATCCATCTATAGCCCTTATCCTGTTTTTCAAGCGGCCCAAAAACCCTTCATCGAATTTTTATTAGTCCTCTTAACGAGATACACCCAGCAAACAAGTGATTTTCTCTATTTTACACGAAGCAATACCTCTGCAATGCTGGTACCACTGAGTTGTTGAGACAAGACTATTCTCCGACTCGGCAGCTGCTGCTCTCACCGGCTGTTTCAACACCCAGTAGTTGCAGATATACAAAATCTGGGTTAGGGAGAGATGCGACCTAGCGAAAAAAGTTCCTACGAAATATTAAAATTATCAGCTTACCCACTCTAATGTTAGCACGCTTCAAACACAGCACAACGATGGACAAATCCACCAGTTGATCTGCTATAGCTTTTTAAAGTCATGATGCCACCACACGAACAAGTTCGCTCCTTCCGGAGCAACCCTAAATCCAGGCAACACTGGAAAACACTATCCTCCTCGAATTGCAACCGTAACCTTGTAAGGTCGCGCATTAGAAATGTATCAAGCGCTATACAACGTTGAACTACGTTCGTAAATCTCATTGAATAATTCCACGTCGTTCGTGACTCTCATTGGATAATTCGTCGTCGTTCGCTGATTGGTAGTTACTGGTGTCGTAAGTTTAACTTGGCCCTGTGCAGTAAACGGAAATGTTCCTGAGAAAGAATAAGTTCACAGGAGAATAAAGAGAATTTTATGAATTTCATACAGCTGGTTCCCTTTATTAGTTTTAATTGAATAAAGAAAGAACAAATGCCATTTGCAGTTTTGATAATATGATTTCGTTTTATTTCGTGGATTGATTCTCCTCAACTGCGTACATCCTAAATAAATCAATAATATATGTTACCAAATTGTGTCTGAACATGCTTTTTACGAGATGATCAAGATTCCTGGCCAATAGCAACAACAACAACAACAGACGACAATCAGCATAAATGGAAGGAATCTGAAAGAAACAACCTCCTTTACCTGCCTCCCTGGGAATCATCGTTTCAACTACAGGCGGACGGAACTGACGAGGATATCAAATCAGCGAGGATCGGGGAAGCAAGACAAGCTGTCTGTGTGGAGGTCAACACTCAGTACTAATCAGCATCAAAAATAAGATCCGGATTTCCAACTCAAATGTGAAGCCAGTGCTACTCACTATACGGATCAACGACTTGGCCAGGGCGTCATAAAGAGCACCTCAAACCAACTACAGACATTCATCAACAGCTATCTGTCTTCGCTCAATACTTAGGTCAAGATCAGATGGCCGGTCAGAAAACATCAGCAACAGGGATCTCTAGCAATGAATGAACCAACCAGGAACCGATTGTGCAACAAATAATATTATTATTGCTCCCTTGGGTGCCTAGTGGAACATAGGGCTTCAACTGCACGTCTCCACTTACTTCTGTCTTCTGCTGTACTTTTCACCTGCATCCATGTTAGTCCATGCTCTTTCAACTCCTCTTCACACGATCTCCTCCATATCACCGTTGGACGTCCCACACGCCGCTTCCCTTTCGGGTTCCACTCGAGCAATGGCCTGACGCGCGATGTCACCCGGCGGTCTCCTCAGCGAGTGTCCAATCCATCTCCACATTCTCCTGCATATTTGTTGTTGTAGGGCGATTGGTTCTTGTTTTGTTTGTTCCCATAGTTTCTTGTTGGTGATTCTATCCGGCCAGGCCATCTGATCCAGCGAAGACAATTATTGATAAAGGTAATCTCTGCAACAGGCTGTTCGAAATGTTGTTTGTGACCCGCCCGCCAAGTTTTTGATCCGTATAGAAGAAGTAACTGACTTGACGTTTGGTTGTATTGAAGATCCGATAAATTTTGTTGTTGATGCTGGCTGAGTGACGAAGATTTCCAGATTGGTTTCAGGTTGATGAACGTGTTTCTCGCCGTCCCGATTCTCGCTCGATTTGATATTCTCATCTGTTCCGATTGCGTGTAGTTGATACAATGCTCCCTAGATAAGTGAATCAAGTGACCTCTTTCAAATCCCTCCCGTTGATGTTGATTGTCGCTGGATGCTGTTGTTGTTGGTTATCTTCATAACCTTTGTCTTGTCTATGTTCACTTGGAGTTGTGTCTTCGCTGACTCCTTCTACGACCAGTTTGTTGGTCGGTTTTCGCTTGTAAGTCTTCGATTTTGTGTGACATCGAACATAAATCATCCACGCGCGAAATCCAGGTCTTCTAGGTGCTTCGCGTCGGTTCAGGATATCCCTGTCTTCTCGTTTCCCACTCACTGTCTGATGCATAATCCAGTCTGTCCACCACAATTAGGAGTATCATTGGTGATAACAAGCAAGCACCTTTGTCTGACTCCTGTGTTTACTCGAAAAATGCATCGCGAGTTTTCCGTTGCGGATCACCTGACATGTGCTGTTGTCGTACAGCTGTTGAATAAGGTTGATGAATATTTGGGGTACGCCATAGTACTCGAGTAATTTCCAAATTACTTCACAATCAACACTGTCGAAGGCCTTCTCAAAGTCTATAAAGTTGAGGTGTAGGTTTGATTGCCATTCCATGCTTTGTTCTGTGATGATGATGCGCAGAGTTGCAATTTGGTCAGTGCATAATTTGCCTTTCCCAAATCCAGCTTGTTCTCGTCGGAGTTCTGTCTCTAGTGCGTCCTTTATTCTTTCCAGGATAATGCGACTCAGGATTTTACTTGGCGTCGACAGAAGCATGATACCTCACCAGTTCTTGCAGAGTCCCAAGTCGCCCTTCTTTGTTAGTTTCATGAGGCAACCTTTCCTCCAGTCAGTAGGCACCTTTCCCTCCTTCCAGACCTTTTGCAATAATTGAGTCAGCATATTTGCTGTAGTCTCTGGGTCTGTTTTCAGTGCTTCAGGGGGTATTCCATCTGGTCCAGCTGCTTTTCCAGCTTTCAGAATTTTGATTGCGTTCAAGACTTCGGCTCTCGTTGGAGGATTGGTGTCAACTTGCAGTTGTGTGCGCGCTGTTGTTGGTACTTCTGGACGGGTTGCAGTTGATGGTCGGTTCAAGAGTCCTTTGAAGTGATCCGCCCATTGTTTAATCTGTTTTTCTTCCTTGGTAACTGGGTTCCCTTGGCTTTCTTTTATATGTTTCACTTGTGTTGATCTCTTCCCGGATAGAGATTTGGTTATCTGATATAATGTCCTCGGGTCCCTTCTGTCTGCTGCCTTCTCAGCTTGAGTGTCCAGGTTGTCGTAGAATTGTCTTTTTTCCTTCCTAGCACTCGCCTTTGCTTCTTTGTACAGTGCTCTGTAGGTTGAGCTCATCGTCTCCTTCTCCTGTCCGTCCTTGCATTGAATCATTTACTCTTCCACAATTCTCCTCTCTTCTATTAGTTTATCGGTTGTGTAGAGAATAATACATGTAGTTCACCAGCATTAAAAGTTCTTTGAATTGATTTTCTTAATTTCCTGGTAATTATCTCACCTGGTATGTCGCCGCACTTGAATTGCAGTCGTATATAAAGTGGCTTCTTGTTTACAGATAGTGAGTATATCTTTTCCGCCGCCTTCTTTGTCATGTGTTTCTTGATAAATTTGTCTGGATAGCCATCTTCGATCAAAGTATCATATACAATGCTTACTCAACTCATCTTCATCTGTTAATGAATTAATTAATTTTGTGGAGACCAAAGATTTTGCGTTTCTGTTGACTTGTGAACTTCAAGTCTCTTCTGAACAGCCTGAGTAGAAACCTTTGCATGTTTTGGTATGCAATTTCTCCTTCTTTGTCTTCTTTTTTCTTTCTTCTTTAGCTCGTAACCTCTTTCGGTGTCCCATTATCTCATTGGTCAATTGTCTATGTGACACCGCATCCGGACATAAAACAGTGCGGCGCCTGTGATTGTACCCTTGGTTATCTGTCGGTTGAGAGCACGCCCATGGGACAGCATATCAGTGAATTATACCTATCGGTTATTGATTCGACGAGCGGTTATTTTATAGCCTTTAATAATGACTACAACAATAATAATCCAAGGTCATCATCATCATCCTCCGGCCATTATGGATATGCCGCGGAAGTGTCCGCTTCAACTCTCCTCATTATTGGTGCTAATCAAACTCAGTTCATTATTAGTCTAATTTATCTGCCTATAGTTTATTTATGTATTGAATTGTTTATCATGCATCATTGGTTCTTCTCATCCACGATGACGACGACGACGAAGACAACGACGGCTACGGGGATGTCGACGTTGACAGCGAGACAATGGAATACTCCATCTTGGTTGGAAAAACGAATAAAAGTGTGAAGTAGTGTATTATCATTATTATTATTATCACATTTCCTTACCTGTTTTTATCTTCCTTTAAATTTTCTTCCTTTTCTGCAGACCTTCTCCATCACCACTCCCCCAACACCCCTTCGACAGTGTTTTGTCTTCTTTTAAGTTTGTGTACAATATTTTGTAAAAAAAGTAGTCCTTGTTTTACGTTTCTTAATTTATTGGATTTTATTTTCACTTTTCTCCCTCCACTTTAAATTGTTTTTCTACTTTTTATTTTAATGTCCTAGTGTGTGTATATGTCAATGGGAAGATGACGAAGTATGATTAAAAATATACCTCACATTATTATTAATGTGACGTTCATTGTTTTTTCTTTTCTTTGTGATTGATTGTGATGACTGTGTGACACTGTATGAATAAAAATACCCATTTAAATTTATGGAATTTACAACGTTCGGGATTTGTTCAAAATTGTTAGATTTTGTCATTGAGAACCAACAGAGAGAGAGTACTTCCTGGACAGCTGTTTTGTTCCCAAAGTTGTGGGGGGGGAGGGGGTGTAACAACAGAAGACAAGGGCCCGGCAACAGATCGTTTTATCACAGAGATCAGCACGTATTTATTTTTATATATTTCATGTACATTATTATAGCTTATTCAAACAGACAAACACAGTCTTCTGATTGGTTGTTTTTGCTCAAGGTTATTCTGTACTGCTTGTGACTGGTAACTCAGAAAGTTAAGCCATATATCTGCGAATCGTATTTGCCCACGTTAAGTCTGCTGTGATTTATTGTTGAATCAGCCTTGTTCATATTTTCTCACTGCCAATATTAGTGACCTAGACATTGACGTAAATTAATGTCTGCCAATTGGCTAGTAGCCTGCTCTCACAACAGGGGGGTATTGATCCCAAAGACCAAGCTCTTTCTACAATTCAGTCACTAACCCAGTGAATTCAATATAACTGCTCACTCCTGTGTGGAGTGAGTCAGTTAGTTGCATAGGCCGTACACAATTAGGCGTGTTTCTCGTTAGGATTTTCGAACATCACCCTGTACAGTGGTTGGTTAAGTAAAGGACAAAGAAAATCTATTCACATGGCGCTATTCTATCTCACTCATTTTGTGGATACAGAACACAAAATTGATGATGATGTTAACAAGGCGGCTTTCAGGGTAGTTTATCGCATACCAACAAATCTTAGCTTCTCCTTAAGAGTTCGACTACTAAATATTGCTGAGACTGGCTGTTGGGATCCATATTAAGAAGCCTAATTTATGTGTCCCAAAAGAGGTTAGTTCAGTCATTGTCCTTACCTTGGCTGTCAATCTAGGTTTGAGTGATCATGAACTTTTGTCGAATTTTCCTAATTTTAGTTGATATTCTACTTGCCATTATATTACTATTATTATTATTATCATCATCATCAGAATTTAGGCATCTTTAATGAACTGTAATTCCACTGTGATCCTACTTTACAAATCGATATTATTTATTTATTATTATATCCTTTAATTCCTAGAGGAACATAGGGCTTCAACTGCACGTCTCCATTGCGTTCGGTTCTCTGCTAGAGTTTTCACCTGGCTCCAGGTCTGCCCACATGCTTTCATCTCCTCTTCACATGACCTCCTCTTCCATGTCACCCTCTAGCTGACGACCAACTCGCCGCTTCCCATTCTGTCGGGTTCCACTCGAGCAATGGCTTGTCTAGTTATGTCACTTACATGATGGTTTGTTTTTTCAGATTATGGCCAATCCACCTACCTCCATTTCTTCCTGCCTAATTGTTTCACAGCCACCTCCTGCTGGGTTGGTTTGCTCAATGTCAGAGATCCCTGTTGCTGATGTTTTCTGACCGGCCATCTGATCCTGAATAGTATTGAGCGAAGAAAACTGTTAATGAAGATTTGAAGTTTGTTTGAGATGCTCTTTATGACGCCCTGGCCAAGTCTGTGATCCGTATAGTGAGTAGCACTGACTTCACACTGGAGTTCTTGACACCGACTTGAGAGTAATGAAGGGTTGTCTTGCTTTCCCAATCCTCGCTTTGATGATATCCTCATCAATTCGGTCGGCCTGTAGTTGAAACGATGCTTCCCAGGTTGGGGGGGGGTAGGTGAAGGAGATTGTTTCTTTCAGGTTCCTCTCATTCATGCTGGCTGATTGTTGTCTGTTGTTGCTATTGCTGTGGGTCTTGCCCAGGAATCTTCGAGTATGCATATAGTAATATATATATATACCTGTAAGATTAACTATGCTTTATTGTTTTGTATATATTTTAGATAACAGTCCCCAAATCTATTGTATATGTATCTATAGTAGATGGATTTCTCAAGTATCCTTCAAGATTTACTAACCACATCGACAGAAGCACAGAGGGAACTTACTACTACTACTACTGCGAGTAGTAGTAATACTCGAATGAATAAAAAATTATGCTTACTCCTCAGTCATGGATTAGCTATACATGAAATATTCTTCACTGAATGTATTCATCAATTCCTACAAAAGCATTATCCTACACTAACTATTCAACCGTATGGAGACAAACAGAATAACAGCAGCGGTAGTGTCAATTCATCATCGGAAGATGACAGAAAGAACAGCAGAAACGGCAGCAGTAGTATGCCTTCTAACATTAATATTATTATTATATGCCTACATAAATCATGGGATATATATCGAAGGCTATTAAATCCAATTTATACTAGTCATCCTAAGATTAAAGAATCCTTGCATATAATTGATATGACAGTTGGAATAAAGGAGATATTATCATCATCATCATCATCGTTATCATCGTCATCGAATCAGTCAGCGGAGTCAAATCTACCTGACGAAATGATGAAGAATTGTACAACATCAGATGTACAACCTAATATTGATGATAGTATGATTAAAAATTATATTAAGAATAAGGTAAGTGAATGTGTGTATAGCCATTTCGGTGTATTCTTACGTATCATGGATGAGGTTATTATTACTATCATTATTATTATTATTCAGGGTCTTCTGAACGCCTTGAGCTGCAATCTACGAATGCGATTTGCTCGTGCTGCCAAATGTAAGATGATGAGGTTATAGGACCGGACTCGACTACACTGACTCCTAGTTTAGAAATATGGAGTGAAGTAGTAGTAGGGTGTTGACCAACCAGCCAACACCAGTGGGTTGATCTCCGACGAAATCTTAGCACGGATACAGAAGGCTCGTTTGGTATATGCCAGTTTACATTGTCTATAGCGTTAGACGTGATATCCGGCTGACTGGTTATCGACCAAAGGGCAAGTGTACTGCTCAACAGTTCACTCCGTCATCCTTTATGGCTGACTGTGAGACGTGACCATTAAGAGTGGAAGGACGGCTAGCTAGCTAGAGGAGGGGAAATCATTTTACGAGGCTGTGAAGTTACATCGACTAAAATGGTTAGGACATGTGTTACGCATACCTAGTCATCGCCTTCCTCGACTGATGGGGACAATGTTAGCCTACGTAGGGTCAGGCTGGGAAAGAGATAGTACTGGTCAAACCAAAACATAGCTTCATCAGTCAATGAAATCCACAACAGTTAGTTTAATCCAGCCAGTCAGCCACGTAGGGAGGTGTAGACTTTCTGACTGGTTGGTTGGGGTTCTCGGGACCTGTTAAAACCAATGGTTAGAAACAATTGGTGATATAGCAGGCTCAAAATCATTTTCAATGGCTGGCCGGTGCAGATGCATCTACTCCTTTTGACTTATGATTTTATAATCAAATTATATTGTTCTTTTTTATTACTATTCCTTTTGTCTCTCTTCTCCCTGTCTACCGTCTCTATTAGGCTTTTCTTTTTACTTTCTTCTCTTGCTTTGTGTGCTACAAGGAGAGAGTATAGCAACACGAACTGCTACACATCTTTGTCAAGTAGTAGTTCTCTGTTGAAACCAGTCATTCACGACATTGTTGATTATTTTTTTTTTAATTTAATTTTCTTTAGGTGGATAAGCTGCTAAAACCCTCTTCTTCTTCTTCTTCTTGTTCTGAAGGAGAAGTAGCTCCCATGAAATCAACAGTCGATCAAAATGTTGGCATTTTTATTGATAATTTAACTGCTTTATATGATTTAGGCGTTAGTGTACGTGAATTAGAGAATATGTTATCCAGCTGGTGGTGGGGGTGGTGTTGTTCGCAGTCAATTGTCGACAATCCTAGTCTTATAAAAACATCTTCATCACCATCATTATCATTCATGCACATTGGTATTCACCTTGGTGATAATTTTGAGGATTCAATTATCTCTGAATATGAACCAGCATTTGTACATTTTATTGATATGTGGAGAAGACGTGCTTCAAATGTAATTGAAGTGAAACCTTTGACAACTGGTTATACATCGTTAATTGACGGACAGGTAATTTATTTATACTGTCCTTTCATTGCTTCTTCATTGAATCTTTTTTTTTTATGTTCATTTCTTGATAAATTCACGGCAAGTTTGATCACAGATCAGTTAGAGAACCAGTGAAAACCATCAGGGAGTACTGGACAGCCAGTTGTTTCGTCAGCCTAGTTTAGGACTCTTCATCACTATGCACTCACCTCCATGGTTCGAGTCCAGGACCACACTCAGCCAAATTCATCTAATGTTCACTAGTAATGGCTCTATACAGAAAGTTATCTGGAATTTTTTGGGGAAAATTCATCCCTGCTGGGGTTCACCAAGTTAGGCAAGAGGAATGGTTACTCCTCTATGATACTGGCCGGTGGCTGCACTAAGTAGGTATCACGAATCGTTAGAAGCTGGAATTTATGCATCTTTCGGTGGGGTCCCAGCTACTGGAATAGTATGTGAGATTGCCTTGCAGCCGAAAGGTCCTGGGGTTTGAACTCTTGTGGGTGCGTACTGATGAGGAACGTCATACTAAGACGAAAAAGCTGCCCAGTACTCTCAGGCTTCTCGAAAAGATATTTTTCAGGAGTTGTGGTTTAATAAACTGAATCTGGGAATCTCGATCAAACCCTTCTGCTTCAGTAGATTAGATACGTGATTATTATTTTCTATAATAATTGTTTCCTTTAGTTCCTAGAGGAACATAGGTCTTCAACCGAACGTCTCCATTGCATTCAGTTCTCCGCCAACGTTTTCACTACAAGCCTCCACGTCTGCCCACATGCTTTCATCTCCTCTTCGCTGTATCACCTCCTCCACATCACTATGGCACTGACGACCAATTCGCCGCTTTCCATTCTATTGGGATCCCACTCGAGCTATGGTCTGGAGTGTGATGTCATTCATTTGATAGTCTATTTTCTCAGAGTATGACCAATCCACCTCCATTTCTTCCAGCATATTTGTTGCACAATCGGTTCCTGCTGGTTTGGTTCGTCGTTCCCCGAGATCCCCCACTATTCCTAATGTTTTCTGCCCGGCCATCTGATTTTGAGCAAAGTAATGACCGAAGACAGCTGTTGATACAGGTTTTTTGTTTGTTCGAAGTGGCCTTCATGACGCAGGGTCAAGTCTCTGATCCGTATAGTGGGTAGCACTGACTGGATTTCACATCAGAATTAAAAATCTGGATCTTCTTTTCCATGCTGAATTTTGAGTGTTGATGTAATGTAGGCTTTCCTTGTCTTCTTGATCCTTGCTGCTTTAATATCTTCAGCAGTTCAGTCGGCCTGTAGTTGAATCGATGCTTCCCAGACAGGTAGGTAAAGGAGGTTGCTTCTTTCAGATTTCTCCCATTTATGCTGGCTGATTGTTGTCTGTCGGTGTTTTCGTCGTAGCTGTTGCTGTTGGCCAGGGGTGTTCATCGTCACCTCTGTTTTCTCTATGTTCACCTGAAGTTGTATCTTTCTTTGATGCTTCTTCTGCTAACTTGTTACTTCTCCTCATTTGTATATCTTTCAGTTTGTGGGAAATCATATATATATATATATATATATATATATATATATATATATATTATCGGCAAAATCCAGTTCCTCCAAGTTTTTTGTATGGGTCCATTTTATGTCTGTCTCCGCCCTGTGTCGCATTATCCAGTCTACCGCAGTCAAGAAATTAATCATTGTAGATAGTGGGCAACCAGCCAGCCTTGTCTTACCTCCGTCTTGACTTTGAAGTATTCCTTTATTTTCCCGTTGTGGATTACTTGGCACGCAGCATTGTCGTAGTACTGTTGGATGAGATTAGATACATATATATAACTTATGAATAGTACCAAATGACGTGGCGCTTTCGATGACACATGAATACATAAATGTGTTTAAAATGTGTCATATTATTCAGTGGTGAAGTATGAAATTGATTGGTTAAGTTGATATCTTATAAAATATAACAGGGAATATATATTTTCGTCGGAATAATAATCCAGACAGAGGGGGGGAGGATGGTATTGACTAAAATCTCATCTCTATCCGGACTTTCGTTTCACCAAAGAGATCACGAATCACACGTTGAATATCGGTTTGTTAGGATTATTTCCGACAGCCTCATCGTCAGTTAACAATCTGTTCCTCTTTACTTCTAAGTATTCTTGATCTCCTGTCTTATGGCTGCCTAACCACCGCCTATCTTGACGGTTAGTGTTAACTGATATGAGATAGTTCCATTATGGGTAAATTTTGTTTTGATAAAGTCTCACAGCGTTATACATAATCATATGATTATGAGCAATAAATTGTGCTCGAAACGTCATCAGTAAACATTACTGTATAACACTGTGAGACTTTATCAAAACAAAATTTACCCATAATGGAATTACACTCTACCACAGTGCACAAGTTTTATTCTTATATGATATGAGATAGGTCAGGCGGGAAAAGAGCTTATAGTGTCCTAGTGAAAACGTGACTTTATCAGTTAATGAAATCCACAACAATTAGTTCAAGCCAACCAGACACGTAGGAAGGTGTAGACTTCCTAAATGGTTGATTGAAGTCCTCAGGATGACAAGAACCAACAACCATTGGTTGGAGATAATAGGTGATATGGCTGGCTAGCGCAGATGCATTCAGTCTTTGTGATTTATAATTGTTATGTTCTCGTCGCTAAATTATTGTTATGGACTGGTCGAGAAATTAATAGTCCTGACGCAAAGAAGGCGGAAATCAGAAGACCACTAGGTTTGCGATGATACTTCTATTGTCCAAACACAAGGAGACGAAAATAAATGGTCTCACACCAAAGTGGTAAGTATGTAAAGTAGTTCACACAAATTGTGTGAACGAAATATATATATATAGCAAAATATATAGCAGACATGTCAACAACCACCATATATGGATATATGTCACTAAGCAACGGACTGTCAACAAACACTCATATTATATTATATATAATATAAGATAAGGAGAATACACATTATTAAAGCAGACAAGTTCATACAAGTGAAATGGTCACAGACTAAGCGAGCAAACAGAAAGAGAGACCAACATACACACACACACACATAAATATATATATGTGGATACATATCAATAATATTCAATAAAACTATATTGTTCTTCCATAATACTACTATTCTTTTTGCTTCATATTTTTGTTTGTTATCTCTCTTTACTCTTTTGCCTAGCTCTGTGTGTTACTTGGAGGGAGAGTTGCAACTGGAACTGGTGCACATCGGTGCAAAGTTCTACATTGAAACCAGTCAGTCAGTTAGTTAGTTAGTTAGTCTTCCTGGATGATCAATTTCAAATGACATTTAAATGATTGGGACTCACCAGTAGGAGGAGAACTACATATAGCCAAGTATAGCGTGATGATTAATGGATGATAACTTACGTATCATCCTTCACTTACATTAAAAACTGAGAATTACCTCTGAAATGATGATATGGTTAGGAGTTGCATTGTGCTGGTAAAATACAGGATATGCAATTCAAAAGTTACTGGTCTGAATACTGCCGCCTTTGAAATTTCCCCTTCGCTTTTAATTATCACCTGTTGAAGTAGGATTATTCTCTCTACCTTATTCTCAGTTGGTAGAAATGAACCATACTTACTGTTTGCGTGCGAAGGTTAATCCTTTGGTTGGACATTAGCAACTAGTGTAATATGTCTAGTCCTTTGTTTGGCGCAGACTGAATCTCAGAAAGAACATGAGTTCCTTCAAGGTAGTTGCAAATACGCCTTTCTGACTGATGAGTGCCAACTAGTACGCGAAACCTAGGGCAAGAAAGGCTTCCTGTGGTCGATTGCTTTCAGCCATCTAATATCATCAAACCAATGTGCACCATGATGGTGAGCTACTCAGAATGGCGGCTGACTGAAAGAATTCAGTCTACACCAAACACCAAGGACTAAACACGTCACACTAGTTGCTATAAAGTTACATAGACTAAGATGGCTAGGTCACGTGCTGCGCATGCCTAACCACCGCCTCCCCCGACGGCATTGCTAGCTGATATATGTTCAGGTTGGAAAAGAGCCAGTGGTGGCCAAACAAAAACATGGCCTCATCAATCCATGAAATCCTTGACAGTTAAACTGAGTCAGGTAGGGAGGGAGATGCAGACTCCCGGGTTGGGGTCCTCGGGACTGACTCTAACAATCAATGGCTGGAGACAATAGGTGACATGGCTCAAAATCGTTGTCAATGACAGCGCAGATGTATTCAGTCTCTGTAATCTTTCATATTCCTTTCTACCATTACCTATTCTGTTTCACTCTTATACTTGTCAAACTCAATTGATTCTCTTCACTCATCTTCTTGTCTACCTCTGTGTGCTATTTGGAAGGTGGCAACTCGAAGTGCTGGACTTCGGTGGCAAGTTCTATGTTGAATACAGACAGACAGACTAGTTGCTACTGTCCAATCAAAAATATGCAATACAATTCTATGGGAGGTCAATCGCGAGCCCCAATAGCACAGTGGTAACTTCTCTGACTGCAGGTGGTGCTGGGTGACACGGTTCGAATCTCAGAGGGGTTAGACATGAGTTTCTTTCAAGGTAGTTGCAGATTCGCCTTTCTGACTGACTGGTGAATGCCAACCTAGGTCAAGCAAGGCCTCCTGTGACCGATTGCCTCTAACCGTCTAATGTTTATAATAATCTATTTGTTATATTCTCTATAGTGATTATTTTCCACTTTTTAGTTAATATGTTGGAAACAGTCGTCAAATATGGATAACATCTGCGCGTCAACTGTGAATACATCAAATACTTATCATTTTCGTGTTGAAGGCAAACGTATCAACTGTTATACTCCAGGAATGTCAAAGTTAATAACATAAAACAAAAGCCCCGTATCTCTGTTAACTTTTATGTAAATTATTATTATTTTTGTACATCATAATCTTTTTCGATAGAAAGGCAAAATAAAGTGCAAATATTTGATGGAATTTTTGAAGTCTTTGCCCTCTTTTGACATATATATATATATATTGGTTGGAGGATTTCATCATGGGCTGAAAACAGTTAGAGAACCATAGGAGGTCAGTCGCAATCCCGCATATCTCAACTGTAACGTCTCTGACCGTAGAACCGGCTATCGACCAAAGGGTGTGTGTGCTGCTCAAAAGTCCCCTATGTCCTCCATTATCACTGTAAAAATGGGACATGGTCACTGAAAGACATGAAAATACCGGCTAGTTATGATAGTGTTAGGTGTTGGTTTGTAGGGATTTGATTAGTTTCAGGATTTCATCATGAGCTGACATTAGTTAGAGAGCCATTGGAAAACCTGCAGGGAGTACTGGACAGCCAGCTGTTTCGTCCTAGTTTGGAACTCTTCAGCAGTACACACCCACTGGGATTCGAACCCAGGACCTTCTGGTTACAAGGCGAGCTAGCTCATAGACCGTTAAGTCACCGGGACCCGATCCAATGCCCATTCCAAGAATTCTAACTTCTGCCAATTCACGACCCCTAGCCAATGTCTTCGGCGATTATATGTCCTCACACCCGACCGGCTGCACTCTACTGGTCACGACTTCTCACTAGAATCCCAGGTAACTACCTGCCTGAATAGGGCAAGTCGCTAGTGTGAGTAGTATTCAGTTAAGGCATCGGTCGAGTGCTAGGTACGAAGGGAGAGTTTGTCGATGTGGTTGTGTTGTCAGCTTCACCAATTGAGAGAGATATGGTTTGGATATGTGTTACACGCATGCATTTCTAGCCATCTATCACCTTCCCCGATAATCGGCAATATTAGTCGCTGACATAGGATGGATGAGGTTGGTCACATACATAGTGGTCAAACTAAAATATGGTTTCATCAGTCAATGAAATTCACAAGAGTTAGTTTAAACAGGTCAGTAAGGCACGTAGGGTGGTGTAGACTTCCTGTCCGGCTGGTTGGTTGCGTTCCTCAGGATGGTAAGAACCAATGATGGCGACTGTAGACAATTAGTGTTATGGCTGGCTAAAAGTGACGCGGCTGCATTCACTCCTTGTGACTTATAATATCCAATAAAATTCTATGATTCTTCCATATTACAATTCTCTTTGCCTCATACTTCTGTTTATTATGTCTCCCTTTACTTGCTTCATGTGTTACATGGAGGGAGTGTGTCAACCCGAACGACTACTGCACATATACGTAAAGTTCTACGTTGAAACCAGTCAGTCAGCAGAACTTGGTGACACCAGTTTGAACCTCAGAATGGATATGAGTTCCTTCGAGGTTACTGAAATGCATTTCTGACTAGTGAGTGCCAACTAGCACAACACTTAGGTCGAAGGCTTCCTCTTGATTGCATCTAACCATCTAATGTATGCTGATTGTGTTGATCGCAGATTCATCTAAGTGAGGATCAGACCTCCAGAAATCCCCTGGAATAAATAATTTTGAGGTCTCCACTGCCTAGAACTCCTACATTTTCTCAGTCGCTGTCTACGCGCATCGATACGAAGGAGTACATATTATTATGCCTTATGACATTTTGTATTCTTGGAATCAGAATGCAGAGAAACTCACACTTTGATCAATAAAAGGCTTGCAACATTTCATGCAATTTATTTTGTTTTTTATTGTGTTACATCTTTTGTTTTGTGTAGTATATGCGGGCAGGGGGGAGTGGGGGTGGGATGACAGTACGACATTAATTTCAAACGGAGTCAGTGTCCTACACTTCATTGGTATCAGAAGTGTAGTACGATTTTCTTTGTCCTTTCACAGGATAGTCGCCATAAATGAACTTGTACCATCAGGAGGGTGGATAGACTTCAGTCTTCTTCACGAAAGGGTGTCATGTGTACTCACTTATAACCTCCCCATTTGCAAGCTAGATCGTATTCACTACCTTCACACGTTGTTAGTGTTCCTCACTAAAAAGTGAAAGAGCGAATTCGAACTCCTAGTGTTTAAAAACAGATTAGTGGAACCAGAAAATCTTAATTCCAAACCTATGGTGTGTGTACATCAGTTCCGGATTATAAACTTGTTTCCGTCGCTGAATACCATATAAGGACGCAGTCCATGGACTGCCTGATGAATTAGAACTCAGTTTAAACGTCACATTTTTTTTTTGATTTACAGCTTGATTCCACACTGTATTTTTGGTACAAGTATGGAATTTTCAGCATGGATATCGGTAGCCCAAATTTTACAGGCCGACCATAGATATCAGGTGTGCGCCAGCGTGGGCTCGAACCCCGGACCATGTGCATGGTCGGCGAGAATCCTAACCACTGTGCCACCGACGCACTTCATAATAATAAGATATAACTCAGAGATGCGATCGAATTGTAAGTAAGACAAGGCTGCCTATTGTCATCAATGATATTGTGAATTGTGGTGAACTGGACTATGTATCAAATCGTTGGGGACGACGATGAGTCAGGAATACGCTGGACGACCGATAAGAAGACTCTAGAAGACTGTGGATTTTGTAGATCAAAATATGTCTAATATCGCACAAACTCGAGAACATTCAGGTGAAAACCAACAAACAGGCTGAAGAGATAGCGAGGATAGGACTCCATGAGAACATACAGAAAACGGAAGTGATAGAGGAGATAACCAACTGACCATAACACCAACAGCAACCAGCACCAATCATCATCAACGAGAGAGATTTAACAGAGGTTGCCTCCTTCACTTATCTAGGCAGCCAGCATCGTTTCAACTACACGCAGTCGGAATGGATGATGTCAAAGCTTGTCAGAATGGGAAAGGAAAGATCCACCTTCATCAATTTGAAACCAGTTTGGAAATCTTCCTCACTCACAATCCCGTGTCGTTAATACATAAGAACTTATGTAAGAGTGTTAGTCCGTGTTCTTTGACAATACAAACAGTAGGCGGGCATGTGTTGCGTATAACGGGTAGATCGAACTGTACGGTCGTTGTTGGCGGCTGCGAGGTGACGTTTGCTTTCATTGTCTGTCTGGATTCAACATAGAACTTGGCACCGAAGTGCAGCAGTTCGAGTTGCCACGTTCCAAATAGCACACAGAGGTAGACAAGAAGATGAGTGAAGAGAATTAATAGAGTTTGACAAGTATAAGAGTGAAACAGAATGGGTAATGGTAGAAAGGAATATGAAAGATTACAGAGACTGAATACATCTGCGCTGTCATTGACAACGATTTTGAGCCATGTCACCTATTGTCTCCAGCCATTGATTCCTAGAGTCCCGAGGGCCCCAACCCGGGAGTCTGCATCTCCCTACCTGACTCAGTTTAACTGTCAAGGATTTCATGGATTGATGCCATGTTTTTGTTTGGCCACCACTGGCTCTTTTCCAACCTGAACCTATATCAGCTAGTAAATGCCCGTCGGGGGAGGCGGTGGTTAGGCATGCGCAGCACGTGACCTAGCCATCTTAGTCTATGTAACTTTATAGCCTCGTCGATTGATTTTCCCTCTTTGCCCAACACTCTACGCCTAACGTCAACATTACTTACCTTATTATAAAACCACCTAACGTGAGACAGAGATCGCAGACATCTATGATCGAAAGCAGTCAACCTTTTCATGTCTTCAACGCGTATTGGCCATGTTTCAGAGCCATAGAGAAGGACGGAGCGAACTGATGAGCAGTACACACGTCCCTTGGTTGATAACCGGATGTCACGCCTACGCCAGAGATGGTGTAAGTCAGCGAAAGCAGCTCGAGCTTTTCGGATCCGTGCTGAGATTTCATCGCCAATCAGTCCGTTGGTGCTAATACAACTTCCCAAGTAGGTGAAGTGGTCAACATGTTCTATCACTTCACTCCCTATCACTAAGTTAGGGGTTGACGTGGTCCAGTCCTGTAGCAGCATCTTACATTTTGCAGGGGCGAATCGCATGCCAAACATACGAAGATTGCTGCTCAAGGTGTTCAGAAGACTCTGCATTTTGTCAGCATCCTCCCCTAACAGGACTATGTCATCTGCATATTCTAAGTCCATAAGATTATTCCCTGGTAACAAGTCGATTCCTAAGTCACTACGTTCAGTTAAGGATACTTCCATTAGCATATCTATGATGAAGTTAAACAGAAATGGGGAAAGTGGACATCCCTGTCGGACACCACTGGTTGTTACCAATTCAGATGACAATTCCCCATAAGCCCTTACACGACTACGTGAGTTTGAATAGAGTGCCTTGATTAGTGCAATGTACTTTCTTGGCACTCCCTTCACAGTCAGACATTGCCATAGTACCTTTCGATCCACGGAGTCGAAGGCCGCCTTCAAGTCAAGAAATATGACAATTGTTGGACGCCGAAAAGTGTGTCTATGTTCTAGAATCTGTCGAAGAGTGAAGATATGATCTATGCACCCTCTACCTGGTCTAAAGCCTGCTTGATTTTCCCTTGTCTGTTCCTCCCGAGTTCTGCTTAGTCTATGCATGATTACTGAGCCTAGGATTTTAGAGACTATGTTCGTTAGGCTGATCCCCCTATGATTATCACACGAGGACTTGTTTCCCTTCTTGAATATCGGTATAATAAGTGACTTACCCCAGTCTGATGGTACTGTCTCTGATTCCCAGACTTTGCCTAGTACCTCAGTTAATCTACAAACTAGTATGTCACCCCCATATTTAAACACCTCCGGAATAATTCCGTCGGGTCCTGCCGCTTTGCCTCGTTTCAAATTACTGATAGCTTTTGTAACCTCACCTACAGACGGCGGACCAGTGTCTATATCCCATTCGGGTACGTGGTGGATGGCGGGGAGGTTCAGTGTGGCTGTAGGCAAGTTAAATTGTTCCTCAAAGTGTTCTTTCCAGCGTTCAAGGCGTCTATCCTGAGAGCTAATTAAGGAGCCATTTTTCTCAGAAATAGTCTCACTTATGAATTGCCTTCTCCCGCCCGATTCTGTGATGAGTCTAAAGAGTTGCCTAGTGTTGCCTATCGCCGATGCTTTTTCCATCTCTTTCGCCTTTGTCACCCACCACTGTTCACGGTCTTTGCGGAGACTTTTAGTAAGTTTCCTTTTGTGCAGCTTTCGCTCCTCATTGAATTCGGAGCTCGCCGGAATAAGTCTTCTAGCATCTATCAGTTCGGATGAGGCAGTCGAAATCCAGTGGTTTTTACTCACCTTTGGATTTAACTTATTCACAGCTTTTACAGCTGTATCTATAGCTGACTGAATATTCTTCCAGGCTTCTCCAGGGTGAGCACAGCTGTTTGCTTTCATTGTTGTACCCGAACTACAGCGAAAGATATTAGGGGCGGATTTTGTGCGTGAGATTGGTGCCATAATCGACACGCAAGCGAACGTGGTGATCACGAAATACGGGCATATCAACATGTATGAGACCAGCGAGATAGCAGCGATTAAGCTGTCGACGGTATACAGTATGACAGAGTTAATTAATAAATACGATCATCTGTTCACTGGAGATGGGGACCCATACGGTTATTGCGATAAGGTGAATCATGCAATTCCGTTAAGTGATCCAAAAGTAAGGTCATTTACAACGCGAAGAGTTCCATGTCATCTGGAAGGCGAAGTGGAGCGACAAGTGCAAGAGATGTTAAAAGACGATATTATTGAGGAAGCTGATAGCCCATACAACTCTCCAGTGCTGTTAGTAAAAAAAGCGAATGGGAAGTATAGATTCTGTGTCGATTTTCGACAGTTAAACAGTATGACAGAATTAAGACCGTGTGCCATGCCAACAGTGGTAGAAACTTTAGATCGTCTACAAGGCGCGAATGTGTTTTCGGTTTTCGATCTTCGCTCAGGATACTGGCAGATCCTGATAAAACCAGGTGATAGAGATAAGACGGCATTCATCGTGGGTCAGACACAATATCGATTTAAACACATGGCGTTTGGACTAGTAGGTGCACCGTTTACGTTCAGACGACTGATGACGCTATTACTTAAGAACTTGAAAAACGTGGAGGTGTATGGTGATGATCTCGTCATATACAGTCAAAACGAAAACGATCATGTGAACCATGTAGAAGCCGTTCTGCGACGCATCGAAGAGTTTGGACTGTGCGTCAACAAAACCAAGTCCCAGGTAGCCAAAAAGAATGTTACTCTGTTGGGACATAAAGTGGGAAATGGTGAGATTAAACCACTACCGGAGAAAATTTTGACGATTAAAACGAATTCAAAGAGAAAATTGAGACAATTCTTGGGTAGAGCAGCGTTTTATAGTCGCTTCGTGAAGAACTTCAATGAGATAGTAGCCCCTCTGTACAGGCTACTAGGTGAGCCGATTTTGTTTGGTCGGAGGAATCGCAGAGGACATTTGACAGAATTAAACAGCTGCTCGACCACCAACAAATGACACTAAAACTACCTGTACCTGGAAGACAGCTCACAGATGCCAGCGACTACGCCATAGGTGAAGTCGTAAGACAGGGTGAGGGAATCGTTGAGTATGCCAGTCGGGTTTCGACAAACACAGAGCGAAAGTATTCAACGATAGAGAAAGAATGTTTAACAATGGTATGGGCAGTCGACAAATGGAGACCTTATTTACTCGGCCGGCGGTTCCACATCGAAACTGATCATAAGTCGCTACAGTTTTTAAAGACGGCGAGAGACCTACGGGGGAAATTGTCACGGTGGATGTTGCGTCTACAGGATTACGACTTTACGATCTCACACGTTCCTGGAAGTGAAAATGTATTGGCAGATTTGTTATCGAGACCAGAAGATGAGTCTGAGTTGGCCGAGGTCGCTTACGGAGTCTGTCTGTCTGTTTTCGACATAGAACTATGCACAATGTGCGGAGTGCATGCAGTAGAACAAGACCCACTAAAACTTGTACGCAGGCGAAGGTTAGACGATACGTTGAATACAGTAATACGGGTGATCACCAACGGAATAGAAGTGGATCAAGCTACAGCGAGTAAGGAGCTAACCACACTACTCAGACAGACAGATCTACTAAGAGTGAATGCCTACGGGACTCTGACCTGGCGAGAGAACGACAGAAGTTGGCTGGCTGTCATACCTCAATCGTCGCGCCCCGACATGATAGAACAATGTCACCAGCTAGCACATACAGGCGTGGCCAGAACAACTGACCTCCTAAGACAAAGCATGTACTGGCCAGGTATGAGAGAACACGTAGCAAGATACGTACCTGGATGTCCACGGTGCCAGCTAATGAAAGGCGACCGGTGCATACGACCACCGCTTCAGTCGATTCCAGTTACAGCGATAGGTGACTTGTGGTCCGTAGATGTCATGGGTCCATTTCCTCAGACATCCAATGGTAATCAGTACCTCTTGGTGATGACGAAACACGCGATACAATGGGTAGATGCCGTAACGTGCAAGGACCGTGAAAGATGCAGTAGTTAGACACATCGTTGCAGACCACGGCGTACCAAAGACAATACTGACAGACCGAAGTCCCTGCTTCGAGAGTGAAGAATTTACTTTCCGTTTGCAACAGCTGGGCATCAAGAGGATCAGAACGACCCCATATCATCCACAAACGAATGGCCTAACAGCGAGGAACAACCGTACACTGAAGGAGTGGCTGGCCTCGAAGGGCGCGAACTGGGAAACTGAGCTTCCACTGATTTTACTAACACATCGGGCTACCATTCAGGAAATAACGAAGAAGTCACCCTTTCAACTGATGTATGGTAGAAAACCACGATTACCGATACACAACGAAACCTGGCACCTGCACCAAAATTGGAGTACGACGAAATTAAAAGCAGAGCGGAAAGAGGCAATCAAGAATGTAACACGGAAGCAGCGGAGTGATGTCGCGAAGTCTCAGCTGAAAGGAAAGACTCAGTGCATTACCTTTGCAGTCGGGGACCAAGTAAAATGTGGAGACAGAAGATATACAGTTGGATGCGGGCCAGGTTCACGGAAACTCCTTCCAAAGTGGGAAGGACCAAACCATCACAAAAAAACGGAGTCAAGTATATACCATCCTAAGAGGTGACAAACAGAAACGAGTTAACGCCAGTCAGCCCCAACGATGGGTACAGTGGGACAAGCCGGTCAGTAACAATCCTCAACTAGAGGATGTAGCGCCCAGAAGGTTGGAACCTCTGCGCACGAATCTATTTGGCGGGGGGACGAGTGTGGTGAGAGCAGGCCGCTAGCCAATTGGTAGACATTAATCTACGTCAATGTCTCGGCCACTAATATTGGCCCTAAGAAAATATGAACAAGGCTGATTCAACAACCAATCACAGCAGACTTAACGTGGGCAAATATGATTCGCAGATAGATGACTCCACTTTTCGATGATTACCCGAAACAACCAATCAGTAGACTGCTTTTGTCTACTTGAATAAGCTATAATTATGTAAATGAAATCTATATAAATACGTGCTGATTTTCGTAATAAAAACGATGTGCTGCCGGCCCTTGTCTTCTGTTGTTACAATATGATTTTGAGATTGCCCGTTGTCATCTATGTCTTAATGAAGGTATCGCAGAAACCATAGGTCTTAGAGAGAATATAACTACAATAATGGATGACCCTTTCCGCTCAATATAGACAATCCAATTGTCTGTATGAAAACAGAAGATGTAAGCTCCAAGAAAATAAGTTATACTTCTGTCACTCAATCACTCACTCATTCAATCGATAATGTATGTTATTTTATGGTAACATCACAGAGTATATATACAGAACAACTGCACAATCCACACACACACAGAGGTCACATTGTGCATTATTATACAGTATAAATAAGAAAATAATAATAATACAAAAGGTCGAACAAAAAATAGAGAACAGGAATTACAACTCAAGTTATGAATACATCTCATTGTCATCTTCACCATCATCACCGTCGCCGACACCATTGTCACCATTTTGCACAATTGTCTCAGACGATGGCGAAGTCAATGTCAAATAGAAATTGCACAATGCTGATTTTGATATTTTGGAATTAGATGGCTTTTTAGGTGTTTTTGTCGCCGCTGTTGTTGTTGTCTTACGCCGCTTTTTGACAACTTTGCCAACATCACAACCTGTACACACTAGACCAATTAAACAATTATCCGAAAGATTGGAATACAATTTGGTACAGAATTTGGTTACTTTACGACAGCATTTCTATATGTATGCATATGCGAGTGTGTGTGCGTATTTCAGAAGAGAATGGAGAAAAAAGAAGATACGATATGATCAACACAATTACACAACTTACAGTAAATTATTTTTAAAGCTTCGATAACGATCAGACGTCACAGTCAGGGAACTCTATTAGAAAACCAGAAAAGTGTACTGTGGGTTCGAACCCAAAACTCTCTGGTCGGTCACAAGGCAAACTCGTAGACCATTTACGCCGCCTCTGGTGTAGACGAGATGTTCGACTATCGACCAAAGGGCGGGTGTACTGCTCATCAGTCCGCTCCGTCCTCCTTCATGGCCAGTTGTGAGACCTGGCCACTGAGAGTGGAAGACATGAAAAAACTAGCTGTCTTTGATCATAGGTGCCTGCGCTCTATCTCCCGTGTAAAGTGGCAACATTGAAGTTAGGCGTAGAGTTCTAGGTAAACAAGGGAAATCAATCGACGAAGTCGTGAAGCTACAAAGACTGAGATGGTTAGGACATGTGTTATGTATGTTTAGTCATCGCCTTCCTCGACGAGCAATGTTAGCGGATGTAGGGTCAGGCTGGAAAAAAGCTAGCGGAGGTCAAATCAAAACATGGAACCAGTCAATGAAAACTACAGCGGCTAGTCTAAGCCATGTAGGAAGGTGTAGACTTCCTGACTGGTTGGGGTCCTCGGGATGATAAAAACAAATGGTTGGAAACAATTGGTGACATGGCTTAAAATCGTTCTCAGTGGCTGGCCAATGCAGATACATCCACTCCTTGTGATTTATGAATTCCAATGAAACTGTTTTGTTCTTCGTTATTACTATTCCTTTGTCTCACACCTGTGTTTACTGTCTCTATTATGCTTTTCTTGTACTTTCTTCTCTTGCTTCGTGTGCTACATGGAGGAAGTGTGGTGACTTGAACTCCCGCACATATGTGCAAAGTTCTATGTCGAAAACAGACAGACAGACCATTTAGCGCCACACTGTAACCTGATCCAATGCCCGGGTCCATGAATTCCAATTTTCGTCAATTTGCAATGTTTACAGCGCATAATCATGTCAAGTCACTACTCACTCACAACTTTTAAACTTCATTTAAATAATTCCATTTATTTTTCATCTCATCCTGATTTAATGATTGGTAGGGATATTTCCCATATTTCTCGCATGATTTATTGATAAGTCATTCCAATTGCACATGTTGGGGTTAGATTCACTCGATGAACAATGCAGGATTCAGTGATCCATCTCTTTCACTCTCTACCTTCTTATATTGTGGTGACAGCAGGTTGCTCGCAAATTGGTAGACATTAATCTACGTCAATGTTTAGGTCACTAATATTGGCCGTGAGAAAATATGAACAAGGCTGATTCAACAACCAATCACAGCAAACTTAACGTAAACAAATATGATTCGCAGATAGATGACTCCACTTTTCGATGATTACCCGGAATAACCAATCAGAAGAATGCGTTTGTCTACTTGCATAAGCTATAATAATGTACAGGAAATATATATAAATACGTGTTGATTTCCGTAATAAAAACGATGTGCTGCCGGCCCTTGTCTTCTGTTGTCACACTGCTTTATTGAGAATCCTACGTAGGGAGAATCTCAGATGTCCCCTCACCGTCTTATGTAGTAAAACTACTGTAGATGCCTTATATTCTCTCTTATTTATGTTATCATTACTAGTTTCACCATTTTTATTTTTTTATTTTGCTTTTGACCTTTTCTGATCTACCTAATGAATTTTTATAGGATAGTTAGTTATTTGATACCAACCACCAGCTATTCTTCTATTTGTTTCATTTCATCATTTAGGTCTTTCCTTGTACCACTTAGTGCTACTGCTCGGTTTGTTAGACAGACTTAACTAAGCCTACCTACCTTCACAGACAGATAGCTAACAGTTGAGATGAATTAAAGTCTAAATATCTATTAGCAGAATGCGTTGGCTTTTTTTTATTAACGTCTGTTCGTTTTATTTTACTATCTAACATCATAGCTAATTCTTTTTGTTTATTTTCCGATTCAAATGTCAATTTTATTCCTTTTACTGACGAGTTTATACATGTGTGTGAAGAAGCTAGAGAGAGAGAGATGTTCTGTTTTTAACACTGTGATTTATTTGGGTTGTACATTTTGTTTATTTCTTTACTTTCCGCCCCCACCCCAGTGGAACATAGGGCGCCTTCAAGCTAGAGCTTTGAAGTTCCGGTTGCCAGTGGTGTTTGTTTTCACGGGATGGAGTTGCTAGCCGTATGTCTAACCTCCTCTCTTTATCAGTAGTTTAAATACTGGTTTAGCTAGGGCATAATAGTGAGCCGGTAGCCGGGGATCGAACTTCCGAATCACATAGGGGTGTGGTTGACCAACACTCTACTGCTGTGATACCGAAGCACTTGCCTTACTTGATGAATCCGAATTGTTTACCATTTCTCAATAGAACTCCATCCAGGCGAAGAATTCCTGTTAAGAACCAGTCGCTAGTGGGCATCACATTAAACTCATCATCAATCTTCCAATTTACTTAATTGTTTGCTTATGTAATAATTTTGCTAATACTTACCATTGCTTTCATACTTCCACTCTCTCCTCATCTGAAACATTTTATTACATTAGATATAAATAAACTTTTTTAATTAGATTGATTATTAAACAAAGGTGTACTCATATCTCTTGTTGCATAACAATCTTCTATGAGTTGGAGTAACTTTTGTAGTAATCGATGAGATGCTCACTGGCGAACTGCCCCCTATTCAGGTATACAGTTACCTGGGGTTCTAGTGGGAAGGCGTGACCAGTAGGGAGGGTGCAATAGGTCGGGTGTGAGGATAAATACTCGCCTGCGATGACATTGGTTAGCGGTTGCGCTATATGCTTGCTTTACTTTGCTTTACTTCGGCTATCTCCTACGGGAGGATGAGCCGGCTTCATGAACGTCTCGAATCATCACTGCTCAGGCGCGGCAATTTGTAAGAGAGTTCATGAAGTTTCATGGGAATTTGGTACGAGTGATGTCCCCAGAATCGCTCGGCCTTTTGTTTGAGAGTGCAGCTCTAGCCTTTACACAACCAAGTGTGACCTACAAGGCAGTAGGAGTGGAGTAAGGAGTCCACTATCCATTGGAAGCCGGTGACCGGAGTTCGGTTCATACGCCTTTTTGAATGGGGCCAGACATCCAGAACATCCAACAAGCCCTTTGTCCATACGTCTGCCGGTGAGCTACAGTGAGCTTCATACGCCAGTCGTTGGAGGTTTGGAATCAGGGTTTAGCCATCTCCCCTAGACTGTCATCCAATGGACAGTCAACCCGGTGGAGAGCGCCGGGCATCCGCTTTTGCCCTCTCACTTTGGTGAGAAACACCTCCGCCACGTGAAGGCAGTGAGTGGGACTTCCTCAGGAGAGGCTATGTAAGACGCCCGGTCATATGGGAGCATTTCAAGAGGTGTGCGGAGGGGTGGCCAACCTGCAGCGCAAGGCACCCACCCCCGACCATCCTGAGGCTTTGGTTGCGCTATATCGTGAATTGGCAGAAGTTAGAATTCGTGGAATGTAGGCATTGGATTGGGTTCCAGTGGGTGACTTAACGGTCAATAAGCTAGCTCGCCGCCTTGTAACTAGCAAGTCCTGGGGTTCTGATGACGCGGAGTTTCAAAACTAGGATGAAACAGTTGACTGTCCAGTACTATCCAGTGATTTCCAATGATTATCTAACCAATGTGTCAGCTCATTGATGAAATCCTGAAATCAATCAATCAATCAAATCCCTACAAACCAACACTTGAATTTTATACAATCTCTGCACTTTTTTTTATACTGTCAGAGTGGCTGATGATAAGTGGAGAAATAAAGCGAAACATGAGCTCTTTTCATCCAGGCAAAACAGACCATTTGTTCAAAATTATCAAGGGAAGTGAGATAGGATGAACTACATATATACCAAGTGAATATTTTTAAAAGTTAATATGTGCACGTTTGTAACGTTAGGTGAGAGGAATGTTTATTTGCAATTTTTGGTATCTCTCATATATAATGCGAAATTATGTACACCTCGGAAACCGCCTTACGGAGAATTCTTAACAAGGCAGACAGGAATAAAAGTGGCTGTTGGCATTCAAACCACCCACCCACAAACACAATTAGAAACAAACTTTGTCGGTTAAAGGATCAATCCTATGGAGCCTTTAGAACAAAATAATTTAGTTTATCTAATACCCTACCTGCAATGATTGTCAAGTCTGATAATACATGGGTCAAATTAGTAGAACAGGGTCGGTCAGACTAGCGTAGCACCAAAACCTAGTCAAATCCCCATTAGTTGACCCTAAAAATATGAGAAATCTGGAGAATAGTTCAGCTATAGCACTCACCACATGCAGTTACACACAAAAATACGATGGGATGGGATAAGATGACATTTTTAAAATCTAATGTCACAGAGTGTAGGAAGGGAAAGATTGATGACAGCGGAACCTGTGTTTATCGAATCCACTGAGAGGGAATACGTGTAATAGGAATGATTCAACACCTGTTCACCTGGATATCTGGAAAATTCTACTACCACGCCTACGACGACAAATAGGAGAGAACAAAGAAAACTATAAAACTCAAGTTTCAAAGTCATGTGATTATAACTCATGAAATGATTATGAACAATGATGAATAATATTCGAAACTGTGTCATCCAGTATGTAATAATACTGTTTCACTCAATGTGTATGTGATACATCTAATAAACAAACTAACATGGAATTACTTACTACCAGAGTGCCTAAGTTTTACACATAGATTAATATGCACACCTGATTTATCTTCAACGAACCATTTGCACAAATCTTCCACGTTGTGCTCGCTACTTCTACCCTTCTTTTGTATTGTGTTTCTTTGTGCCCGCTTCACATTGTCGCCCATGTATCTTCACAACACTGTATCAATTTGCTTTCTTTGACATGAAGTCTGTCTCTCTGTTATTTTGGTGTTACTTTTATACTGGTGAACATTTCTTTATTTATATATATGTATACTACTAATAAATCTTATGAGTAGCACAAGGATAACATAGAGAAGATAGTGAGAGGAAATGACAGCTTGTATAGGTATGTAGGCAGTTGGCGTAGTCAGCTGGAGGAAAAAGCATAAAACTGCAGAGGAAAGACTGAAATGATAATATGCTTTGTTGAAGCCTCGTATTCCGCTGGGAGGCCAAAAGAAATGTGCATCGGTGGCACAGTGGTTAGGACTCTCGCCGACCATGCACATGGTCCGAGGTTCGATCCCCTGCCGCGACGTGCACTATCTGGTATCTATGTTCGACCTGCGAAATTTGGGCTAACGATATCCATGCTGAAAATTCCATACTTATACGAAAAACACAGTGTGGAATCAAGCTGTAGTCAAATAATAATAATAATAATCATATACAAAAAGTCAATAAGATAAATTCTTAAGTTTTTCTTGATGTGGTTGTGTTCTCCGAACTGGATAGTTAATTTGGGAAGCTTTCTTTACTGCCTTACTAGGCAACATCTTCAGCGCATACTTCAATTCGAAGTGAGTTTTTAGATTTCTTCACGAGTTTATTAATCATCTCTCCTGGTGACCTTGGACGTGATATCCACTCCCTTATATCGCCTCACTGTATACAGATAACCACGGACATCGATTCGACTGGGACAACCAGCGTTTAAATATTAGACAGAGGAAACAACAAGAATGCTAGAGAATTTTTAGAAGTCTGCCTGGTATTCCAGTGAATCATCAATCAATAGACACATCGAGATAGAGAAACTTTATCAACCGATAAGAATAAAACCTCACACACACACACACACACAAAGGGTCAAAGTTCAAGTCAAAGTAACAACCAGTTTCATTACAAGTAACCTAGAAGGTGTGAAAACACACAAAAACAATCAACCACGTTGAAGACCACCACGCAGGAGAGATGATTAATAAATTTGTGGAGAAATCTAAAAGCTCACTTCAAATTGAAGTATGCGCCGAAGATGTCGCCTAGTTGGACGATGAAAGCTTCACAAATTAACTATCCAGCCAGATCAGAGAACACAACCACATCAAAATCATCCACCTGCAGTAGATACAAATCTTCTCTATCATATCTACTATTCTTAGAAAAAAAGGCATAAACTTACAGATTCATTCCATTCAGGCGAACAATTCGCTTGTACAATGACAAGTCGTTTAGAATTACACAAATCAAGAATATAGTTTAAAAATTCTGTAGAAATTATATTCACTGTCGAAGAATTTTGAGCGGTAGTAGTAATAGGAGGAGGAGTAGTACCATTAGTAGTATTTGTGGAATTACAATTTACAGACTTTGTTAATAATGCATCATGTTTCTCCAGACTGATTACTTCATGAGTCAGTTCTTCTTGTTGTTCGCCTTCTCCACCTCCATTTGCCTTGTCTTCATCTTCGTCTTCGTCAACATCTCCATTTCTTTTCACCGTTTCATTATATACAGGCCAATATGCATATTGCATACCAGAATCGTGTAGTAGACGATTGAAAAAGTGGAACGGTAAACCAGATGATGATGGTGATGATGAATTATACAATGAGCATAATTTCAATACACGATCATGAAATACATGCGGGACTTTAACACAATGCTCTTCTGTTAGGATTTTCATATCGTCATCATCCTTCTTTGTGGATGATGACGATGATGATGACGGATCAATAGTTGGATTAAGTCGACCACGAATGTATCTTTTATTAGGACCATTATTATTACTATTATTATTATTATTATTGTCGTTGTTAGGTGGATCGACTTTTGCAGACTTGAAGAAAGAAATAAACCGACAAAAAGTGAGTTAATACATACTATAAATAAATAGAAAAAAAATCTACTTCATACTAATTCAACAATGCACATAATAATATGAATAATTTTTCCTTCACGTTCCCAGTGGAACATAGGACTCCAAGCTAGTGGCTTGAAGTTTCTGTAGCAGTGTTTAATTTTTACAGGATAGGGTTGCTAGCCTCATGCCCAACAGTTCCTCTTTACCAGGATTATTTCTGGCTCAGTGAGGTAAAGGAGTGCGCCGACCGGGGATCGAACCCCGGACCATATGCATGGTCGGCGAGCGTCCTAACCGTTATACCACCGACGCACATACAAATATTGTATTTACTATGGAACAAGAAAAATGACTTACCATCTTCAAATGACATGAATTTTGTCTAATATGCTGATTACCTGACTGTATCTTTGCCGGTCATATGTCAAAGTGACTGCATCAAAACTAAACGGCTTTTTATCAAAAATCAGCTAGTAGTGGTCCAAGGAAAACGGTCTCACCTTAAACCCCTCCAAATGCCAAACAGTTAATTTCACCGCTTTAGGCACATATCTGACCTAAAAAAACTGATTAGAACTAACGACGTGTGCAACATAGATGGCACTGAAATAGAAACCAAGTCGAGAATTAAATATCTTGGCGTCATTCTATCTGCCGATCTTTCCTGGTCGTCTCATATCTCGATGATTTCTAAGGAAATATTCCGTCTTACCTTCTACATCAAGAAGTTAAGACATTCTGGAATAACCCCACCCAACCCTTACTCCTACAATTCGTTAGCTCTCGCTTTCTGCCTATTATTCTCTATTGTTCCCCCTTAGTTTTTCCAGGGCTACTGAAGAAAGACTATACCTTATTACGTAGGATGTTAAAGGTTGTCAGCAGGGTAAGCAGTTTGCCACTTAGCCAGCTTGTTAATATTCTGGTGGACAGGCACATGGACTCATGTGAAAAATGGGCTAAATCCATTTTATCTGACTCACCCCACCCTCTTCATTCACAACTCTCCCCTTGCATCTCTTCAGGGAGAACCAGAAGCCTATATAGGAAACTATATGCCCGGACTAGTAAGTACAAAAACTCATCCATACCCTACTTAGCTCGCGTTCTGTGCGATAAAGAAAGCATTAGGCGTGAAACCTTTACCTAATTAAATAGTCAGTAGAACAACTGGATCTCGTCTTTCCAACTCATATCATTTATAGGTACAACGTTTTTATTTCTTTCTTTTCCTTTTCTCCTTTCTTTCTTTCTGTTTACGCCAGTAAATATGCTAGAACCTACTTTTCCAACACCTTCAAACACTCTGTTTAAATTTTGGCTTTGCTACCGACATGTTAATATGTTGTTGTCAAAACTAACTGAGATAACCTTAAATCTATGTAGAACTTTATTTATTGTTAATGTACTAACTGGATGCAATACTGTATGTAGTGAAATGCTGAGAATTCCATTCTGTATCACAAGTACGGTTTTGGAATAAAGCTATTATTATCTTATCTTATCTTACCTTATTGATGGAGAGTAGGGAGTAAATAAGAATCAAGCATATAGTCAATCCACAGGTTGGTTAACATGATGGTAGAAGTGGTTGAATAATTTTCTTTTGGTATGCGCGCTGCTCAGGTTTCTCTTTTGTCTGAATGACTAAAGCTGTAAAACTTCAACGAGCAGACGAAAGCTTATTTATTCCCTTTGACAGGTTTTTATTCTGAATTTTATAGATTGATTACTTTGAAGAAGGTGTCTTCTGAAATGAAATGACTGATGTTGACAGGGTGTTCGATTATCTTACAGCTTATGGAGTCACTACTGGCCTTTCTGCAGCCATTCAGGACGATGTTTTTGAAACCTTTTAGACAATATAATGCGTCAAATGACGAATACATCTGGCTACACAGCCTCAAGTGAACTGATCTATGCAAATAAAAGAAATCAGATGCAAGATCTTATCATTACGGCTTTTGCAGACCAATGGAAGGCTGAAGAACACTACTATCAACGTTTCTGCGAAGAATGCGTTTCTCAAAGATGGTGATATTTTTCTCTTAAGGATAACACAAAGGTTAAGTCTCTCTCGGAATCAAGTTTCCTGTTAAGTTAATTTTTCTTTCACACAAGAAATGTTATGTTCCTCTGAAGGTTTCGTTTAATATTCTTGTCAATAAACCTTGGTGGGTATTTATTTTAGACGAGATCTAGTTCTGCATCAAGAGCATCAGGACTACAGCGCCGTGTAGCAAATCTCGGTTTTCATTCAATAGGCACTAAACTGTAGAAACTTATTAGTTGATCATACCAAGTGGACTTTTTTGTATGAACTGATCTTCTTAAGCTTCACTTAGTTCTTCTTGTCATTAGTTCCACATCAAGATGACAAGGAATTTTGAATTTATTTTTCAATTTTAAACTTGTCTTGTTGAGTTCTAATCGATTTTTTTCCTAGTCGATATATTTACCTAATATTGAATTACAACCTAAATGGTTGGCGTCGTAACCTGAAGGTTCTGATGAAGAGTCCCAAAATAGGACGAAACAGTTGTCCAGTCCTCTATGCTTTTTTCAAACAACTTCCTAATATCGATATGTCGATGACACATTTGTAGTATGCAACGACGACTATTCAACAACGCACATACAAATATTGTATTTACTATGGAACATGAAAATGATGGAAAGTTCCATTTCCTTGATGTTGCCATGCAACGCCTACAAGATGGTAATCTCCAGACATCGAATTTACCGAAAGCCTACATGGAATGGACAATACTTACATTTTAATAGTCTTTGTCTGTATAGTGACCTGTAAACAAGCACTGGTCAAGACTCTGTACTACAGAGCGAGGAGAATATGCTCTACAGAGAAACTAGAGGAAGAATTTACGATTCTTCAAATGGTGTTGAAAAACAACGGTTATCCCCTCAAAGATTCATTAACAAATATGGAAGATGTGAAGGGGTCAAATACCAAATAAATCACAGTTGAAAAAAAAGCCTGTCTTCATTCAACTAGATTTTAAAGGTGTAAACATTGCAGAAATGGTCAACAGAAAAGACTGAGAACGTCACTAGCCAGAGCATATCCTGCAGCTAATTTGGTTCCCGTCCATCGAACAACATTCTCTTTGGCGCAGTCAAAAAGTCGATAGAGACCCTTCTCATATTAACTCCAACTGTGTATAGAAATTTACGTGTATCTGCGAGAGCCAGTTACATTGGGAGAACAGAGAGAAGGACACACCTCCGATTTTCTGAACATGTGCCGAAAAGCCTACGTCTCAAGGGAACAAACTCTTATGGTAGCGCAGTTACAAGACATCTCCTCGACACGGGTCATGAGGTAGTTGGAGATCGCAAAATCCTTTAAAATCATCAATAGAAAAAGGAGCTCGATTCTTCTCAAGTCTGCTGAAGCAATTTCTATCAAACGCTTGAAACCAGATTTATGTGTTCAGAAAGAAGCAGTTATTAGTCTTTCCTTGCCCGGTCTGGTAACTGGATGTCATTATTCTCTCATCTAATTACGTAATCTTTGTCTTCAACCTCATCCCCTTTTAAAATTTGTAATTGTGCTTGTCTCTTGTTTCTATGATTTGAGTTGAACTCAATGTATTGTCTGCATCTAACGCATAATTCGTCTTTACTACGTAACTCCTTTATCATTCATTGTATGCATACATTTATTTTTTTGTGATAGAACATGTTGACCACTTCACCTATTTGGGAAGTTGTATCACCATCTACGGACTGATTCGCAACGAAATCTCACCACGGATCCAAAAAGCTCGAGCTGCTTTCGCTGACTTACACCATCTCTGGCGTACGCGTGACATCCGGCTATCAACCAACGGCCGTGTGTACTGCTCAGCACTTCGCTCCGTCCTTCTCTATGGCTCTAAAACGTGGCCAATACGAGTTGAAGACATGAAAATGTTGACTCCTTTCGATCATAGATGTCTACGATGTCTTTCTCACGTTAGGTGGTGGTATAATAAGGTAAGTAATGTTGACGTTAGGTGTAGAGTGTTGGGCGAAGAGGGAAAATCAATCGACGAGGCTATAAAGTTACATAGACTGAGATGGCTAGGTCACGTGCTTCGCATGCCTAACTATCGCCTCCCCCGTCGACAGGCATTACTAGATGATATAGGTGCAGGTTGGAAAAGAGTAAGTGGTGGCCAAACAAAAACATGGCCTCATCAATCCATGAAATCCTTGACAGTTAAACTGAGTCAGGTGGGGAGATGCAGACTTTCGGGTTGGGGTCCTCGGGACTGACTCTAAGAATCAATGGCTGGAGACAATAGGTGACATGGCTGAAAATCGTTGTCAATGACAGCGCAGATGTATTCAGTCTCTGTAATCTTCCATATTCCTTTCTACCACTACCCATTCTGTTTCGCTCTTATACTTGTCAAACTCTATTGATTCTCTTCACTCATCTCTTGTCTACCTTTGTGTGCTATTTGGAAGGTGGCAACTCGAACTGGTGCACTTCGGTGCCAAGCTCTATGTTGAATCCAGACAGACAGACAGTTTATTCGAGTTTGGTTATATACCAGGAAGAAATTTTTTCATAAACCCTGGGGTATATGAGCTACACCTATGATGAGTGTGTGACGAAGGCTGATGACACCAAAACTACTACTATTCACTTCTCCAAGGAGTCATATTAGATGGAGTGGGATTCGAAACCTGTCACCTGACGTGGCTAAAAACCGACTACATAACCCAGTGTACTGATTATCAAAAAATGTAATTACTACACTCATTGACCATGTTCTCAACAGTAGTCGCCTAGACTCAAAGACCATTCTACTCGAACGAACACATGCAGCCATCCAATTAACTCGATACGCAGAGTTTTCATCTCAAGTGGTGTCCGTCAGTGAGGGATACTCACTGGTTTAATAACTTTTGTTTACTCTCATGATCGATGTACTAATGAGATTAACCCAAATTGATTTCAATGACTTTGCGATAAACTTGTTACACGCATGGAATAATCTTGTTGATTTAGAATATGCAGATGATAATAGTCCTCTCTCCTAAGTGAAGACACTGATGAAATAGAGCAAAGTCTTCTGAACACCTTGAGCTGAGCAGCAATCTTTGAATGTTTGACGTGTGATACGCTCCTACTGTTAAATGTAAGATGATGAGGCTACAGGACTGGACTGCACTGGACTGGACTACATCGACTACTCCTGGCTTAAGGATACACAGCAGTGAAGTGGTGCAACATGTTGACCACTTATTTCCCTAATTCGGGAAGTTGAATCAGCCGGCGGCAAAAGGGTTGTTCGCTGACGAAATCTCAGCACGCATATAGAAGATTCATTTTCCCCATATACAAGAAGGGAGACAAGTCTTCCTGTGATAATCACAGAGGGATTAGCTTGACTAATATAGTATCTAAAGTCTTAGGCTCAATAATCATGCGTAGACTGAGTGGTGCTCGGGAAGCACAAACACGAGAGAGCCAGGCAGGCTTTAGACCAGGAAGAGGGTGTATTGATCATATCTTCACCCTCCGACAGATTCTAGAACATAGGCATTCCTACCGGCGTCCAACAGTCATTATATTTCTTGACCTAAAGGCAGCATTCGACTCTGTCGATCGGGAAGTTCTCTGGAGATGCTTGGCTGTAAAGGGAATTCCAAGAAAATATATTGCACTGATTAAGGCACTCTATTCGTACTCATACAGCCAGGTGAGGGCTTACGGCGAGCTGTCATCTGAACTGATGACGACCAGTGGTGTCCGTCAAGGATGCCCATTATCTCCTTTTCTATTCAACTTCATCATAGATGTGTTAATGGACTTAACCCTAGGTGACTTCAGCGACTCAGGGATTGACTTGCTACCGGGGAATAATCTCGTTGACTTGGAATATGCAGACGATATAGTCCTTCTAGGCGAAGACGCTGAAAAAGTGCAGAGTCTTCTGAACACCTTGAGCTGAAATCTACGAATGTTTGGCATGCGATTCGCTCCCGCCGAATGCAAGATGATGTTACAGGACTGGACTACATCGACGCCTAGTTTAAAAATAGGAAGTGAAGTGGTAGAGCACGTTGACCGCTTCACTTATTTGGGAAGTACCATCAGCCCCAACGGGCTGATCTCTGACGAAATCTCAGCACGAATACAAGGGGCTCGTTTCGCATTTGTTAGTTTACGCCGACTCTGGCGTAGACGAGATGTTCGACTATCGACCAAAGGGCGGGTGTACTGCTCATCAGTCCGCTCCGTCCTCCTGTATGGTTGTGAGACCTGGCCACTGAGAGTGGAAGACATGAAAAGACTAGCTGTCTTTGATCATAGGTGCCTGCGTTCTATTTCCCGTGTAAAGTGGCATAATAAGGTGAGCAACATGGAGGTTAGGCGTAGAGTTCTAGGTAAACAGGGGAAATCAATCGACGAAGTCGTGAAGCTACAAAGACTGAGATGGTTAGGACATGTGTTACGTATGCCAAGTCATCGCCTCCCTCGACGAGCAATGTTAGCGGATATAGGGTCAGGCTGGAAAAAAGCTAGCGGCGGTCAAACAAAAACTTGGCATCAGTCAATGAAATCCACAACAGTTGGTCTAAGCCACGTAGAAAGGTGTAGACTTCCAGGCTGGGGTCCTCGGGACGGCAAAAATCTATGGTTGGAAACAATTGGCGACATGGCTCAAAATCGTTCTCAGTGGCGCAGATGCATCCACTCCCTGTGACTTATGATTTCCAATGAAACTGTTTTGTATTTCTTTATTACTCCTTTGTCTCACACCTCTGCTCACTGTTTCTATTATGCTTTTCTTGTACTTTCTTCTCTTGCTTCGCGTGCTACACGGAATGTGGCGACTTGAACTTCCGTACATTTGTGCAAAGTTCTATGTCGAAAACAGACAGACAGACAGACAGAAGATTCATTTGGCATTTGTCAGCCAACTTACGTCATCTCTGGTTTAGTAGACGTGATATGCAGCTGGATTTCGACCAAAGGACATGTGTACTGCTCAGCAGCAGCAGTTCCCTTCGTTGTGAAACATGACCATTGAATGTGGAAGATACGAAGAGGCTAGCTAGCTGCCTTTCATCATAGGTGTCTGAGTTCTATCTCTCGTATTACGTGATGGTATACTAAGGTGATCAATATTAAGGTGGTGAGGCATCGCTCGGATGAATGCTAGAAAAGGATGAGGGGAAATCAATTGACGATTCTGTGAGGCAGCCACATCGATTGACAGAGATGGTTAGGACATGTGTTAGACATGCATTCCTAGCCATCTATCGCCTTCCTCAACAAGAGGCAATGCTAACTAGCTAATATATGAATCAGGTTGGAGAAGACGTAGCAGGTAGAGGTGGTCAAACCAAAAAAATAAATAGGGGATTAAGTGAAGTTTGCTTGCATGCATTTTACTCACCTTAATAACTAAATGTGAATTATAATCCTCTGGAAAACGCCAAGATGTTGTCACATCACCGAATTCAAGACCTAAAAAGAAAAACCATAATAATAATAAAACCGAAAATGTTTGGTTAATTAGGTAAGGGTGTTGATGGCACAGCCTTATGTGCTTCGGGGTTCGATCTCCAGTAAAGAGGCGAGGTTGGACATGAGGTTAGAGCACCCCCATCCTGTAAAAATAAACACCACTGGCTACAGAAACTTCAAAGGTCTAGCTTGAAGGCGTCCTATTTTCCACTGGGAACGTGTAGAGCCCGAATAAATCACAGGGTTAAAAACAGAACATATTTTTCTCTAGCTTCTTCACACATATAAACTCGCTAGTAAAAGGAATAAAATTCATATTTCAATCGGAAAATGAACGAGGCGAATCAGCTATCATGTTAGATTGTAAAAGAAAGCGTTTATAAAAAGCCAACACTTTCTGCTTATAGATATTTAGACTTTAATTCATCTCATCCGTTATCTGTCTGTGAAGGCAGGCAGACTTAGTTAAGTGTCTAGCAAACCGAGCAGTAGCACAAGTAAAGATTTAAATGATGAAATAAAACAGACAAAAGAAGAGGCGTTGGTGTTAAATAACTAAGTATCCTATAAAATTCATTGGGAAGATCACAAAAGGTCAAAAGCAAAATAAAAATAATGGTGAAACTAGTAATGATAACATAAATAAGAGAGAACATGAGTTATCTACAGTAGTTTTACCGTATAAGGAGGGGACATCTGAGACCCTACCTACATAGGATTCTTAATAAAAAGCAGGAATTAGAGTGGCATTCAAACCTAAAAACTCACTCAGGGACAAGCTCTGTAGGTTAAAGGACTCAGTTGACCCAATTCGATTAAATAATATAGTTTACAAAACACCTTGCAATGACTGTGATTGAAGTCAGACTAGTAAATCGGGAGTAGTCAGATTGTCTGTCGGAACATAAGAAGCTAGCCGAGGCCAGAATGGTTGACCCCGAGAAGATAAGTAATTTAGAAAAAAACTCGGTGACTGCACTGCATGCATTAATGCATAACCACACAAGAGGGTGGGAGAGGGTTAAAATTCTAAGAAGTAATATAGGTAAGTGGAGAGCGAGAGAGGTTGGTTACTGAATCCTTGTTCATCAAGTGAACCTACACTCAGCACGTGCGATTGGAATGACTCATCACTGATACCGGAAATATGGAAAATACTACTACCAATCATTACATCAAGAGATGAGAGATTGTGGACTTATATAAGCGAAGTCAGAAAGTTGTGTGAGTAGTATCTTGATATGATCATTAGCAGCCATAAATTGTGCTCGAAACGTGGTCATTAGTAAATATTACTGGATAACACACTGTGAGACTTTATCAAAATAAATTTCACTCACAATGGAATTATGCTCTACCGCCACAGTGCACAAGTTCTATTGTGCTGAGAGCAGTCTTCTGTTGTTACACTATTCTTACACCGATTGTTGACCTGCATGCAATACGTGTGACAGTGATCTAGCAACTGACGAAGGCTGTGAACACATGACCAATGCATCCACAGACTGGAACGAAACGCAAACTGCTCTTCGTGGATCGTTTGTGAAACGAGACAGCAGTCAATATTTTAGAAATGGGCATGATAATCACTCGTCAGCGTCTTCGAAAAGAGTCGGTGGTAAGTTGTCTACGCCAGTCGCCTTGTAGCCTTTTAGCGTCTGGAGTTGCTTCCGAACCTCCGTTTCATTTGGTGGGTCGGTATTTAGCTGACCATGAAGGACTAGCTGGCAATATGAATGATGTTGGCACTGTTTAGCCAACTGAACTGTCACTCAAAGTTCTCTGTCCAGCATTTTAGGAGCCTCCTAAGGTTGTTAGTCGTTGTGACTTCTGCCCCCGCTAGACTATTTCACTGACACCTTGCTTTTTACTTTCAGTATCTCGAGAAAAGGTGTGGGAAAACTCCTCCGACTGTTGCCAGATCCGGCTGACCACCAAACTACACAGTCAGTTCCTATCTGATCTTACGTGTACATGCCTTGTGAATGTTGTAATACTCACTATCTGCCGGAATGGACTGATGGGTGTTCAAAAGTTGTCGGGAGCTCACAGAAACCCAATGGCTTTTAATGGAGCATTCTTCCTTTTAAACCGCAAGACGATTAACTCACCCATTTGCATAACAGCTAAATACCACTATGCAATGGAATAAGATTTTTTAATCATAGAGGAACACTAATTTCTAATATCAACTAATAATAATAACAATAAACAGTTACATGTCAAAATATCATAAATTAAGCTAATAAACCACATTACAAACCTTGACTCAATTTTAAGCGTACAAGATCCATTGTTGCTATGGCATCTTCAGCGGATGAATGCCCACCTTTACCGGTTTGAATCATTCGGCTATATTATTTAGGGTGGGTGTAAAAAGTTTAAAATGAAAAAAATATTCTATTAAACAAACACGTAGATTTCTTTGTATTTATAATAATAATTATTATTATTACTGTTATTAGAGAGAGAGAACCACCAGTTGACTGACTAAGGGATTGGTTTCAACATAGAACCACTTTGAAAAGATGTACAGCAGTTCGAGTTGCCATACTCCCACCATGTAGCATGCAAAGCAGAAGAAAGATAATAAACAGAGATGTGAGGAAAAGGAGTAGTCGGTGTGATAGAGAAGATTTGTAGCTCAGGGGAATGAATTTGATGTAGTTGTGTTCTCTGAGCTGGCTGGATACTTAATTTGCGAAGCTTACATCGCCCAACTAGGCGATATTTTCAGCGCATACACTTCAATTTGAATTGAAGGGAGCTTTTAGATTTCTCCACGAGTTTATTAATCATCTCTTCTGGAGGGTGATCTTGAACGCGATTGGTTGATTCTGTGTGTTTTCACACCCTCTAGGCGGCTACTTGTATTGGAACTGATTGTTTCTTTGACGTGAACTTTGATCCTTTGTGTGTGTGTGAGGTTTCCTTCTTATCGCTTGGTAAATTTTTTCTATCTCGATGTGTCTATTGATTGATGATTCAGTGGAATACCAGATAGCCTTCTAAAAATTCTCTAGCATTCTTGGTGTTTAGGCTAAAAGACCCGGTGGATCCAATTAAACAAAATAATATAATTTACAAAATACCCTGCAATAACTGTGAGGTCAACTACATAGGTCAAACTAGTAGGTCAGGGATAGTCAGATTATCAGAACATAAGAATTTAGCTAAGGTAAGAATGGTTGACCCTAAAAAGATAAGTAATTTAGAAAAAAGCTCAGCGATTGCACTTCATGCAATAACAAACAACCACACAATAGGGTGGGATAGGGTTAAAATTCTAAAAAGTAATATAGCTAAGTGGAGAGAGAGGTTGATTACGGAATCCTTATTTATCGAGTCCACACCCAACACATGCAACAAAAATGACTCAGTGCAAATACCAGAGATATGGAAGATATTATTACCACCAGTCAGTTAGTCAAATCAGAAGAGGATAATAAATATTCTTAAAATTTTATTTCAATTCAAACACATCACAACATCCTAACAAAAAACTTATTATGACTATTAAAACACTCGTCGTATCTTCCATCTGATTATAGTAGATCAATAACACTCGTATTAATGCCATCAGTCAAACCAGAAGATAATAAATAATCTTAAAATTCTATTTCAATTCAAACACATTCTAACAAGCAGCTTATTATGACTGTAAAAACACTCGTCCAATTTTCCCATCTAATTGCAATTGATCAACAACACTCGTACGATTATTTCTGAATGTACATTATCTCACATTGATTTTTATTCCAACATCTAATCCATTCCACACATGTATATAAATGAGAGATTAAAGTTGTGTGAGTAACTTGATATGATTATGAGCAATAGTTTGTGCTCGAAACGTCATCAGTTCATATAAATGTAAACACTGTGCGATTTATCAAAATAAAATCTTATCTATAATGGAATTATACTCTACCACAGTGCCCAAGTTTTATATTTATTTCTTGGTGTTTCCTCTGTCTAGTATTTGAACGCTGGTTGTCCCGGTCGAATCGATGACCGTGGTTGTCTGTATGCTGTGAGGCGATATGAGGGAGTGGATATCATGTCTTTTGACGGCTAGCTTATGATCGTGGATACGAAGACGAAGAGCAGGAACGTCCACTTTGACCAATGAAGTGTTTTTCACAGTTGTTACAATTTATTTTGTAGACGACTTTGGTTTTATCTTCTTTCGCTGTTGAGTCTTTTGGTTAACACAGAGCCAGCTAAGTGAAGCGACTTTATTGGTTTGTGTTCGACGTCAGTTCCTAAAGGTGTTTGAAGAGTCTTGTAGTGATTTTTGCGATATCTTTTATATGTGGTAATGCGATTTTCTTTATGCTTTCCTTGGGGGCTTTTGGTTTGATAGGTTGGCTTGGGGTATATGTCTTTTGATGAGAACCAACGTCTTTCGATTGGTTGCTTTCCTGCTCAAGGTTATTCTGTCATCTCTTTCTTGCCGTTTCTTGGACAGTCTGTTGATGTCTATCTGCTGAGCCTATCCGCCTACGCTAAGTTTGCTGTGATTGGTTGTTGAGTTCTGCAAGGTTAAGCTTTGTTCTTGTTTTTTCTCTTGACCCCGATTTTGGACGTAGAAATTGACGAAAATTGCTGTCTACATATTTTTGCTAGCTGACAGCTCTCACCACAGTATAATATGGGAGAACAATAGAATTGACAAAAAATGAATGCATCTGCATCAACCAGCTATATCACCAATTGTCTCCAACCTTCATTGGCTCTTATCACCCCGAGGACCCCAACCAACCAGCCAGTCAGGAAGTCTACACCTCCCTACGTGGCTGGGTGACTGGCTGGCCTGCTTAAACTGACTGTTGTGGATTTCATTGACTGATTAAGTCATGTTTTCGTCTGACCACCATGTCCTAGCTCTTCCCCAACCTGATCCATCCAATGTCAGGCAGCTAACACTGCGCATTGTCGAGGAAGGTAATCGGTACAGCGGCTTCACAACCTCATCGATTGATTTTCTCTCCTTACCTAACACTCGACAGATGGTCACGTAACATGGAAGACAGAATACAGACAGCCATGCTCAAAGGCAGCTAGCTAGCCGACCTTTTCCTGTCTTCCGCTTTCAATGACCACGCCTCATAGTCAGCCATAAAAGAGACCAGAGCGAACTGCTGAGAAGTGCACACAGTCCAGTAAGGCAGTCTCTCCAACTCCTTACACAACTTAAAACTAAAAATTGAAGGCTTCATAGTTCGATGCCCTATTTGTTTTCCCTCGTAAATGTAACATCACTGTCCCAATTATTTATCAAATTGCAAATTTATACAGATTGGTTAAAGCATCAAGTAGATAGATAGATATCAATAACTTCTCTCCTTTAAAGGTAAATAGCACTGACTAATGACTGGCTATTCGGTTGTAATTCATGGATAATCCCCGTTTAGGCGTTAATGAAAACAAAACACGTAGATCAGCGAAGAGTCTCTTTTGTCGACGCCGAATTCATTTTCTTAGCTGTACAATCGCAAATATATACGTGTTACTCTGTATGTATGTGTACATCAAGCTTGTCAAACAAAAATACAATTGATTATGGTTATTTTAACTAAACAGGTGAAGATCGGTAATACAAGTTAAGAAAATTAGATGTAATTGAAATTAGAGTAGTAACATCTGACCACTTCTGTGTGCATATGTCAGTTCACCTACTGCTGTGGAACCAGGTACATCGGGGTCGTTCGACGTGCACCCTGTCCAAGAGGATTCAATAACACTATCCAGCATGGTTGCGAAAAGGCAATAGTGATGGTGCAATAAGGAGTGCGATAATTGAACACCTGGTTAACACTGATCATTCCATCTCAACAAACGTCTCCGGCTTTAAAGTAATCTACAGAGTCAAGAATAACCTATCAAAGGCCATACGGTTTCGTCTTCTTTGTATCACTGAGGCTCTGTCCATTCGCATCGAGAAACCGGGCTGTACACACAAAATAGAATTACTCAGCCGCTTCTATGATAACAACTTTGTTGATTTTCGATGACTTAATTTTGTTTCTTTGCCTGTTCTTTAATTGCCTATAACTCTTGTATTCATTTAGAACTCTTGCGTAATTTCGTATTATCTACTTTGTTTCCATGTGCATCCTGAGTAAAATTCACTCATCAAACTATTCATATTATTATTGATTGCATACTAATCAGTAACTAGTGTGGAATGTGTCTAGTCCTCTCTTCACTGCAGACTGAATTCTATCAGTCAAGCTTGCAATGTGGCCACCATGCTAGGTGGCTGGCCATTACGGTGCACTGTGAATTCTTGGTATTAGATGGTTGGAGGCAATCGGCCGCAGGAAGCCTTGGACCTAGGTTTCGTGCTAGTTGGCACTCATCATATCCAATACAGTCCTACACGAGGTCAATCGCGAGCCTGAATAGCTCAGTGGTAACGTCTCTGACTGCAGGACTCACTGGGTGACTCAGGTTCGAATCACAGAAGGGACATGAGTTTCTTCAAGGTTGCCAATACGCCTTGCTGATGAGTGCCAACTAGCACGAAACTTAGGTCCAAGGCTTCGTGCCGATTGCCTTCAACCATCTAATACCAACTATTCATATTATAACATAACTTCTTTTAACAACTGATCGTGACAACTCATCACATTTGTCACTACCCTAGTTTCATTAACACCTAATTTTTTGACTGAATTTGTATTACGTAACTTCAATTACCAATCTTCACCTGTTTAGTTAAAATAACCATAATTAATTGTGATTTTGTTTGACAAACTTAATGTACACATACATACAAAATAACACATATATGTATTTGCGATTGTACAGCTAAGAAAATGAATTCGCCGTCGACAAAAGAGTCTGTCTGTCTGGATTCAACATAGAACTTGGCACCGAAGTGCACCAGTTTGAGTTGCCACCTTCCAAATAGCACACAAAGGTAGACAAGAAGATGAGTGAAGAGATTCAATAGAGTTTGACAAGTGTAAGAGTGAAACAGAATCGGTAATGGTAGAAAGGAATATGAAAGATTACAGAGACTGAATACATTGACAACGCCATTGACAACGATTTTGAGCCATGTCACCTATTGTCTCCAGCCATTGATTCCTAGAGTCAGTCCCGAGGGCCCCAACCCGGGAGTCTGCATCTCCCTACCTGACTGACTCAGTTTAACTGTCAAGGATTTCATGGATTGATGAGGCCATGTTTTTGTTTGGCCACCACTGGCTCTTTTCCAGCCTGCACCACCTATATCAGCTAGCAATGCCCGTCGGGGGAGGCGGTGGTTAGGCATGCGCAGCACGTCACCTAGCCATCTTAGTCTATGTAACTTTATAGCCTCGTCGATTGATTTCCCCTCTTTCTCTGCCCAACACTCTACGCCTAACGTCAACATTACTTACCTTGTGAAACCACCTAACGTGAGACAGAGATCGACAAAAGAGACTCTTCGCTGATCTACGTGTTTTGTTTTCATATTCGGTTGTAAACTAAAAGCAGCATTACAAGTAAATAATCCAATGGAAATTCTACCTATCATATCAAATCGTATTTCAAGCATAGGCAAGCATATTAGAAAATAAATAAATAAATACATAAATTAATAAATAACATAAATAAATTAATTAATTAAATAAATAAATAAACGGAAATCAATTCATCACATACCCAAGAAAATGTTCAGTAAGAAAGCGAAGACGTGCTTTACCGGCTCGACTGCCTTTCACATTATACACAACGCTAGTATCAATCAGGTATGGGTGAAAGATCTGTAAAAAATTGAATAAAGGGTAAGAAGAGAGGTGCGTAAAATAATACTTAGCCAAGGTGAATAGTACTCATTAGAGAAGTGAAAGAACTGATAATGAATGACCTTTAACTCTATTGGTGAAGACATTTCGACAATAAAATGGTGTTATTTCATCACGAGATGAAATTAGTTAGAAAATCAGGGAGTGTTAGACAGGATAGTTGTTTCGTCCCAGTTATGAGCTCTTCACCACTGATCAGTACACATTCATCAGCTTGAAACCAATCTGGAAATCTTCGTCACTCAGCCAGCATCAACAACAAAATTCGGTCGGATTTTCTATACAAAGGACGTCAAGTCAGTCAGTTCTTCTGTACGGATCAGAAACTTGGCGGGCGGGTCACAAAGAATATTTCCAACAGCCTGTTACAGACCTTTATCAACAACAACTGTCTTCGCTGGCTCTATACTGAAGATCAAATGGCCGGGAGGAAAGAATCATCAGCAACAAGAAACTATGGGAACAAACAAACAAAACAAGAACCAGTCGTCCAACAACAAGAAATATGCAGGAGAAAGTGGAGATGGATTGGACACTCACTCGCTGAGGAGGCCGCTGGGTGACATCGCGCGCGCGTCAGGCCGTTCCTCGAGTGGAACCAGGCTGAAAGGGAAGCACGCGGCGAGTGGGACGTCAGTGCAAGGGTGACATGGAGGAGATCGTGTAAAGAGGAGTTGAAAGGGTATGGACTATCATGGATGCAGGTGAAAAGTACAGGAGAAGGAAGACAGAAGTGGCAAGTGGAGACGTGCAATTGAAGCCCTATGTTCCACTAGGAACCCAAGGGAACAATAATAATAATCATCCACTGGGGTTCTCTAAACCCAGGACCGTCCGGTTACAAGGTGAACTCGTAGACTCTTCGACTAATGGGACTAACTCCAAAGGCTCATGAACCAGAACTCTTGTCAATTTACGATATATACAGCTTAACCACCAGCTGATATCATCAAAGAGTAAATTTTCTCCTTCTGACTTTGAATACTCCGATGGTTATGCTTTATCACTAGAAATCCAGGTAACTTCCTATACAGTGCCAGTCGCTACTGAGCGTTAGATCAATTTTCAAGTGATTGGTTTCACGGATTTGAAACAGTCGCATCCAGTACTCTCTGGTTTTCAAATTCTTCTCTAACTGATACCAGCTCGTGTTCATACTTAGAAACAATCAAAGCCCTGGAAAACTAATACTTGAAAATAGTGTGATTCGGTTGACAACGCTTTGGCATTTTGAACGACGGGTGCGGCTGGTATTCGAGTGTCAGTAGGAGACATAAATTAATGTTCACTCACTCACTCACTGGAGTTAAAGGCACTCTCACATGACGAGTTTCAAACGGGACGAAACACACGGCCTGAATTGCACGGCTGGACCTCAACGACCATAGCATATAAAAAGTAGCATCTTCTTATGAATGGCTGGAGAGCATTGACTCACTCACAGGTAGTAATGATTGGCAGTCAAATTGATGCATTCCGTTGGGTTGGGGGTGGGGGGGAGCACATCAGCAATGTACTTGGAATTATGAACAGCTAGCTACTCTTAGGAGGACTGGTTGATTACCATTCTATGCTCCGTTTAATGATGATGCGTACCTCTGCAATTTGATCCGCATATGACTTACCTTTCGCGAATCCACCTTGTTAAAGGCATAGTTCTGTAACCAGAGCATCATTTATGCTCTCCAAGATGATATGAATTAATATTCTGCTTGCAGTGGAGTTTTGGGGAGTGAGAAGTTAGGAATACACTGCATTGACCGCTGAGAAGATTCTAGAAGATCTGGAATTCGCATGTGTGGATGTCTAATGTCACATACACACAAAATCGAAGATTTTCAGGTGAAAACCAATAAAAACTGGCTGAAGAGGCTAGCAGCGAAGACAGGACTCCAAGTGAACAAAGAGAAGACGGACGGAGGTGATAAAGATAACCAACCAACAAAACAAACAACAGCAACAGCCAACACCAATCACCATCAACGGGAGAGATTTGACAGAGGTTACTTCTTGACTTCACTTATCCACCCAGGAATCACAGGCAGTAGGACAGCATGGATGAAAATGTGAAAGTCAGTCAGAATCGGAAAAGCGGGATACGAATTCGTCAACAGGAAACCAGCTTGGAAATCTTCTGCACTGACTCACTCAGTATAAAACAACAAGATTCGGATTCTGTTCAACACACATGTGAAGTCAGTCAGTCAGTTTGTCTATACGGGTCAGAAAGTGGGCTAGCGCATCACGACGGGGACTCCCAACAAGTTACAGACTTCTGTCAACAGTTACCCACTTTGTTGTTATCATTACTATTTCCTTTAATTCCTAGAGGAACATAGGGCTTCGGACGCGCGTCTCCATTGCCTCCGGTTTTCTGCCAACTTTTTCACCCCGCCCCAAGTCTGCCCACATGCTTTCATCACCTTTTCACATGACCTCCTCCAAGTCACCCTTGAACTCACAACCAACTCGCCGCTTTCCATTCTGTCGGGTTTCACTCGAGCGATGGCTTGTCTAGTAATGTCACTTGATGGTTTGTTTTCTTAGCGTATGGCCAATCCATCTCCATTTCTTCCTGCTTATTTGTTTCATAATCGGTTCCCCATTGGTTTGCTCCCAGAGATCCCTGTTGCTGATCTTTACTGACCGGCCATCTGATCTTGAGCGAAGTATTGAGTGAAGAAAGCTGTTGATGATGGTCTGAAGTTTGTTTGAGGGGCTCTTTATGACGCGTTGGCCAAGTCTCTGATCCGTATAGTGAGTAGCACTGACTGACTTCACATTGGAGTTGAAAATCCGGATGTTATTTTTGGTGGTGAGTGAGGCTGTTGACCTCCACACAGACTTGAGAGTAATGGAAGCTTGTCTTGCTTTTCCGATCTTCGCTGGTTTGATATCCTCGTCAGTTCCGTCGGCCTGTAGTTGAAACAATGTTTCCCAGGTGAGGTAGGAAGTTAGGTGAAGGGGATTGTTTCTTACAGGTTTCTCCTATTTATGCTGACTGTTGTTTGTTCTTGTTGCTGTGACTGTTGGACAGGAATCTTCATCACCACATCTGTTTTCTCTATGTTCACCTGAATTCTTTCCAATTTTTGATGCTTCTTTTGCCAGTTTGTTGCTTTTTCACCATTTGCATATCTTCCAGCTGATGGGAAATCAGACATATATCACATTGGCGAAGCCCAGCTCCTCCAAGCTGCTTTTGTGTGAGTCCATTTTATGCCTGGTTCCTCATTGCCCATTGTCTGTCGTATTATCCAATCTACTGCAATCAGGAAGATCACTGGAGATAGTAGACAGCGTTGCCTCACTCCCGTCCTAACTTCGAAGGCTTCCGTAAGTTTCCCGTTGTGGATTACTTGGCATGCAGCATTGTCGTATAAATAACGGTTGGATGAGATGTATAATTGTCGGTGGCACCCTGTAGTAGCGAAGTAGTTGCCAAATCACCTCTCGATTGACGCTGTCGAACGCCTTTTCAAAGTCGATGCAGTTGAGTTAGAGAGGTGACTGCCATTCCAAGCTTTGTTCAATGATGATTCGTAGTGTGGCGATTTGCTCAATACATGACTTGTTTCTCTTGAATCCAGCTTGTTCCGGTCGACGTTTTTCGTCCTGAGTGGCTTGTTTCATACTCTCCAGGATGATGCAGCTTAGTATTTTGCTTGGGATGGACAGGAGCATAATTCTGCGTCAGTCTTTGCATTGACTTAAGTCTTCTTTCTTTGGTAGTTTGAATAAGTATCGTTTCTTCCAATCCTCCGGGTACTTTGCCCCACTTCTCGTTGGCTGGCTGCATACTCAAGATCAAATGAGTATACATGAGTGTATAAATGAAGCAAAAACGTTGTGTAAGTGACTTGAAATGATTATGAGTGGAGACAATTTGTGCTCGAAACGTAGTCATTAGTTAATATTACTGTACAACACTGTAATTTATCCAAATAAAATCTCATCAATAATGGAGTTCTACACCTCGGTACTGATTAGTCGGAAACGAAACCTGATCCGGTCGCCTGCGACTCTCATTCGGTACATATATACTCCTGATACTGTGGAGGAAGAGTTAAATCTTTTGAGAAAAATCCTAATAGATTTCCCCCATAATTTTAAGACAAGAATATACAGTCAAATCCAAGGAAATATAGTACATGAGCTTGGAATTCAAAGGGGACTTAGCTTCCAATATCATTAAAAGAAGGATCTCACAATGGCTGAAAAGAACATTCCCTGCTGCACCGTTGAGAACGTTGTTTTCTAGTCCACCATTACTGTTCAATAACCTGAAGGATAAGATCACGAAGTTGACCAATTCTATGTGAGTTTATCAATTCACCTCCTCATGTTGAGCCAGGTACATCGGTTGTCTGACTCGAGTTTTGTCCAAGAGGATGCAAGAACACTATCCAGCATGGTGGTTACGAAGAGCTGGAAGTGAAACAATAAGAAGCGCGACCATTGAACATCTGGTCGATAATGATCACCCTATATCTCTACAGCTTCCGCCTTTAAAGTCACCTACAAAGTGAAAAGTAATTTTCCCAAATCACTACGTACCCAACTCATCTGTATTGCTGAAGCCTTGGTTACCGAAACAGGAAAGCTAGATCTTTGTACACAGAAAAAGTTCCTTCAACCCCTACAACTTTCATGTTGTTAATCCTTCTTTGCTAAAGTATGGTAATCCCTAATCATATTTTGTCTTTACTAATTTTTTTTTCATTTTGTATACGCTTCCTTATTAAGTCAATTGTTACTATTACTATTCTCACCTTGGACTGTGCCCGGTACTATTTCACTTGTCCCACTCGTCACTCTAAATCAATTCTTTTTTACAATGATAAATTCTATGCTATTAAATTTGACACAATATTACGCAACGTTTTTATTTTATTCGATTAGTTTGCTAATCGTATAATTGCACACCCCTTTTTCAAGTTCTATCCCTCCTATGAATTGTTTCATATATGACATTAATTTGCTTTGCCACTTGACATTTAACTATGAATATAATCACAAACATTTTAGTTTTAATTGAACTTCATATGATTATTATAATTTTATGTAATCACACCTATGATTCAATTTCCTCATCGGATATAACTTCTTAAAAACCATTTATATACGATTTTATAGCTTGATGATAAATTCGTTTTCAAGTATTGGTTTTGTAAGAATACTGTGTTTGATTGCATGGAGGATTTCACCATGAGCTGACATCAGTTAGAGAACCACTAGAAAACCTGCAGAGAGTACTGCACAGCTGTTTCGTCCTAGTTTGGGACTCTTCATCAGTACGCACACGCACACCTCCAGGGTTCGAACCCAGGACCTTCTGGTTAGAAGGCCAGAGAGCTCGTAGACCGTTGAGCCACTGGGCCCCGATCCAATGACCAGTGCATGAATTCTAACTTCTGGCAATTCACAACATAGCACGACCATTTCGCAATATCTTCTTTGATGAGTGAGTTACTGCCTCATCTTTAACCTGATGTGCTCTCCTACTAGTCAAGGCTTCCCACTAGAACCCCAGGTTAACTGCGTGAATAGGGCCAGTCACTATTGAGCATCAGATTAATTTTCAAGTAATGATTGGTTTTGTAAGGATTATTTTTGTTTGATTGTATGGAGGATTTCATCATGAGCTGACATCAGTTAGAGAAGAGAGAATCGCTTTGCTGAATCATCACTTAATTTGATATTCTATATTATTGAAGGTTCTAGAACCTTCAGCTTCAAGTCACAAATTATTCAAAGGATGCAACTGCGGCGAAACGATAACAACAGCAACAAAGTCAATGACTTCATAGGTTACATTGTGTACATGTATTTCGCATGTATTCAGATGCTTATCTACTAAGCATCTGAATACATGCGAAAAATGGTCTAAAACCATACTCTCCGACCTCCAACACCCCGTCTATTTCCAACTCTCTCCTTGTTGTATCTCATCAGGTAGAACCAGAAATCAGTACAAAATAATATATGCTCGTATAACCAAGTATAGGAACTCAACGATACCATATTTGGCCAGCCCGTGTTCTAAGTGAGACAGAGACAAGACAATGTTAAGCGCGGAACCTATGACTTGCTTTGTTGTTGTTAATAATATAATTTTGGCCCTTGTTATTTCCCCCTTATACTCTCTTATTTCTACTCTATAGTGAACAACCTTCTTAAACATACTTTCCTACTTAAAATTATTACCATTGGCTTACTTTTTTATTCTTTATTCTATTCCTTCTTTTGTATATCTACTGGGTCCGACTATATTAGCACTATGAGTATCACAAACTTGTCCTGTCATTAACCATCATGTAATATTAGTTTTGTGGTTGTTTTTTTTGTTCGGCAATATTAAACTGACAATCTTGGTTGTGAATGCCATTATTACCATCTTTAAAGAATCTTATATTATGCAGGATTATACACACTACCACAACAAAGACTGCATTAGTGCTGACAATAAAAATAAAAACCCTGAAATGTTTATTTTATGATTGTTTAGTGTAGTTCAATCAAATTAACTGATCATCTTGGCTATAAACATTCTTAAATATCATTTCATAACTTCATGTATGATTATAGCTGTTACTGTTCACCACGCATACATATATCATAGCTTCCACTACCCAAATACTGAAATATTTTTCATTATTGGTGTTTGTCTTCCTTTCTACTTGGCATTTTTATTTGCATTTTTTTGTTATTTTTATGTTTCTTTTTGTTTTTTGTTGTTTTTTTTTTATATTTATTTTTTTTTGTAATACTCCTTTTAAATGTTTGATAAAATTAGATGCAATATTGTAGATAAGTGCTGAAAATTCCACATTGTATCACCAGTGCTGTTTCTGGAATAAAGCAAATTATTATTATTAGAAATAATCTGATTGGACAATTTATTTCCCTTTCGGCCAATTGCCATCCAATCAGAACAATTCATTTATTCTTCTCTGACCTTGCTAAGAATGTATAAATAAGATGCACGTTTGATTAATAAAGACCCGGTGGTTATCCAGTCTCTAATCTTCTCTACTATTGTTACAGAATTAATTATGTATAAAAATGGGTTGTATAAGCAAGTATGTATAAGACAGTAGTACTTACTTTCATCGCTTCTAAATCATTTCCAATAGAATGACCAACTAGAATAGCATCACCAGGTAGAACTTCATCTAATTCGCGTTGTACATCTGCCAGTGTTGTGTCAATCGCTGCAAGCATATCTCTGGTAATACCACTAAATCTATATATATATGATTATAATGAATATGAGAAGAGAAGAACGAACGGTTATTTGTTATGTATGTGAATGTGTATTTATAATCACCAAAAACAATATCTGACTGACTAAATGGTTTCAACATAGAGCTACTTTGCACAGATGTGCGCGCATCAGTTCTAGTTGCCACAATCCCTCCATGTAGTACACAAAGCAAGCGAAGAGAGCAAAGAGAGAGAGAGATAATACACAGAAGTGTGAGGCAAAAGGAATAGTAATATAGAAGGACAATCGTTTATTGGATATGACAAATTACAAAGAGTGAATCAATCTGCACCAGTCAGCCATTGAGGACGATTAATTCGAGCCAACCGCATCAACAATTGTCTCCAACCTCTGTCATTGGTTCTTACCATCCGGAGGAGCCAAACTAATCTGTCTGTCTGTCTGTTTTCGACATAGAACTTTGCACAAATGTGCGGAAGTTCAAGTCGCCACATTCCGTGTAGCACGCGAAGCAAGAGAAGAAAGTACAAGAAAAGCAAATAGAAACAGTGAGCAGAGGTGTGAGACAAAGGAGTAATAAAGAAATACAAAACAGTTTCATTGGAGATCATAAGTCACAGGGAGTGGATGCATCTGCGCCACTGAGAACGATTTTGAGCCATGTCACCAATTGTTTCCAACCATAGATTTTTGCCGTCCCGAGGACCCCAGCCTGGAAGTCTACACCTTCCTACGTGGCTAAGACCAACTGTTGTGGATTTCATTGACTGATGCCAAGTTTTTGTTTGACCGCCGCTAGCTTTTTTCCAGCCTGACCCTATATCCGCTAACATTGCTCGTCGAGGGAGGCGATGGCTTGGCATACGTAACACATGTCCTAACCATCTCAGTCGATGTAGCTTCACGACTTCGTCGATTGATTTCCTCTGTTTACCTAGGACTCTACGCCTAACCTCCATGTTGCTCACCTTATTATGCCACTTTACACGGGATATAGAACGCAGGCACCTATGATCAAAGACAGCTAGTCTTTTCATGTCTTCCACTCTGAGTGGCCAGGTCTCACAACCATAAAGGAGGACGGAGCGGACTGATGAGCAGTACACCCGTCCTTTGGTCGATAGTCGAACATCTCGTCTACGCCAGAGTCGGCGTAAACTAACAAATGCGAAACGAGCCCCTTGTATTCGTGCTGAGATTTCGTCAGAGATCAGCCCGTTGGGGCTGATGGTACTTCCCAAATAAGTGAAGCGGTCAACGTGCTCTACCACTTCACTTCCTATTTCTAAACTAGGAGCCAGTGTAGTCCAGTCCTGTAACATCATCTTGCATTTGGCGGGAGCGAATCGCATGCCAAACATTCGTAGATTGCTGTTCAAGGTGTTTAGAAGACTCTGCATTTCGTCAGCGTCTTCGCCTAGAAGGACTATATCGTCTGCATATTCCAAGTCAACGAGATTATTCCCAGGTAGCAAGTCAATCCCTGAATCGCTGAAGTCACCTAGGGTTAAGTCCATTAACACATCTATGATGAAGTTGAATAGAAAAGGAGATAATGGGCATCCTTGACGGACACCACTGGTCGTCACCAGTTCAGATGACAGCTCGCCGTAAGCCCTCACCTGGCTGTATGAGTACGAATAGAGTGCCTTAATCAGTGCAATATATTTTCTCGGAATTCCCAGCCAAACTAACCAGCTGGTCAGGAAGTTTACACTTCCCTGTGTGACTGGCTTTAACTAACTGCTATGGATTTCATTGACTGATGAAACCATATTTTGGTTTGCCCAATATCTGCTAGCTCTTCTCCTACTTGGTCCACCATCCATTCTATGTCAGCGGCTAACACGTTTCTCATTGTCAAGGAAGGCGACGGATGTCTAGGAGGGCATGGCGTAACACATATCCTAACCATCTGCCTCAATCAGTGCAGCTTCTTTACAACGTCGTCGATTGATTTCCCTCCCTCTCCTCCTTACCTAGCACTCACTCGACAGATGTCTAACTTCAGCATTTCTCACCCTATTATACTTACTACCTAACACGGGAGATAGAACACAGACAGTTATGATCAAAGGAAGCTGGCTAGCCGGCCTTTTCATGTCTTCCATTTTTAGTGGCCATCTTCCACTTACAGTGAGATAAAGGAGGACACAGAGGACTGCTGAGCAGTACACACCTCCTTTGATTCAAAACAATATTGAATACTGAATTTGTGGTGAAAGACACAGTTGAACACGGCAAAGTATTTACACATTATTTAAAGGACTACATCATCAGGTAGAATCCTTCAAACTATACAACCTTTTAACAAACATGAGAGGAAGTGTGTCTGTATAATGACGTATGAATTATTTCTGATGGTCAAAGGTTAGTAATACCCCACTAATTGACGTTAGCAGCAACAACAACCACAGTAACCACGGCAGATGACGATGAATTTAAATCCTTAACACGCATGTTGTTAATGATTTTATATCTTAAAATAATCCCATCTTTAATATTAGAACAATATTGTTTTCAATTAGATCTTCTTCAGGCTTTCCTCTAATTTACATAGACTTATATACATAAAATTTTAACCAATGACGGTGATTTTGTGCATCAAATAATAATAATATTAATAATAATAATGTGGTAAATGTTTTGAACAAAGTTAATAACTATGATTATAATGATAACAAAATATTGATAATAAGGTTTATTTTTCTATAGTTTGGTTTGTAAGGATTAGTTATGTTTTACCAGTTGATCACGCATTGATATCAGTTAGAGAACCATTGAAAACCAGAGAGTACTGGACAGCTGCTGTTTCATCCCACTAGTTTGGGAATCATCGGCAGTACGCACCCACTGGGATTCGAACCCAGGACCTTCCGGTTACAAGGCAAGCTAGCTCGTAGATCATTCAGCCACTGGAACCCGATTCAATGACCAGTACTTGAATTCTAACTTCTACCGATTCGTGATTTAGCGCGACCCCAATGGTTCAATGGTTCTCTAACTGATATCAATCCGTGATCAACTCGTAAAATAAGGTTTATGCATGTGGAGATAAGAAGAATAACTCAGTTAGTGATATGTGTATATACATACAATTCAATAGATAAATAAATTATGTCAAATCTGAAAAGTTACGTAATATTAAAGGTGAAGTGGACAGATAATCAGAATTTATATAATAAATATCATAAAAATACGAAGGACATGGAAAATAAGAAAGGGTGGGGGGAAGGGTTTTGAATAGAATTCACCTAGGCCAGGCAAGGGAGAGACAAAGGTAGAACAAACTTCTTTTGTTGTATGCAAAGACTAGGATTGTTCTCTCGAAATAATTCCAACAGCTTCGGCTATGTATAAAAGACGGATTCGAATTCCGTTCGAAAGACTCAATGGAATGCGATAGATAACTTTGAAGGCACTATTTTTGTCCATTTGGTGACTGCTATCATCAATCAAATGAGCCAAAAAAGAACTTCGCATAGATTTTATTTGACCTTTTCCGAACCATGAGGGAAGAGGCTCATTAATGCGATTGTTAAGCTGTCTAGTTGTTCGCCTCATTTAGCTCTCTCCACAGGAACAACTATATTTATAGATACACATGGAAGTGGCACAGCTAGGTAGCTTATTTTTCACTTGAACAATCAAAATTGGTCGGCTGAAAATCGACAAACATAGGGTGACGGCAGTATAAGTCCGTTTTATCGCTCTCGATAATCTTAGATGTAAGACTTCGCTATCCACGTCCCCATTAAATTGCAGTTTCATGAACAGTTGTTTCTTTTTAACTGTTGTCAGTTTTTCTTTATTGTAACTGGTGTTCATGTGTCTCCTTACAAATCTACTAGGATAACCCATTTGGACCAGCGTATTTTGGATATATCCTAGCTCATTTTCTAGGGAGTCATCTGTACAGATCCGTCTTGCTCTATTCGTGAGGCATCTGACCAAACTGATTTTGTACCGCATTTGTACAAAACTGAGGAAATGTGTATTGTATTGTCCTACAGATGTAGATTTTCTATAAACATCTCTCTTGAGTGAACCATCCTCTCTACTGCTCAATTGGAGGTCGACGAAATGTAGTCTACCATCAAGTTTTTCTTCACAAGTGAAGATGAGCGATGGATGTGCATCATTAAATTGTATTAACACTTCATTCATGTCAGCTTTCATATCAAGAATAATAAACGTATCATCAACATATACACATATATACATATATTGCCTTTGTTATTCTTACCCACTGCATAAACTTTATTATCAATATATTTTTATCATTGTACTCATCATTATTAACTAGGTTCAAAACATTTACCACATTATTATTATTATTATTTGATCCACAAGTCACCGTCATTGGTTTAAAAATTTTTATATATAAGTCTATGTAAATTGGAGTTAATGATTTTGCCTTGCCAACATGAAGATGTGACTTGTTGGCTTCTCCTAGTCGGAGATCTTTTTTTCTTCACCATGGGGAGATTGACTGAAAATGTGCGCATCATGCCGTTTAAATTGAGTAAAATGGGGAAATATTTCACGGTATAACATGGGTGATGTGGGAAAAACTGGGTAGTCTTTTCAAAAGGTGGTAAAAGTGGATATTTCACGTTGAATTACATCTACATTTTGTCAACGTCTCAACCGATAAAAATTGCCAGTCCCCTCCCCCGCCACATACAAACACATACACACTTTACCCATTTGCATTTTCCGGCTGGGTTAAACACTCAATTTTAAACCCATAGGTTACAGGTTCGAGTCCCACTTCATTTATTTCAACCTGCGTAATCCTCAGGCGATAAATGTAGCTCTTAGCCGCTAGCTAAGGTGTACAAGAAACATTTGTTGTGCATAATCAACGATGTTGATATGCATTTAGAATTTAGTTTAGCATTATTAATAATGACGAAATAGTGGAATACAAAAGAGGTAGAACAGCAGCAAACATTAGCGTGAAAAAACACAAATCAACTAATTTGTATGAGATAAGCTTAGAGAGAGAGAGCTATTCAAACTTGTTTTTTTGGTCTGACCTTTCAAAACCGGAAGATATGAAGCTACGATACTGATTTCGATTTCATTTTGTGTATGATAATTCCATTAAACGTTTAGGTAGAATGATCTTTTATACATGTCATAAACAGCTTACAGCATCTAGTCTTCTCCGAAGAGTATGCAAGATACTAAGACAAGTTATAGAAAGAAACCTATGCCCTGCTTTCCATGAATTTAATGCCATCAATGTCTGTCTGTTTTCGATATGGAACTTTGCACAAATAAGCCGTAGTTGAAGTCGCCACACTCCTTGTAGCACACAAAGCAAGAGGAGAAAGTAGAAGAAATGCATTACAGAGAGGGACAGTAAACAGAGATATGAGGCGAAAAGAAAAGTAGTAAAGAAGAAACAAAACAGTTTCATCGGAAATCATAAGTCACAAGGAGTGGATACATCTGCACCATTGAGAACGATTTTGAGCCATGTCTCCAATTGTTTCCAACCACTGCTTTTTTCCGTCTCGGGGACCCCACCCAGGAAGTCTACATCTTCCTACGTGACTGGTTTAAACTAACTGTTATGGATTTCATTGACTGATGAAACCATGTTTTGGTTTGACCACCACTGGCTCTTTTCCAACCTGACCTTATATCAGCTAACACTGCCCCCATTGTCGAGGAAGGCGATGACTAGGCATACGTAATACATGTCTTAACCGCCTTAATCGATGTAACTTCACAACCTCGTCGACTGATTTCCCCTCCCACCTACCTAGCACTCCACCGACGCCTACCCTCAATATTGCTCACCTTATTATACCACTTCACACGGGAGATAGAGCGCAGACACCTATGATCAAAGACAGCTAGCTAGTCTTTTCATGTCTTCCACTCTCAATAGCCAGGTCTCACAACCATCCATTAAGGAAGACGGAGCGGACTGATGAGCAGTACACCCACGCTTTGGTCGACAGCCAGCCGGATATCACGTCTACGCCAGAGACGGCGTAAACTGTCATATGAGAAACTAGCCCCTCTGTATCCGTGTTGAGACTTCGTCAGCGATCAACCCGTTGGCACTGGTTGATGGTACTTCCCAAATAAGTGAAGCGGTCAACGTGCTCTACCACTTCACTTCCTATTTCTAAACTAGGAGTCAGTGTAGCAACATCATCTTACATTTGGCGGCAGTCCGCACCCACTAGGATGAAATAGTTGCCCAGTACTCCTTGGTTGGTTTTCAATGCTTCTCTAACTGATATCAATCCGTGATCAACTCATAAAAACAAAACATAACTAACCCTTACAAACTAAACTATAGGAAATTAATCTGATGCTCGTTAGTGATTCGCTACAGGATGGAGTTTCCTGGAGTCAGTTCTAGTGAGAAGTCATCGTGACCAGTGAGATCCATCCAGATGTCACGTGTGAGCATGGATGTCCCACCGATGACATTGGTTGGTGCCGGTCGCTCTAAATGCATCACGAATTGATAGAAGTTAGAATTCATGGAATGGCCATTGAGGGGTCGGGTCCCAGTGGCTGAATGGTATACGAGATGTTTTTGTGTTTCAAGAATAATAATAATAGTAGTAATAATAATAATTGTAAGTACCTAGTTAAATAATCTTCAACAGGATTTGGTGGTTTCACTAGACGATCGAATACAACTTTGCCAAATTCATCGACTAATGTTACACGAGCCAATTCACTTCCATCTGATGTGAGTACCATTTCACAGTCGACAGCAAACATTGGACTTTTTGATGATACCGGCAGGTAGACAGACTGAAAGCACGACGGAGGGAGAGAGAGAGAAAGAGAAACAAATACAAGGATTAATTTTAATGCACATGGAAAAATGCAACAAAAAACTTTATGTATTACCAACAAAAAGTAAACTAAGGCGGTCTTAGTGAAATAAATACATTTGTAATAAATAGTGTTCCCTGAGGAGCTGGTTGGTTTAGTTGTGGTGGAGCTTTCGTCGTCCACCTTCTGGACAACATCCCCTTTCTGTGCAATATTTAGCATAAAGTGAAATGATTCAGATTTTTCCATGAGTGATAGAATTACGTCTTCCGGTAACCATCTTTACATATATTATTATTATTATATCCTTTAATTCCCAAAGGAGGAGCATAGGGCTACAGCTGCGCGTCTCCATTACCTTCGGTTTCCTGCCAACTTTTTCACCCCGCTTCAAGTCTGCCCACATGCTTTCATCTCCACTTCACATGAACTCCTCCAAACCACCCTTGAATTCACAACCAACTCACCGCTTCCCTTTCTGTCGGGTTCCACTCGAACGATGGCTTGTCTAGTGATATCACTTGATGATTTCCTCAGAGTATGGCTAACATACCTCCATTTCTTCCTGCCTATTTGTTTCACAATCGGTTCCTGCTGAGTTGGTTTTCTCATTGCTAGAGATACCTGTTGCTGATCTTTTCTGGCCGGCCATCTGATCTTGAGTGGTATTGAGTGAAGACAACTGTTAATGAAGGTCCGTAGTTTGTTTGAGGTGCTCTTTATGACGCACTGGCCAAGTCTCTGATCCGTATAGTGAGTAGCACTGACTGACTTCATATTGGAGTTGAAAATCCGGATCTTATTTTTGATGGTGAGTGCTGTTGACCTTCACGCAGACTTAAGAGTAATCAAAGCTTGTCTTGCTTTTCCTATTCCTTACATATGTATCGACCATTTTCTATGGACTTGGATTTTAAACTTTCTCCTCGCGTGTGATTTACTTTTTATTGGTTGGTATATTTGGTCTATATTAGCATGTTTGTAAGTTGCATTTTCGTTTGAGTACCAGGCATCTAGGAATTCACATCTGGCACTTTTGGTGTTTCCTCAGTTTAAGATTTCGACATTATCCCAATCAAACTGATGTCCATAATTGTCTATATGCATTTGTGATGAGAGTTGGGTGTTAGTCAAAATTGGTGGACAGTAATTTACGTCGATGTTTATGTCCTCAATATTGGTCGTGAGCAAAGTGAGAACAAAGACTTTGCGTAGGCGGATATAGTTAACATATAGATGATCTGACATTCAAGAAACAGCCACAAAGAGATGACAGGTTAACTTTCAGTGAGAAACAACCAATCAGAAGACTGTGTTTTTCTGCTAACAATAATCTATAATAATGTACATGAAAATCTATAAAGTGTGTTGATTTCCTTAGTAAAGGATCTGTTTCCTGGCCCTTGTCTTCTGTTTCTACACATTGATATGAAAGAACATATATCATGTCTTTTCACAGCTGATTTGTATTTCTGGATTGTGATTCGAAGAGGACGCCTACTCTGAGCTATAAATCTTTTCTATTATTTCAAATAAATACATGTCTACTCCTTCAGCGTACTGACCACTTCACACTCATTTGAGAAGTTTAATTAACCCTACCACCACCACCACCATCAGTGAACTGACTGCCTACGAAGTATCTCAGCACGGATATACAAAAGGCTTGTCATCTCTGGAGTCGATATGATGTTTATGTATCGATATCAAAGGATATGTGTACTGAGGAATAGTTCACTTTGTCCTTCTTTAAGGGTGAAAGGCGATCATTGAAAGTGGACTATAAGCAGAGGCTAACTAACTACATTTAAGCATAGTTGTCTATGTTCTATCTACCGTATATAAGCGGTGTAGCGCGGTGAGTAATATTGACGTTAATTGTGGAGGGGGGTGGGTTGCTAGATAAGGAGGGTGGGTGAGTCAATCGGTGAGATAGTAAAGCTGCATACCAGGCCGCCGCCTTTCTCGTCATGCAACCTTAACTGACATAGAATTAAATTAAACACAGTGAAATCAAAACTTGGAATCAATCTATGCAGTCTCTGACTGTTGCGTTTAGCCCCATAGAAAGGCGTAGGCTGCCTGACTAGAGTCCTAGAGAGGCCAGGAACCAAATGGTTTACAACCGTTTTCAATGGTGCAAATGTATTCACTCTGCGTAACTCTCTGTACTCCTGAAGCCTTACTTTCCATTTGGAACCCGAAGAAATAAATCATAATATGGTGAGTAAAAAGCTGATAAAGGAAACTTTACAGTAGTTTTGGATAAATCTTACTAACTCATCGAAGAAGACATTGGCGAAATGGTTGTGATATGTCATGAATTGGCAGAAGTTAAAATTCAAGGACTATTGGATCGAGTCGCATTGGCTCAATGTTCTACTAGCTAGCTCGCCTTTTAACCAGAAGGTCCTGGGTCCTGACTGTGGGTTCGTACTGATGAAGAGCCCCAAATTAGGACGAAACAGTTGTCCAGGACTCCCTGCAGGTTTTCCAATGGTTCTCTAACCAATATCAGCTCATGATGAAATCCTCTATGCAATCAAATCTTACTATATCAAGAAAGTCACTGAGCATATAATGAGACGGGTCCATATGACGTAATTAAGAAACTTGTAGATACAATAATGAATAAGGTTAAAAGTGACAAAAGCGGATTTAATACGCAGAATCAAGCCATCACTGTGTGAGTCTGAATGATTTAGTTTAATGCCTAAAACGAATAATGCCAGTAGAATATATGGTACTATTAAAATACATAAGCCAGGTTAACCCCATACGATCAATAGTATATTTCAGAAATGAGAACTTCAACCCAAATGAAGTTTTGAAGATGTTTATTCACTATTAATGATACGATTATAAATCATATACTTTGTTCCTGGGACGCGTCATCATGCAGTGAACATAAAACTTTGAACTAACTGTAGTGCAGCAGTTCGACTTGACACACACTCCATATAACATACAAAGGCAACAAAAACGAGGGAGAGAAAAAAGGGGTTTAGAGGGCCTATAATAAGCAGTAGATTCAGGGAAGAAGATAAATAATATAGGAAAACATTAAGGTTTATCGGATTCTGAGAGGTCACAAAGCGTGGATGCTTCTTCACCAGCTTTTGAGCCTTATCACCAATTGTCTCTAGCCGCCGTCATTGTTTCTCACCAACCCGAGGACTATACCAGACAGTCTACACCTTCCTACATTATTATTTATTTTATCTTATCTCTTCCGCACACGACCTCCTGCGTGTCACCTTAGGACGACTCACTCGTTGCTTCCAAACGGGATTCCACTCGAGTGATGACCTGCACTGCGTACGATATCATTCGGCGGCCTCCTCAATTTATGCCCGACACATCCATCTCCACTTCCTCCTACATATTTGTTGGGCGATCGGCTCTTGCCTGTTGGTTTGCTCACAGCCAGAGTTTCTTTCTGGCCATTTGATCTTCGGTATGCAGCCAGCCAGCGAAGGAGGCAACTGTTGATGAAAGTCTGCAGTAGGCTGTTGGAAACCCACTCTGGCCAAATTCCTGATCCGTATAGAAGGACCAACTTGACATTTGTGTTGAACAGTAGTCGAATTTTGTTCCTTATGCTGAGTGAATGCGGAAGATTTCCAAACTGGTTTCAAGTTGATGAAGGTGTATCTTGCCTTTCCGATTCTAGCTGGCTTTCTTTGACATCTTCATCCGTTCTGACTGCTTTTAGTTGAAACGATGTTGGCTGCCTAGATAAGTGAAGGAGGCAACCCTTGTTAAATCTCTCCCGTTGATGGTGTATGGTGCTGGTTATTGTTGCTGTTGCAGTTCGTTGGTTACCTTCATCACCTCCGTTTCCTCTGTGTTCACCTGCAATCCTGTTTTCACTGCCTCTTCAGCCAGTTTGTTGACTCATACTAACTGTCAAAGATTTCACAGAGTGATCCCACGTTTTGTTTTGACCAGCTCCAACTAACTCCCTTCCAACCGAGTCATATGTCAGCTAACATCGCCTGTTGAAGAAGGCAACAGTCAGGCAAGATTAACACATGTCCTAGACATCTCAAGAGATATAGTTTCACAATCACATCGATTGACTCTGACTCGACGCCTAACTTGAAAATTAACACGAAGTTCGATACAGCTACAGGGTCCGGATTTTAAAAGATAGCAGCATCGACAATGCTTATTTACTAAGAACACGCTGGTGAAATATTTTATACAGAAATTTCTTATAAACACAATGTACATACAGTATTTTTTGATATATTGCTCTATTGCAAGGTTGGAACACTTGACAACAACAGAGAGCATTGAATTCCAGTCCGAGTGGACTGAATAGTCAGTCAACAAGCTCAGTCTCCTTTACCTTGAAAGCCCCAGGGGTTCACTGCCTAGTAGTAGTAGTAGTAGGTGAACACTGTTGAAGAGTCCTTCAAAACTAAAACAAAAAAACAGCTATCCAGTGATTTCTGCTGGGGTTTTTTCTTCGCAATGATCTCCCTCTAACCGATGTTAATTTTGTAAATAAATCCACATTGAATTGAAATACTATTGTGGTGAGAGCTGTCTGAGAATAAGCCAAAATTATAGACAACAATTGACGTCAATGTTTACGTCCCGAATCGGAGTCATGAGAAAAATAAACAATAAACAAAGCTTAACCTTGAAGAACTCACCAACCAATCACAGCACACTTAACGTGTTCAAATACGAATCACAGGCATATGGCTTAACTTTCTGAGAAACGGACACAAACAGTACAGGATAACTGGTGGATGGTGACTAGCAGTGGAATGCAGGATAACACGCATTTCGTCCTATGTGGGACTCGTCACTGGATTTACCTGCATTTCTCGGTGAGTGATGATGTTCCCACCGAGGCTCGAACCCAGTACCCATAGTTTCAAACGGCAAAGCGCTATCCACTAGACCACTTGGGTCACGAAAGCCACTAGCTCTTGTGTAACGGGTCATATTAATTATCTAATCGAATTTTTGGATTGTCTCGTCGATTGATTAGACCGAAGTGCTCGGTCCCAAGTTGACATGTCGGCTTCTTCTTGATGCAGATGTCTGGGTATTTAGTTCGTATTTAATTGGTGGATGGTGTGACTAGCAGTGGAATCAATCAACCGGGAAAATCTTAAATTCAATTAAAGTACAGAATAACCTTTAGCAAGAAAACAACCAATCAGAAGACGCTGTTTCTCTGCTAACAATAATGCTATTAATAATGTACATAAAAATCTATAAATATCTGTTGATTTTCTCAATAAACGATCTGTTCCCAGACCCTTGTCTTCTGTCGTTACAATAGTAGTCGTAATGATACATAATAAGCATTTTATTATAATAGTTTAAAACTAGTTTACACCTTACTTTACTTGGGACAAAATCTGAACGATCTCTTTGTTGTTTGCGTGGATTTTCTAATTCTGTAGGCAATGGGATTTTTTCTTTTCTCATTTGTTCCACATTTAAGAGAAGTTGTGTTCTATCATAGACATCTGGTGTACCTGATGGCGGTAAAGGGAAGTACGAGTTGTTTGCTTTACGCTTTTTTGCAACAGAAGCAGTAGTGGCCGATTTTGTCGGCTCAGGAATGATAACATCAGAAGGAGAAGAAGACGATGGTTTTTCTTTCGTAATTGCGTAGACTGCTTTAATCACGTGATTTTTTTGAATTTTATTTGCATCATCAATCCATACACGACGTTGTGCATGAGTTAGTATTGACTTTTTAGTATCTATACGCAATGGACAATAAAAAGAGGTAGATTTGATTCTCAATGTCTATTAGTAAAATGTTTTCTCCTTTCGTGAATCTGTCTGTCTGTTTTCGACATAGCAATTTGCACCGCTAGCGTAGCAGTTCAAGTCGCCACACTCCCTCCATGTACCATACAAAGGAAGAGAAGAGAGTAGAAGAAATGCATAAAAGAGAGATAGTAAACAAAGGTGTGAGACTAAGGAATAGTAATAACGAAGGACAATATAGTTTCATTCCAAGTCACAAGGAGTGGATGCATCTGCACAGGCCAACCATTGAGAACAATCACTTTGAGTCATATCACCAATTGTTTCTAACCATTGGTTCTTACCGTCTCGAGGACCCCAACCAATCAGGAAGCCTACATCTTCCTACGTGACTACCTGGCTTAAACTAACTGTTGTAGATTTCATTGACTGGTGAAGCCATGTTTTGGTTTGACCGCCGCTAACTCTTTTCCAGCCTGACCCTATATCAGCTAACATTGCCCGTCGAGGAAGGAGATCTCAATCGACGTAATTTCAAAGCCTCGTCCATTGATTTCCCCTCCCACCTACCTAGCACTCCACCGAGGTCTAACCTCAATATTGCTCACCTCATTATGTCTATCACCTAACACGAGAGATAGAACTCAGTCACCTATGATCAAAGACAGCTAATCTTTTCATGTCTTCCACTCTCAATAGCCAGGTCTCACAACCATCCATTAAGGAAGACGGAGCGGACTGATGAGCAGTAAACCCACGCTTTGGTCGATAGCCAACCGGATATCACGTCTACGCCAGAGACGGCGTAAACTGGCGTATGCGAAACTAGCCCTCTGTATCCGTATTGAGATTTCGTCAGAGATCAACCCGTTGGCACTGGCTGATGGTACTTCCCAAATAAGTGAAGCGGTCAACGTGCTCTACCACTTCACTCCCTATTTCTAAACTAAGAGTCAGTGTAGTCCAGTCCAGTCCTGTAACATCATCTTACATTTGACAGTAGGAGCGAATCGCATGCCAAATAGTCGAAGATTGCTTCTCAGCTCCAGGTGTTTAGAAGACTCTGCTCTGTTTTGTTAGCGTCTCCACCTAGGAGGAAGGACTATATCATCTGCATATTCTAAGTGGACGAGATTATTCCATTGATGGTCAACAAGTCAATCCCTGAGTCTCTGAAGTCACTTTGGGTTAAATCCATTAGCACATCTATGATGACATTGAATAGAAATGGGGATAATGGGCATCCCTAGCTGACGGACACCACTAGTCATCACCACGTCAGGTGACAGCTCGCCGTAAGCCCTCACTTGGCTTTTTGGTGAATAGTTAGATTCATTGTGGTAATTTTTTTCCACAGTTCATTTTGTTTGCATTCCAGGTGAAATGAGTGACCGTCTACGGAGAGTTGTCATTTGAAATGGTGATAACTAGTGTGTTGTTCGTCAGCGAGGGATACCTAATGTCCCTATAACTTCGGTTTAATTTCATCATAGAGATATTGTACTAATCGAGTTAACCTTAAGTGACTTCAGCGACTCAAGGATTGACGTGTTACCATTACTAAAAATTGTCTCGTCCACCTAAAATAAACAGATGATATAGTCCTCCCTCCTCCTTTGCCGAAATAGAGCATAGTCTTCTGAACACCTTGAGCTGAACAGAAATCTTCGAATGTTTGGCATGCGACTCGCTTCCATCGTCAAATGTCGAGTGATGCTACAGGACTGGATTGGACTACATCGACTACTCCTAACTCCAAAACAGAAAAGAGTGAAGTGGTAGAGCGTGTTCACCACTAACTTCACTTATTTGGGAAGTTACATCAGCCAAGGCCAACGGATTGATGGCTGACGAAATCTCATCACGGATGTGGGAGATTCCTTTAGCAAATACCTACCAACTTACACCATCTCAAGCTTAGTAGACGTGATATCCGATTAGCTGTCGAACAAAGGGCGTGTATACTACTCAGCAGTTTGCTCCATCCTCCTTCATGATTGTGAGTGAGACATGACCATTGAAAGTGGAAGATATGAAAAACCTGGCTAACTGTCTTTGATCATATGTGTCTGCGTTCTATCTCCAATGTTAGGTGGTAGGTGTAATAAGGTGAGCAATATTGAGTTGTCTGTCTGTCTGTTTTCGACATAGAACTTTGCACAAATGTGCGGAAGTTCAAGTCGCCACATTCCGTGTAGCACGCGAAGCAAGAGAAGAAAGTACAAGAAAAGCATAATAGAAACAGTGAGCAGAGGTGTGAGACAAAGGAGTAATAAAGAAATACAAAACAGTTTCATTGAAGATCATAAGTCACAGGGAGTGGATGCATCTGCGCCACTGAGAACGATTTTGAGCCATGTCACCAATTGTTTCCAACCATAGATTTTTACCGTCCCGAGGACCCCAGCCTGGAAGTCTACACCTTCCTACGTGGCTTAGACCAACTGTTGTGGATTTCATTGACTGATGCCAAGTTTTTGTTTGACCGCCGCTAGCTTTTTTCCAGCCTGACCCTATATCCGCTAACATTGCTCGTCGAGGGAGGCGATGGCTTGGCATACGTAACACATGTCCTAACCATCTCAGTCTTTGTAGCTTCACGACTTCGTCGATTGATTTCCCCTGTTTACCTAGAACTCTACGCCTAACCTCCATGTTGCTCACCTTATTATGCCACTTTACACGGGAAATAGAACGCAGGCACCTATGATCAAAGACAGCTAGTCTTTTCATGTCTTCCACTCTCAGTGGCCAGGTCTCACAACCATAAAGGAGGACGGAGCGGACTGATGAGCAGTACACCCGCCCTTTGGTCGATAGTCGAACATCTCGTCTACGCCAGAGTCGGCGTAAACTAACAAATGCGAAACGAGCCCCTTGTATTCGTGCTGAGATTTCGTCAGAGATCAGCCCGTTGGGGCTGATGGTACTTCCCAAATAAGTGAAGCGGTCAACGTGCTCTACCACTTCACTTCCTATTTTTAAACTAGGCGTCGATGTAGTCCAGTCCTGTAACATCATCTTGCATTTGGCGGGAGCGAATCGCATGCCAAACATTCGTAGATTGCGGCTCAAGGTGTTTAGAAGACTCTGCATTTCGTCAGCGTCTTCGCCTAGAAGGACTATATCGTCTGCATATTCCAAGTCAACGAGATTATTCCCCGGTAGCAAGTCAATCCCTGAGTCGCTGAAGTCACCTAGGGTTAAGTCCATTAACACATCTATGATGAAGTTGAATAGAAAAGGAGATAATGGGCATCCTTGACGGACACCACTGGTCGTCATCAGTTCAGATGACAGCTCGCCGTAAGCCCTCACCTGGCTGTATGAGTACGAATAGAGTGCCTTAATCAGTGCAATATATTTTCTTGGAATTCCCTTTACAGCCAAGCATCTCCAGAGAACTTCCCGATCGACAGAGTCGAATGCTGCCTTTAGGTCAAGAAATATAATGACTGTTGGACGCCGGTAGGAATGCCTATGTTCTAGAATCTGTCGGAGGGTGAAGATATGATCAATACACCCTCTTCCTGGTCTAAAGCCTGCCTGGCTCTCTCGTGTTTGTGCTTCCCGAGCACCACTCAGTCTACGCATGATTATTGAGCCTAAGACTTTAGATACTATATTAGTCAAGCTAATCCCTCTGTGATTATCACAGGAAGACTTGTCTCCCTTCTTGTATATGGGGATAATCAGTGACTTACACCAACCCGATGGGACTTCTTCTGATTCCCAGACGCTGCCTAGTACCTCAGTTAATCCGGACAGTAAGCTGTCTCCACCGTACTTAAATACCTCTGGAGTCATTCCATCAGGTCCCGCTGCTTTGCCTAGTTTCAGATTGGTGACAGCTTTAGTAACCTCAGTTAGTGACGGAGGACCTGTGTTTATATCCCATTCAGGGAGGTGTTGGATGCTCGGAAGGTTGAGCGTGGCTGTGGGCAAATTAAACTGCTCCTCATAATGCTCTTTCCAACGATCCAGTCGTCTATCCTGTGAGCTAATTATAGTGCCATTTTTTTCCGAGATTGTCTCACTAATGAATTGAGTTGGTAAGGCATCTGTCGAGTGAGTGCTAGGTAAGGAGGAGGAGAAATCAATAGATGAGGTTGTGAAGTTATACTGATTGACAGCGATGGTTAAGACATGTGTTACATATGCCTAGCCAACATGTTCCTTGGCGATGGGCAGTGTTAGCCGACACAGGATGGATAGATCAGGTTGGAAAAGAGCTGGTACATAGTGGTCAGACCGAGACATGAATTCATCAGTCAATGAAATCCACAACAGTTAGTTTAGGCCACCCAACCGGCCACGTAGGTAGGTGTAGACTTCCTGACTGACTCGCTGAGGTCCTCGAGATGGTAAGAAGCACTGATGACTGAAGACAGTTGGTGATATGGCTGGCTCAAAGTGGTCGTTGTCAATGACTGGCACAGATGCATTCACTCTGTGATTTATCATATCCAATAGAACTACATTGTTTTTCCATATTACTACTATTCTTTTTTCCTCACACTTCTGTTTATTATGTCTCTCTTTACTGTCTTCTCTTGCTTTGTGTGGTACACGGAGGAAGAATGGGAACTGGAACTGCTCCTTAACTAAACTTAACGACTTAGTAATATATATATATATATATATATATATATATATATATATATATATATATATATCATCATCATCATCAAGTTACATATGAATAGAGGGCAAAGACAAAAAAGACACCTACCTGCCATTGTTATAGCATGAGCAGTGAGGAAACTGCGTGGAACAGTAGCAATTTCTTTATCCCATGAATACTTGTAGGCTTCTGGACTTAATACATTCAATGGCTGGAAGAGAGAGGAATGCGTATATATACACAAATACAAGATTTACCTCCCCAAACATTGTAAAGAAGTCATCTGCATACTTTCCATCTACATTCACAGTAGGTATTCGGTTGACAAATATCAAGACAACATTCTTGATCAATGCAGGTTTTAAAATTGAACACCAACTAGAATACATAGAGAGAGAGATTTGTAGCTCAGATAGATGATTTTCATGTGGTTGTGTTCTCTAAGCTGACTGGATAGTTGATTTGTGAAGCTTTCATCGCCCTACTAGGCAACATCTTCAGCGCATACACTTCAATTTGAATTGAAGGGAGCTTATAGATTTCTCCACGAGTTCACTATTAGTCATCTCCTCTCCTGGTGACCTGCTGGAACTTGACTCTGGTTATTTTTGTGTTTTCACACCTAGGTTACTTTTATTGGAACTGATTGTTTCTTTGACTTGAACTTTGACCCTCTGTGTGTGTGTGGTTTCCTTCTTATCGGTTGGTAAATTTTTTTCTATCTCAATGTGTCTATTGATTGATGATTCACTGGAATACCAGGTAGACTTCTAAAAATTCTCTAGCACTCTTGTTGCTTCCCCTATCTAATATTTCAACGCTGGTTGTCCCAGTCGAATTGATGACCGTGGTTGTCTGTATGTAATAATATGAGGGAGTCGATATTATCATGTCTTTTGACGGCTAGCTTATGTTTGTGCATACGAAGAAGACGAAGGGGACATCGTCCACTTTGGCTAATGTAGTGTTTTTCACAGTTGTTACAATCTATTTTGTAGATACTGATGTTGGTTTTATCTTCTTTCGCTGTTGAGTCTTTTGGTTAACACAGAGCCAGCTGAGTGAAGTGACTCTGTTGGTTGGTGCACGACTTTAATTCCTGAAGGTTTGAATAGTCTTACAAAAAGTCGTACACCAACCAACAGAGTCACTTCACTCAGCTGGCTCTGTGTTAACCAAAAGACTCAACAGCGAAAGAAGATAAAACCAACATCAGTATCTACAAAATAGATTGTAACAACTGTGAAAAACACTACATTAGCCAAAGTGGACGATGTCCCCTTCGTCTTCTTCGTATGCACAAACATAAGCTAGCCGTCAAAAGACATGATAATATCGACTCCCTCATATTATTACATACAGACAACCACGGTCATCAATTCGACTGGGACAACCAGCGTTGAAATATTAGATAGGGGAAGCAACAAGAGTGCTAGAGAATTTTTAGAAGTCTACCTGGTATTCCAGTGAATCATCAATCAATAGACACATTGAGATAGAAAAAAATTTACCAACCGATAAGAAGGAAACCTCACACACACACACACACAGAGGGTCAAAGTTCAAGTCAAAGAAACAATCAGTTCCAATAAAAGTAGCCGCCTAGATGGTGTGAAAACACACGGAATCAACCAATCGCGTTCAAAGTCACCCTCCAGGAGAGATGATTAATAAACTCGTGGAGAAATCTAAAAGCTCACTTCAATTTAAATTGAAGTGTATGCGCTGAAGATGTCGTCTAGCAGGGCGATGAAAGCTTCACAAATCAACTATCCAGCCAGCTTAGAGAACACAACCACATCAAAATACATGGAATTATTTAGGGACTTACTCAGGCCATTTGATAAAATGCTGAGGAAACAGGACCAATCCTAGCATTTTCTGTATATCCATAGCATATAGGACATGATTGCGGTTTTTGATAAAAAGCATGGGCTTCTGTAAAGAACTGTATGATAGAAAATGAAATACTCAAACCTTTTTAGCCTTCTTTTGGACGTTATTCATATTGTAGCGTTATTATTATTATTATTGTAGTTATAAACTGTTATGCGTACACCAAAATGCAATTAATGAATTAATGCATCAGCGACCTGTTATTTACTTAGCTTATTGTTAGCTGATATCGGAATTGCAACTTACCAAGATATGATTTTTTTTTAAAGAGATTAACGAATCAATATTGTCTTTTTAGTTGACGGGTGGATGGGGAGGGAGAAATATATGTACACCTAAGGTTTTTAGCAGCGTGCAGAAGAATCAGGCTAGTTATTTCTATCCAATTGCATCATCTAGCCAGTTGAATGTTAGTTACTTCCTACAAAGGGTTATGCAGAAACAAAGAAAAGTCACATATGTTACATTATATTTTAATATACATTATTTATTTATTTATTTTTTGATTACAGCTTGATTCCATACCGTATTTTTGGTACAAGTATGAAATTTTAGCTGGTGTTCCTCAAGGTGCTGTTCTTTCTCCTTTTTGTTTTCGTTTTTCTTACATGACTTGCCTCATTCTGATGTAGCTACTTTTGTTAAGTATGCTTGCTGATGACCTCTCTGTTTCTATGCCTGTCAACTCTCAGATAGATTGTTCCAAATTAAATAACTTTCTGTCGGAAATTAGTCAATGGTCCTCTTCGAATGGTCTTAAGCTAAATCCGTCTAAATGTCAGGTAGTCAATTTCACTTTCAGACGAAAACGTGACCTACAACAACTAGTTAGCTCACATGGCCCCATTATCATTGACGGCATACAGGTTGAAAATACATCTAATGTCAAGTAACTTGGGCTGAGTTTTTCCATCGATCTTTCCTGGTCCTCCCACATCATGCTAGTTACTAGAAAGATGTTTCGCTTAACGTTCTACGTTAGGAAATTAAGGCTGTCTGGTGTAAAGCAGTCTTTGCTTTCTCAGTTTGTCAATTCTTGTATTCTACTCATCCTCCTTTTACTGCTCCCCATTAATCTTTCCTGGACTACTTAAGAAAGACTTTGCTTTGCTGAGAAGGGCATGCACTAAAAGCCGTTAGTAGGGCAAGTGGGATATCGTTAAACCAACTGGTTAACACTATTGTGGATAGACATATTATGTCATGTAAGAAACTAGCGAATACAATATTGTCGGACCCCGAGTGTCCTCTTGAGACGTTATTGCTGAAATTTGCCTGACAAGGTTCTTAATTTCTGCTTTCTATACAACACAACAAGTGCGTTGGTGGCATAGCGGTCAGGACGTTCGCCAACCTTGCACATGGTCCGGGTTTCGATTCCCGGCCACAGACGCACTCCTTCACCTCGCTAAGCCAGTAATAAGACTGGTAAAGAGGAAAGGTTGGGCATGAGGCTAGCAACCACATCCTGTAGAAAATAAACACCGCTACAGAAACTTCAAGTCACTAGCATGAAGCCCTCTGTTTCACTGGGGAACATGAAGGAAAAAAATACAACAAAAAAAGAAACAGTAATCTAGTTGATTTAGTTTATCAACGCGTCACACATTAAGAACAGCTGTCTGAAAATGTCGACGTATCCAAAGTCAACCTTCATAGAGCGGTACACAAACTTCAACAGTTGGGTACTACACTGTAGAAAAAAGAAATTTTATTGATTTTCTAAGCTTCAGAATTCGGGAAATTTACTTCATAGATTCAGCTGATACACACACCTGGAAAATCTGTCGTAATCGATATCTTAGAAGGTTTATTGAAACACGAAGAAAGAAACCTCTCCTGGCTATATCATAGTGCTAAAGGGGAGATTATTTATGAGTTTAGCATTCAGAGGTCATACTATTCTTGAACCTATTAAAAGTCACCTATGCACGTGTGTGGTTACAGGATTTCATCATGAGCTGACACCGGTTAGAGAATCGTTGGAAAATCTGGGAGTACTGGACAGTTGTTCCGTCTCGGTTTTGGACTTTTCATCAGTACGCAACCACCGGGGTTCGAACCCTACAGACTAACAGTTGAATATCAATGAGATGCTCACTAGCGACTGGCCCTATTCAAGTAGGTAGTTACCTGGGGTTTTAGTGGAAAGTCATGACCAGTAGGGTACAGCAGGTCGGGTGTGAGGACAAATAGTGGTCGGTGTGTCGTGAATTGGCGGAAGTTGGAATTCATGGGCCATTGGATCGGGTTCCAGTGGCTTCATGGTCTGCGAGCTAGCTCGCCTTGTGACCAGAAAGTCCTGGCTACGAGCCCCGGCGGTGGGTGCGTACAGAAGAAGAGTCCTAAACTAGGATGACGAAACAGCTGTCCAGTACTCCCTGGCTGGTTTTTCCGATGGTTCTCTAACCGATGTCAGCTCATGATGAAATCCTATAACTAGCCAATCAAATCCCTACAATCCAATACTTGAATATTCAAGTGTGCATTGTTGTGAACTTTTCTTATAATACGTATCTAGTCATATTCATATCTCTACCGCTATTAACACTCTTTTTTCCCTTTATATGTTTAAGTCATTCCGGCTTCATTGTAAAATGAATAAAGCCTAAATTCTTGGTTCATTCGTCTTTTCAAGATTCAAGCATCACTCATCGTTCTAAGACTCAATCACCTTCGTAACATGCATTAAATACTCTTTTCTCCAGTCAAAGTATGATTCAACAGTGCGTGAAAGATAAACTATCACATTTTTGTCGACCTCTGTGCCAATCTACTCTTTCGGATGTTCCTAAGGGAGCTGAATACGCTGGACGTAAAGTGTTTTTCGGAAAACACATAACTCAACACTATCTGGTTTGGTGGATGAAAGGCGGGCATCAGATGACGAAGTTTACTGGAATTAAGTCATTCAACTCTACACGGTTTATCTTATAAAATAATCTTTAGGACCAAACTTCGTCACTATAAGAGTTTACGTCTTCTCCAATAATAAATGCATAGTCGAAACTCTAGCGATAAACAAGGATGAAAACGTTTTGTTAAACCGCTTTCTTTCCCTTGGTCACAGTAATATTTCTGCTGTTTATATTTTACTCAATTGGTTAAATTCAATCCACTCCATTTTATCTTCATCTTTCGCATTGTGATTCATCAGACCACTTTAAATTTTTTGTTTTGAAAACAGGTGACTTACTTTTCAAATCTTAATACTGATTCACTTATTTAATGACGTCTAAAATTTGCTTTAATTCATTCAATTCCATTATGGGTGAAATTTATTTTGATTTACTGGTGACCACGTTTCGAGCATAATTTATTGCTCATAATCATATCAAGGTACTCATCCAACATACTAACTTCGTTTATATATATATAGCAAACAGAAGGTAAACTGTACACTAGAGTTTATAAAAACCCAACGCATTTTAATAGATATTTAGACTTTAATTCATCTCGTTCGTGATCAATCTGTATAGGAAGGCTTGGTTAAGTGTCTAACAAACCAAGCAGTAGCACTAAGTAGTACAAGAAAAGACCTAAATAATGAAAGAAGAAGCGTTGGTGTTTAATAACCAATCATCCTATAAAATTCATCAGGAAGATCGGAAAATATAACGATAAAATTAATAGCGATAACATAAATAAGGAAGAATATAAGAAATCCACTGTTATACCATATAATGGAGAGGACATCTGAGACCCTCTCTAAGTAGAATTCTTAATAAAGCAGGAATTAAAATGGCATATAAACCTACAAACTCACTGCAGGTTATATCAACCTGTTAGTTAACCCAATTAGACAAAATAATATAACTTACAAAATACCTTGCAATTACTGTGATTTAAGTCAACTACAAACTAGTAGATCGGGAGTAGTAAGATTATCAGAACATAAGAATTTAGCCAACTTATGAATGGTCAAACCCGAGAAGACAAATAATTCGAAAAAAAGTTCAGCGACTGCACTGCATGCATTAACACACAACCACACAATAGGGTGGATGGGGAAGGATTAAATTTCTAAGAAGTAATATAGGTAGATGGAAAGCGAAAGAAGTTGATCACTGAATCTTTGTTCATCGAGTCTACACTGAACAGGTGCAATAGGAATAACTCATCACTCATACCGGAGATATGGAAAATATTACTACCAATCAAGTGAAGCGATGAAAAATAATGGAATTCTATAAACGAAGTTAAAAATTTGTGTCTGTCTTGATATGATTATGAGCAGCAATAAATTGTGCTCGAAACGGGGTCATCAGTAAGTATTACTGTATAACACGCTGTGAGACTTTATCAAACCAAATTTTACCCATAATGGAACTATACTCTACCTTAGTGCACAATTTCTATTCTTATATCAATCATCCAATTCCACGCTGACCCTCTTAAAAAATCATGTTAATTACCTTTATTCTTATCATATGTATACTGATTGAGCAAGTTTTAGTGTCACTTAATTGATAACAACCAGTGGTGTTCGGACAGGGATGTCCATTTTCCCCATTCCTGTTTAACTTCATCATAGATATGCTAATGGAAGTATCCTTAACTGAACGTAACGACCTAGGAATCGACTTGCCACCAGGGAATAGTCTTATGGACTTAGAATATGTAGATGACATAGTCCTGTTACGGGAGGATGCTGACAAATTCCATCAGAGTCTTCTGAACACCTTAACCAGCAATCTTCGTATGTTTCGCATGCGATTCGCCCCTGCAAAGATGATGTAAGATGCTGCTACTGGACTGGACTACGTCAACTCCTACCTAACTTAGTGATAGAGAGTGAAGTGATAGAACATGTTGACCACTTCACCTATTTGGGAAGTTGTATCACCACCTACGGACTGACTGATTGGCGGTGAAATCTCATCACGGATCCAAAAAGCTCGAGCTGCTTTCGCCTACTTACACCATCTCTGGCGTAGGCGTAACATCCGACTATCAACCAAGGGACGTGTGTACTGCTCAGCACTTCGCTCCGTCCTTCTCTATGGCTCTGAAACATGGCCAATACGACTTGAAGACATGAAAAGGTTGACTGATTTCGATCATAGATGTCTACGATCTCTTTCTCACGTTAGGTGGTGGTATAATAAGGTAAGTAATGTTGACGTTAGGTGTAGAGTGTTGGGCAGGCAAACAGGGAAAATCAATCGACGAGGCTATAAAGTTACATAGATTGAGATGGCTAGGTGACGTGCTGCGCATGCCTAACTATCGCCTCCCCCGTCGACAGGCATTACTAGCTGATATAGGTGCAGGTTGGAAAAGAGTAAGTGGTGGCCAAACAAAAACATGGCCTCATCAATCCATGAAATCCTTGACAGTTAAACTGAGTCAGGTAGGGAGATGCAGACTTCCGGGTTGGGGCCCTCGGGACTGACTCTAAGAATCAATGGCTGGAGATAATAGGTGACATGGCTCAAAATCGTTGTCAATGACAGCGCAGATGTATTCAGTCTCTGTAATCTTTCATATTCCTTTCTACCATTACCCATTCTGTTTCACTCTTATACTTGTCAAACTCTATTGATTCTCCACTCATCTTCTTGTCTACCTTTGTGTGCTATTTGGAAGGTGACAACTCGAACTGGTGCACTTCGGTGGCAAGTTCTATGTTGAATCCAGACAGACAGACAGTGTCACTTAGTGCAACTGTACGTACGCTTTTGGAAGTCATTGAAAAGAAGTATTACTTTTCGACCAACAAAATCTGTGTATATTTCGTGATTTAAACAAAGGTCGACTATATATATATATATATATATATATATATAACATTGATTTAACCATTCCTAATAGATTTTTCTTATGTAGCTAGTGTGAATATGCAATGGTGTTAGTAAGGTGAGTGAGAGGTTATCATCACTTTAGATTTGTCCTCTAAATGATTAACACTACTCTCTCCTTCGAAACTTTTGATTGGACACTAGTTAGTAACTAGTGTAATGTGACTAGTCCTACTTAATTTTACTTTACTTCGGCTATCTCCTACGGGAGGATGAGCCGGCTTCATGAACATGTCGAATCATTGCTGCCCAGGCGCGGCGATCTGATGCAAGATTTTGCGACAGGGTTATCCAATTCTTGTTCCACAGACGGAGTCCGTAGACGGTTTGTAGCCCCAAGCACCCCATATCAGCCTTCGCTGTACCAAGCCATATTTTCAGCTGTCCACCCATGCGACATCGCCAAGATGGAAATGGCGAGGGATTTAGAACTGATTTGATTTGACCAGATCGTTATCTGGTCGGCGCAGAACATGGCGAAACCACCGAAGGCGACGTTGTTGGACCAGTCTGTCTGTCTGTTTTCGACAGACAGTGCTGGAATTTGGTTGATGTTGTAGAGAGTTCATGAAGTTTCATGGGAATTAGGTACGAGTGATGTCCCCAGAATCGCTCGGCCTTTTGTTTGAGAGTGCAGTTCTAGCCTTTACACAACCAAGTGTGACCTACAAGGCAGTAGGAGTGGAGTAGGGAGTCCACTATCCATTGGAAGCCAGCCGGTGACCGGAGTCCGGTTCATACGCCTTTTTGAATGGGGCCAGACATCCAGGGCATCCAATAAGCCCTTTGTCCATACGTCTGCCGGTGAGCTTCATACGCCAGTCGTTGGAGGTTTGGAATCGGTTTAGCCATCTTCCCTAGACTGTCATCTAATGGACAGAACCCGGTGGAGAGCGCCGGGCATCCGCTTTTGCCCTCTCACTTCGGTGAAAGACACCTCCGCCACGTGAAGGCAGTGAGTAGGACTTCCTCAGGAGAGGCTATGTAAGACGCCCGGTCATATGGGAGCATTTCAAGAGGTGTAGGGAGGGGTGGCCAACCCGCATCGTAAGGCACCCACTCCCAACCATCCTGAGGCTTTGGAGGCTTCCTACCTTCACTGCAGACTGGATTCTATCAGTCAAGATTGCAATGTGGCCAGCATACTAGGTGGCTCGCCATTACGGTCAACTGTTGGTATTAGATGGTTCGAGGCAGTCGGCAGGAAGCCTTGCCGATTCAAATCTCACGGGAGTGGGACATGAGTTACTTCAATGTTTCAGATACGACTTTCTGAGTGACGAGTGCCAACTAGCACGAAACCTAGGTTCAGGGCTTCCTGTGACCGATTGCCTCCAACCATCTAATATTACTGAAAAGTGACAGGATTTAATATAAGCGCTAGAAAAGTTGTCTTGGAAAAGACAACACTGAAATGTAGATGCTGTATGATCACGCCAAGGAAGGATCAGTATGTACTTTGATTGGACACTAGTCAGTAACTAGTGTGATGTGTCTTGTCCTCGGTGTTTGGCGCAGACTGAGTTCTTTCAGTCAGGTTTGAAATGTGACCACCATTCCGTTAGGTAGCTCGCCATCATCGAGCACATTGATTTGATGCTATTAGACTGATGGGACTCAGTCTGCATCAAAGAAAGGACTAGACAGATTAAACTAGTTACTGACTAGTGTCCAATCAAAGTATCCAGTACAGTTCTAGAGGAGGTCAATCACAAGCCTGAATAACTCGGTGGTGATGTCTCTGGCGGCAGCACTGGGTGACGCGGATTCAAATCTCAGAGGGGTTGGACATGAGTTCCTTCAAGGTTGACGAATGCCACCTAACACGAAACCTAAGTCCATGGCTTCCTGTGGCCGATTGCCCCCAACTATATAATAAGCATCAGTATGTTCATATACTGAGTCACTAGTATTTCTAAGACAGACTACCATCCTATGCAACATAAAAAGGTCTATAGGTTGAAAAGAAATGAATGATTAACACACTACCAGAGGAATGTACCTTCTGGCGCTTCAAAAGGGGACGAAATCGCTAAGAAAAAGATTGACGCAGGATTAAAGTACACGAGTGCAACTTTAGAAATATCAGTTCGCTTCGCGAAATAGAGTTATTTAATGTTAAGCTGTGAGCATTTAGGTTACATCCAGAATGCATATATATTTAATAGTATATAAAGGGCTGATGTAATCGCCACAGCAAACATAATTTTTTCTCTATGACTACACAGTTTAATTCACAAGCAGTGGCACAGTACATTACTAAACTGCGCATACATTACGTAAAGTCTGTTGTGATTCAAAAAGGTCAAAATCCAAATCTGCATGGCGTTATCAAATTAAGTGACAGTAAGTTTCTTTAAACACAAGGTTGCATTCGGAAGTAACTATCTCATCTGAGTTTATCAACTTTTCAGTTAAGATATTGTACTCAGATCTCCTTGTAATTTAGATACACTGAACTAGAAGTGATCTGATATTTGGAAGTCATTATTCTAATGTCTTTGCGCGGTAGACCTGTTGAACAGTATATCAGTTCTCCTGAAAGTGCACTAGTCGGCGCAGTTATTCTGTAGTGTAATTTACAAACTTTTCAGCTACATATATTCACGTTTCTCACTACTGGTCTTACTGCGTACGCCAAGACTATCCCTAGAAACAGTTTGAGACGTTTACACCTGAATATCTTCATATAAGAAACGTAGGTAAAACTTCGTCAAGTGTTATAATAAACCATCCAGAAAGCAACAAGTTTTATTTTTTATTCTTATGTTGAACTTCCAGATCATTTTAGTCCTCAATGAAAACCTGATTTAAACAGTGCCTAGTGATTTGTTTTGGGCGATGATTAAGGAAAAATCTATTAAAAGCCGTGTTACACTAACTTCTTTAACTACATAAACACAGACGATAAAACTAATCAGCGTCACCAGAAATGCTGATTGTTTTGTGACAGGAGTCAAATTTACGTTAACAACAGGCTTCCATGAGGTCATCTATAGATGACGAGTAAGATATATCTTATTCCGGATCTCGTTTGAAAGATAAGGCCTCTTGAAGCCGCTGGTCTAGCAATTAATTAGTTGATATTATAACAAACTAAACGATGCAAACAACCGTCCCAAGTGTTAGTCTCGAATGTCCAGTAAAGCAATGGCTTAATTTACATAAAGTTTGTCACGAGAAACAAATCACTTGTTTAATGACATAGACCATAAATTCTTACGAAAAACAAAATTAAAAAGGTGATATAAATCAACAGCCCACTATAAATATACACTTATCACACTAAACTGTTCCTAGGGATCGGAAATGATTCCAGAGGGACGCGAAATCACCTACCATGTGGAAGGTCAACCAGCCCGCTCCAGTGGAATTTCGCGGGTATTGGTGCTGAACAGCCAATGGTTAACAAGGTTGCGAATGACAAGCAGACCAAATTCATCCATACAAATGTTGACGAGGTTAAGCTTAGGGACAAGAAAATTAAGAAACCACCTTTTTGAGAATCTTTTTGTCTTTCAAATCTTTCAGGAAGAAAAAATTGAGGATGTTTGCTGTTTCAGCAAATGCCCTTTTGGCTAGCTGTGCAAATATCTTGCATGACGACGCTTTTCATTTGCTTCCTTCTTCACTGTGCAGCGCTTTGGTCCGATTTTATTTCCTGAATCTCAGTCAGTCCCACCGAAACTGTTTTGTCTTAAAGAGTTACCTCCCCATGGTGGCTTCACTTTTACTGCGGCCTGCTTAAATCTTGGGCTACCAAAATTCCGTCCTACATATTGCATCTATTTCCTCGGATTTATTTTGTTTTAATTATTCAACTATTTGTCCAAATCGTATTACTTACTCTTGCGATTACATAAAATGTTTTCAACCTGATCATTTACGAGTATGTAATAACCATAAGTAAAAGCATCATGGTGAGTGGCAGAGATCCTCAAAGTGTACTCCAGTGCATCACATGACTGTTCCTGCGACTATGAGCACCAATTACAGGTCATTATCGAACAAGATTAATTACTTGCATTCTCTATTATAACCTCGCCAGATACTAGCTTGCTAGGCTACTAGCTTACTAGTTTTCTCGCCGGTCCCAAGCCCAGGTAAAGAGGGAGGGTTGGGGTGTGGTGCTAGCACAACTCCACCCCCGTAAAACAACCAAATCGCTACAGAAACTTCAACGAATAAATATATTAAAAATTCTAAAAACATGAACAATAACCTTATTTTTCGCTGGAATCGGGGAAGTGAAATGACGCAGGCTGGTGAAAGCTAGCCTTCGGGAAGCCAGTCAGCCGATGTGCCTTCTTTCGATGAAAGCAAAAGTAAGGATGGGTACCTGGAATGTTGGTACAAGGTACGAAACTGGAAAGGCTGACCAGATAGCCGCCAAAATGAGAAGATATAGAATAGAAGCGTTGGGAATCTGCGAAAGCAGGTGGAACGGAAGTGGAAGGTGCCAACTACCAACTGGAGAGACAGTAATCTATTCCGGCCACCTAGAGGACAACCATGAGCACACTGAGTGAGTGGCCATCATGATGTCACCAACAGCAACCAAAGCTCTCATGCAGTGGGAACCAATCTCCTCCAGGATAATGACAGCCAGGTTCAACTCAAAAGGAAGAAAAGTTACAGTCATTTAGTGCTATGCGCCTACAAACGTATCAGAACAAGAGGAGAAGGAGGAATTCTACAGACAACTACAAGCAATAATGGACAACGTTTCAAATGGAGATATCAAAATCTTGATGCGCGACATGAATGCAAAGCTGAGTGGAGAAAACACAGGAAGAGAACTCACCATGGGTCGAGAGGCCCTCGGTGAAATGAACGACAATGGTGAACTCTTCTCAGACTTCTGCTCCTTCAATGATTTGGTGATTAGTGGCAATGTGTTCAAACACAAGGACATACACAAGACGACAGGGATTTCACCAGATGGACACACCAAAAACCAAATAGACTTCATTTCAATTTCAAGAAAGTGGAGAAGGAGCCTACTGGACACAAGGTCGAGGAGAGGAGCAGATGTGGGTTCAGACCACTATCTAGTTGAAGGGACTTTCAAGGTGAAACTAAAAGCCTTGTGGATGGCTGGGGATGCAATGCCACAGTGCAAGTTCAACACTCAATTACTGAAGGACACAACCACAAAGGACACTTTCACTGCAACTGTCAGAGCAAAGCAGGAAACACTACGCGACATCACTGAAGAATCATGCGTGGAAGAACATTGGAAGTCTCTGAAGGTGATTCCCAGGGAAACGTGTTCAACGGTTTTAGGAAGAAAGAAGAGATAAGACAAGGAATGGCTCTCAACAGACACTTGGAAACTAATAGAGGAGAGGAGAATGGTGAAAGAGAAAATGATTCAATGCAAGGACGGACAAGAGAAGAAGACGCTGACTTCAACTTACACAGCACTGGACGAAGAAGTGAAGAAGAGTGCTAGGAAGGACAAAAGACGATTCTACGACAACCGGGCCACTGAAGCTGAGAAGGCAGCAGGCAAAAGGGACCTGAGGACACTATATCAGATAACCAAGTGTCTATCCGGGAAGCGACCAACACAAGCGAAACCTATAAAAGACAGCCAAGGGAACCCAATTACCAAGGAAGAAAAACAGATTAACCAATGGGCGGAGCACTTCGAAGGACTCTTGAACCGACCATCACCTGCAACCCGTCCAGAAATACCAACAACAGCGCGCACACAACTGCAAGTTGACACCAATCCTCCAACGAGAGCTGAAGTCTTGAACGCAATCAAGCTTCTGAAAGCTGGAAAAGCAGCCGGACCAGATGGAATACCCCCTGAAGCACTGAAAGCGGACCCAGAGACGACAGCAGACATGCTGACTCCATTATTGCAAAAGGTCTGGAAGGAGGGAAAGGTGCCTACTGACTGGAGGAAAGGTTACCTCGTGAAACTACCAAAGAAGGGCGACTTAGGACTCTGCAAGAACTGGCGAGGAATCATGCTCCTGACGCACTTGAGACAGAACTCCGACCAGAACAAGCTGGATTCACGAAAGGCAAATCATGTTCTGACCGAATTGCAACTCTACGCATCATCGTCAGAGAACAAAGCATGGAATGGCTATCAAACCTCCATCTCAACTTTATAGACTTTGAAAAGGCCTTCGACAAACAGCGTTGACCGCAAAGTAATTTGGAAACTACTCGAGTACTACGGCCTACCCCAAATATTCATCAACCTTATTCAACAGCTGTACGACAACGGAACATGTCAAGTCATCCACAACGGAAAACTCAGCGAGGCGTCTGGAGTAAACACAGGAGTCAGACAAGGCTGCTGCATATTATCACCAATGATATTCCTAATTGTGGTGGACTAGATTATGCGTCAGACAGTGAGTGGGAAACGAGAAGACAGGGATATCCTGGACCGACGTGAAGAACCTAGAAGACCTGGATTTCGCGAGTGGATGATTTATGCTTGATGTCACACAAAATGGAAGACTTACAAGCGAAAACCAACAAACTGGTCGAAGAAGCAGCCGGGCAAGACAGGACTCCAAGTGAACATAGACAAGACAGAGGTTATGAAAATAACCAACCAACAACAACAGCAACAACAACATCCAGCGCCAATCACCATCAACGGGAGGGATTTGAAAGAGGTTACTTCATTCACTCATCATCTAGGGAGCATTGTCTCAACTACACGCAGTCGGAACGGACGAGGATGTCAAATCGAGCGAGAATCGGGAAGGCGAGCGAGAAATACATTCATCAACCTGAAACCAATCTGGAAATCTTCATTACTCAGTCAGCATCAACAACAAAATTCGGTCGGATTTTCAATACAACAACGTCAAGTCAGTCAGTTCTTCTATACGGATCAGAAACTTGTCGGGCGGGCGGGTCACAAAGAATATTTCCAAAAGGCTGCAGACCTTTATCAACAACTGTCTTCGCTCTATACTGAAGATCAGATGGCCGGGCCGGAAAGAATCACCAACAAGGAATTATGGGAACAAACAATGCAAGAACCAATCGCCCAACAAATATGCAGGAGAAAGTGGAGATGGATCGGACACTCGCTGAGGAGACCGCTGGGTGACATCGCGCGCCAAGCCCTCGAGTGGAACCCGAAAGGGAAGCGGCGTGTGGGACGTCAGTGCAAGGGTGACATGGAGGAGATCGTGTGAAGAGGAGTTGAAAGAAGATGGATTAACATGGATGCAGGTGAAAAGTACAGCAGAAGACAGAAGCAAATGGAGACGTGCAGCTGAAGCCCTATGTTCCACTAGGAATCCAAGGGAGCATAATAATAATAAATTCTCTATTATACTCAAATGTATCTTGTAATACTGGTGTAATAACTCTTCGAGAAACTTGGCTCCACGACTTATATGACGATAATTTAGTCTCCTTAAGTGGTTTCACAATGTACAGACAAGACCGATGCAGCTCAAAGAAGAAGAGGGTTGTTGGTGTCGCCACTTTTATTAATTCTCAGTGGTCTACTGCCAACAATCTTTGCTTCAAATTCTCAAATGACAATATTGATTGTATAACTGTAAAATGTCGACCTAAGCACTTATCTAAGTATAGCTTCATTTTTGTCACAAATATCTAAATCACACCTTGTTGCAGTCCCTCAGAACTATCGATCTTTGCTGATGAATTCACTATTTTTGCTGCTGCTTCGTTTGGTAACTCCTTATCCATAGTGACTGATGACTTCAACTCCAGCGATTGCAGTTTTATCACATTGCTGGTCCATGAAAATGATGTTAACCACCCAACTCGACAAAATACTTCACTTGATGTAGTAGTTATAAATGATTCTCGAATATATGATGCTCATAAATGAGCTCCACTCTTCAATTCTGATCACTGTCTTACCCAAAATTTACGGAAAGTTACACAGTAAAGCCTTCTCAAACCTGTCCAAGAAAGTTGTTCACAGATGTTACTCAAATGAGAACGTACATCATATTAGAAAGATGCTCAATGACACAAGATGGGATCTGTTTAATGATGACTCACTTGATGACAACATCTCTAATATTACATCCTATCTGAAATTCTGTTTTGAAATCTGTTGTCCAAAATAAACACTATTTGTCAAATTTGACCGTTTCCCCTCGCCTCAACTTAAAAAGCTTCGTAGAGGGAAGAAAAACTGTATAAGATGAAAGATAAAAGTGGCGTAAAAAGAACTAAATTCTTAATTAAGTCTGAAATGCAGAGGTTGAATGTAATATATAACCAGAAATTCATATCCTGCAAAAACGCTTCCAATATGTAGAAACTATTTAAGGAAATCACTGGTGGTAAGCAGATAAACAATATTCCATATTCTTTTGATGTATGTACTCTTAACAAATCTTTTATTTACTGTCCCTCAAATGCCA